TTTTTTTATATGCAAACCTGTGGATGAAGAGCTCGATATTGATCGGCACTTGTTAACCAAACCGTTTCTTCTGATGAATGAATTGATCGAGACTGAAAATTGTCTTCTTTACAACTTGATGCTTTACTTTCCCCGGAAATGTTCAAATCCAAATTCGTTTTGAAAGCTCAGTTCTGAGTAGGTATCAAAGAAAAGAATAAAGTAAAATCTCCTAAAAACTCTGAGAACGTCGAATCAATGTGTCTAACCGAAAATAATTGCTCAGACTTCGACTCACCAGTTGTCTTCCCCTTGTCGGACTTGCACTCTTTGCTAAATGTCTCTCAGCTCTCGTCAACACAGGCCATCCGCCATTGGCAAGCGAACGCTAAACGATTTTAAGATGTTTAAAACTTTAGAAAAGATTATGTTTTTATATTTTGATCAATAATTTTAAAAGAAAGATTCTAAATATAATGTACAAAAAGCTAAGAAAAACTAATAACCGCAAACAAATTCATTGGCATTTTCTGGTGGAAAAGAAATAGAGAGGGGAAAAAAGAAAAGTCTTCTTTAAGGAGGATTCATTCAAAATAAAATACAAGAGAGAACGGATTGGGAAAGGAAAAAAAAGGGAGGAAAGAGTCAGGGTGGAGAAATGGGAAGGAAAGAGGGGGAAAGGAAAAAAGGGAAACGGGCCGCCGAGGGCCCCGGAAAAGCTTAGATGAAAAGAGTGAAGAAATGGAAGAAATAGGGAAAAATTGGGGAAAAGGGCAAGGATTCCCGGATCGAGAATGGGAAGACATGTAGAGGAAGAGAGCATGAGGAAGAGGAGAGAAAGAGGAGAGAAAGATGAGAGAAAGATGCTCTGAGAGTAGACTAATGATTGTATCATATTTGATTATATATTTCTATTGGGTTGGTGAATTGAAAACTGCCGGCTATTGTCATAGGTGACAGTTTGAGCACTTTCTTCAAAAGAAACCCATTTTGGTGTCAATGGAAAAGTTGTAGAGAATCAAAAATGAAGCATATATCCAAATTTTCAGAACGATTCAAAAACTGGTTTTGAAGAAATGCCAAATTCACGAATTTTCTCAAAACTTGCATTTTAAGCGAAACTACTAAGTGTATCTTTTTGGAAATTTGGCTATAAGCCTAATTTTTGATTCTCTACAACTTCTCCATTGATACCAAAATGGGTTTCTTTTGAAGAAAGTACTCAAACTGGGACATCTCCAGTCCTCCATTTTTGAGTCTCACACTTGTCTCACACACAAACCAAAATCCTACTACGAAAGAGGAATCCGCAAATTGCCTGTAAAATGGGCAGAAGTCGTCAATAATAATGGAAATTATTTGGAATGAATTAATGGTTTTATGTTGAATAGATTTTAGTTCAAAGTCCGGCAGTTTTCAACTCATCAACCCAATATTTGATTGTATCGTAAGCGAGAATATTGCACAAAGAGATCAAATGAATATGGGAAAATTGGAAGTGAAAAAAGGTGAAAGAAATTTCTCGTTTACTCTAGATGAATTGGGAAAAGTTTTGAGGATTTTTTTTACTTTTAAAATATTCAACGAACTTCAATGATTAGTTGGGCTGATTTCTTCAATTTTAGCTCTATTTTCAATTCTAAGTTGAAATTTTTGCTGTAAAGCTTATTCGATTCTCATTTCTTTGAGAATCATCAATTTCTTTTACCTAATCACTATAACAATCAAGATTTACCATCATAAATTACCCGATTATTACTCTCAAATCCTCTTATCTATCTCATAGTAATATTATATTTAGAAACATTACAGAATGTTTTTCTTTCTTTAAAGCGAGAGTGAGATAAATGACCGAAAAAGGAGTTCTCTTTGGGGTAAAGAAACAAATAGACATCATATAAGAGACCCAAGGGGGAGGAGTGGGAAAGGAGTGCCCTCTTCGACGCCCCTTTCTTTCCCTTCCTTTCCCTTCCCTTGCTTCCCCTTCCTTTTCCTTCCCTTTCATCCCTTTTCTTCTCTTTTCTTCTCTTTTCTTTTCTATTCACCCTAAAAATAATGAGCCCTTGAGATCGGATGGGAAAACATGGTAAAAGAGAAAGAAAAGAAAAGACAGAAAGGTTTGGATATCAATTGCAACCCTCTTCCCTACTTCTCACCCCAACACCCTCCATTTCCCTCATTTCATTGAAATTATTAGTCCCCTCACCGCCGCTCCATTTCAATTAAGATCAAGTACTGAGAAGCCCAACGAGATTTCAATATGAGGATTTTATAATTACGCAAAACATAAGAGATTTAGATCTTTAAAGCTTAAAATTATAAAATAAACATTATTTTACGTATATTTGGATAAAAGTTAAGCTAAAATCTCATAGTGGGAAGCTGTTGGAAAAAAAAGAGAGGAAAAGATGGATATGTGGTCACACTCCGAGAAGAGCTAATTGCGGATTTCGAAGAAAGAAAAGGAGAAAAAAAAGACAACAACAGATTCTGTCAAATGCAAGAAGATTTGTGCTGAAGTAAGAAGTTATTCCACAAAAGAATGCTCTTGAATCTCTTGAATCTAATGGATGTTCGATTCTAAAGTTAGTCTCTTGAAAAGCTAAGTGGGCAAAAGAGTTTTCTGTCAAAATTGCACTCGACATCCAAATGGATATTCTGAAAGAGTGAAGAGACAAAGAGAAAGTGGGCACTAATCGTAAAAAGTAAGAAAAAAAGGAGAAGTAGAAAGGGGCACTGCTTGACTTTCTGCGCTTTCTTAGAGGAATGGAGTTGTTGAAAAAAATTGTCGGAAAACATAGTTTTTTTTGAAAGGATTAATGAGGTGAAGGGGGGTGGGAAAAATGTGGATTTGTATATTCTTAAAAAAAGAATAGTAAATACTGTAATAGTACCCCAGCCCCATAATGACGGTGCGGAGTGTTGCGTAGTCTAGCTTTGAACGAGTTTTTCTCGACACTGAATTTCAGCTATTTTTTGACACCAAAGACGCATTTGTTGAAAGTACGGGCGCTTTGAAAAAAATTAAATACTAAAAAACTTTTGCGACTACGCGACTGTACGAGGGGGCTGGGGTACTATTACAGTATTTATGGTAGTATAGAATTAAGCTCTGGGATTTTGAAATGAAAACAAAGCAAAATAAAAACAGGCGAAAACTACTCGTAACTAAAGTTTTTTAGTATTTCATTTTTTGCAAAGCACCCGTACTTTCAACAAATGCGTCTTTGGTATCAAAAAAATAGCTGAAATTCAGGCTATTTTTTGATACCTAAGCGCGCATTGTAGCATAAACCAGTGTCGAGAAAAACTCGTTCAAAGCTAGACTACGCAACACTCCGCACCGTCATTATGGGGGTGGGGTACTATTACAGTATTTACGGTAATTATATCCTCTAATAAGCAATAAGTAAGACAAAGTAAAACACTTGTCTAGAAAAAGTTTGAGTGAATCAATAAAGAAATTTTGCTTCATTTGTGAATTTCAGTGAAAATAATAGGTGATGATGATGTGAAATTGACTTAAAAATATTTAGAGTCAATATTTAGAAGAGTTGAAAGGAAGGAAAGCCAAGATTTGCCCGACAACATAAACCCAAATGGATTTTTTATGTAAATTGCCCTTGTTTCTGATGGGTTTCTAAAAGGGAGGGAAAGGAAAGAAAAGAATTATGCATGAGGAGAGTGGTGAAGACTCAAAACATCATTCCCCCTTTTTAGCCTTTTATGGCCACCGCCATTTATCAAATACTATAGGGTGCGTCATAATTACTAGGGCTCACTTCCAAGAGTCTAGCTCAGCCAAAATCAAACCAATCTTTCTGATTTTTTCAGAAATAAATTTTGACTAGATCCCCTGTAGCAGTATCCAATATTTAATCGATTGGAGTAAACACAAATTTTATATAGGTTCTGAAAGTTGAGAGTCGCGCTTCCGTTGGCACGAGTTTTTGAGGTTTTTAGAAAAGTTCATTTTGATCAAATTAAATAAAACTTTTACTAGTTTTGAATAATGTACGTTAAATTCTAGAAATTGGCAACTAGCTGCTTAAAAAAGAATGATTTCATTTCCTATTTCTCATTTCCTAAGCAGCTTCTAGATTTGTTGTTTGTGCATTTCAGAATCCAGCGAACTTTATCCTTTCTTCTTATGATTCTTCAAACTTGAACGGCTTACTTTGCATGGCCAGCTTTTCATTGACACTTTCCTTGCAAGAAAAACCCCAATTCAGAATGAGTTGCGGCAAGAATGGTGGTTTAAATACCAAAAAAAACCATTACGTGCCAACGGAAGCGCAACTTTCAGAGCATATATATAAAATTTGTGTTTACTCCAATCGATTAAATATTGAGCACTGTTGCAGGGGATCTAGTCAAAATTTATCTCTCAAAAAATCAAAGAGATTGATTTGATTTTGGCTGAGCTAGACTCTTGGAAGTGAGTCCGAGTAATTGATAACGCACCCTGTAGAAATAATGCTCGCTTTTTTGACTCTCGGTTTACAAATTTAGCATTGGAAAGGTGCTTTGGGCAAAAAAAAAAGAATCTTATGTAAAAAGAAGCTTATTACATAAGTTATAGTCAAAGCTGTAGCACAAACCCTTTCATCGATGGGCACAGGCTTGGCGATACACAGTCGAACGGGGCCCATCGGAGCCGCTTTCAGAACAGCTACCGCTCTTTCGAGACTGAAAACTCGTGGTTTCGAAGGAAATTTCTCGAAATTTACCTAGCACAAGAGAGATCGTGTTGATTGACAGAAAGTAGGCGATCACCGGGAACAATTCGCCCATCCGCTTGAGCCACCCCACCGGGCACCAACGATTGCACGACAACCACTGACGAAGAGGGATGTCGGGGATCCTAGGAAAATCATTTGCCATTAAAAATGTCAAAATCTTATTGATTTTCACTAGAAAATGAAATTCCTAAATTATTCCGAAACAAACTTTATAATCAGCAACAGAGAATCCTAATCCTTTTGTGTCTTTGTGCAACCAAACCATCAATGGAACACATTCCCATACAGCCAAACCAGCAAGTGGTTCTAATGATCTTGCTCTCATTCGTTGTCCCTTTTGAGACCATTGATCCTAAGAAATTCATATTTATCAATTCTCAAAGCAATTCATTTATTTCTAATCAATTATAATCAATTTGAAATTCATTTACCTGTTCCTGAGCATCATCCGGCTCTCGACTGCAACTCGGCAGACATAAATCAGATTTTGCCTATAAAATTGTGCAATTAGTTGGTTATTTGTTTTAAAAATCATTTGTTAACGGCTGCCATGGTCGACTGGCTAAGAGCTCTGTATCTTAGTTGAAAGGCCAAGGGTTCAATTCCACCGGTTAAATTATTGTTTATATATAGATGGGTTTTCCCTAGATTTAGGATTTGTGTATTGTTTTTACTACATTATGTGTGTGAATAGATGTATTTTTTTTTGTTGCTTAACCTTGGCAATTTGTTGACTAGCTGAAGCGAGAAGTGGATAGGAAAGGGGCAACGAGCCGAGTGGAGCTTCAGCTGATGGCATCCACATTGAGATCGTTTCTGTCTGAAAGGTTTACAGCCTTAGAAAGTTTATCATGTAAATTTCGTTTGTTAAATGAAAAGTGCAAACCTTTCTGGCGACAACGAGGGTAACGGGGGCATTTGCGGCAACGGCTCTTGATAGAGCGTCTCTCACTGTTACATGTGATTCGCCATAGACGTGCACGTGATTCACCTAAAGTTTTGAATCAAAAAAACATGAAAACAGTTAGTGTTTATCTACGCCAAGGTAGCGAACACATGTAGAGTGCGGCATAAAGCCTTACGCTTTACAAAAGGATCCTTTTTCCAAAACGATTTTCTCCAAAGCGAGTTTACAGTTTTTTTCGTTTAAATATTTTGAATCTAGAGGGATTTTTCATTAAAAAAGGGTTACGGTTTTTCTATTCTATGTAAAATTACGCGTAGATTTCATGACTAATTGTTGTTTTTCAGCTTAGATTAATGTATTTTCTTAGAAAGTCAAAACTATGAAAACTAAAACGTCAATCAAACTGTACAGATATGCCGCACCCTTTACTTATTCAGTTACTCTTTTATATCCCTTGAAAACTTTAGACTTTATAAAACTTTATCTACCTGTAGCAGCTCATCTCCTGCATGCAGAAGCCCAGCCGCTGGTCCATCTCTTCGAATCGATCCAATATAATGGTGTGGACAGAGTGCTGCTCCTTCAACAACATCAACCGTTCCTTCCAAAGCAATGCCCAGTCCTCCATCACCGACTGGATGTCTTTTATCGGGTCGAATCACTGCTTGAATGATCTCCACGTCTCCTGAAAACCTTTGAAATAATGAAATACTTGTCTAATTAACATTTTAGGTTAAAGCCCCAAAATCTGAGCTATTTTTTTGATTTTGAAATTCAATGTAACAGAGATTTTACGGGTTTTTTTCGTTTAAATATTTTAAATCTAGAGATTTTTTCATTAAAAATGTCATGGTTCTTCTATTCTATGCAAAATTACGCGTAGATTTCATGATTAATTGTTACTATTTTACTTCTAGAATCACACATTCAAGTAGGTTAACAAATTGATATTCTCAAAATTGTCTTTTCAACAATTTTCAACCTGCAATCTTTTCTTTCCATTGTGCAACAAGATCAGGATCCGACGATTGAACATCAATCACTTGTGTTTCCGTTTCCTAGATATTTTTTAAAATATTTTTTTATATTTTTCACCTTTTTCTTGGAAGTACGAAAAAGTGGGGAAGACCTTTTTTTGGGGAAGAGTATTTCAAAAGAGAAAAAAAGAGAAAAAAAGATGGGCGCTCCACATTCAAATCAGTGGGAATGGGACATCGTTCCAAAGTGGGGACCCCACCAGTTCGATCCCCACTTTGGCTTTTCTTTAGCTTTTTTCTCAAGAAGTGCCGACTAGTGTTTTTTGTGTGACACCGACAGGTATCCCATTGCCGCCAGGGTAGGGTCTACTATTTTTCCATTGACTTACTGATTTTTCGTGGCCAAACTCGATCTTCTATTTTTTTATATTTTTCACCTTTTTCTTGGAAGTACGAAAAAGTGGGGAAGACCTTTTTTTGGGGAAGAGTATTTCAAAAGAGAAAAAAAAGAGAAAAAAAAGATGGGCGCTCCACATTCAAATCAAATTTGTGAACACACAAACGAGGATTCTTTTCTTTTTTTTTGAAGTGAGAAAAAAAAGGGAAAATCTTTGACAATCCTTAAATTTTCTGATGAAAAATAGACATAAAAATAGGAAAATTTTCGATTGTTGATCACCTGTTTTTGAAGCATGGTGAGACACAATGCTTGAGGGCTTTCCGGATGGAAACGGACAAGGCTAAAATGGGCAAATTAAAAGTGAATCAATTGAAAGAGTCAATCAATTGTTTTCCTATTGGAAATGGCATGGAAATGGGATCTTTGGAAAGTTTACCTCAGAGTAACTTTTTGCCCACTTTTCACAAGGGTTTTCACAGAGTCGGCGTGTGAGAGATGCTCGAGAGATTCACCGTTTACCTAAAAATTACTGTATAAAAGTGATTTAATATCTAGCAAGTATTATTTCAAATAGATTTTCCTGTAAACCTTTAGAATGAGATCGTTTTGATGAACGAGTTTCGACTTTGCCGCGGCACTTCCCTTCACAAGACTTTTCACAAAAACGCCACCGATTTCTTCTGAAAAATTATTACGTCAAATGATAATTAAAATATAGAGTCAGGCATAAGGCTCAACTCTGATGGCAATAGGATACGTGTTAGTCATTGGTAGAGCGTTCGGCCGGTAAGGGAGAGGTCGCAGGTTCGAATCCCGGTGGCGATCATTTTTTTATTCCTAGCCTCAATCCATAAAAGAATCGGTGTACAACTAAGTAAACGAGATCCCAACACATAGCTCTATGCTTGTAAAGTGATAACTACAGCATAATCTAGGTATTTACGGGAGTGGGACAAATGCTACTTTTTTTGCGCACCCGGACATTTGTGCACCTTTTTTTCCGCACCTTGCCCATTAGCGCACCTTTTTTCGCGTTTTAAAAAAGCTCTAAAAAGCTAATATTAACCAATTACCAATTTCTATTCCAAAAGTTGTTTTTCTAGGTAATTTTAGGGCGTAGAATCGAAATTTTGACATAACAGAGCGTGTGGAACCAATTTGAAAGACAAAGCGGCTAGATCAAATTACAGAAAATTGTCGATTTTTCTCTTTGTATAACTCCGTCCGTTTGTTTCCACGAGCTCTGATATGTCAAAATTTCGATTCTACGCCCTAAAATTACCTAGAAAAACAACTTTTGGAATAGAAATTGGTTAGTATTAGCTTTTTAGAGCTTTTTTAAAACGCGAAAAAAGGTGCGCTAATGGGCAAGGTGCGGAAAAAAAGGTGCGCAAATGTCCGGGTGCGCAAATGTCCGGGTGCGCAAAAAAAAGGTCGCATTTGTCCCACTCTTACAATGTTGTGAATGTGTACACGCTTTGAAAAAGAAAAGGAGAGGTGAAGATTTAGAGAAGAGAAATGAGAAACGAAATAAAACGGGAGGGGGAAAGAAGAGAGGAAAAGTCAATGGGGCGCGATGGAATTTCCGCTGATTTTGCATGCTTTTCGTTTTGGGTTAACAGATGGGAAAAAATAGATAAGTCAACATATAAAAGTATATATTTTACAATCGAATACTATGGTGTGTAAGCTTGCAAAGTCAATGGCTCTTCAACTTATTACATTTAAACATTTACATAAGCGCTCGGTATTTTGTACTCTAGCACATTTGGCTAGAGCAAAAAGTACGGATCGGTTGTTGTTTTCTGTCAAAATTTAAGACTGAAGAATGGCAGTAATATTAAAGCTAATTGTAGCTTACTATTAGAAATAATTAGAAATAATTAGAAATCATTTTTCCATTAAACACCGACCTTTCCTATGCACATATCCAGCGACGGTGATTCCCAATCCAAGTGTTGGATGTCTTTCCAATAAAACTTCGACCAAATCAAAACGTTCCGCTTTTTCCCAGTTTTCTCGAAGAAACACTGTCAACGCCTAAACGCCTTTTTTTTAAAAAAAAAGTCCTTTTAACGTTAAAACCTTTTGCCAAAGCCATTACAAAAGTTGTTTAAATGTAAAAATTTTTGTGTAAGTTGAATGTTGATTGACAATGATTATGACTTTGCGAAGAAAAAGTGTTCGTGCTGTTTTTTTTTTTGACATGCAAAAAGAGAAAAAGAAGAGTGGAAAAATTGGGAAAGATTTAGCCATTCACGAAGAAGGCAATTGAGTTTTGAGAAATCACTATTTGAACACAAATATATCGAGGAATTTGGAGAATTTGATTAGTTGATTTCAGAAAAGCAAAAACGATATATTAATGATTAAATCGTGATTTCATTTCTTATGATGAATGAATGAATGAATGAATGAATACCTTGAGGGTGATCGGTGTGCTGATTAAGTGCTAAGAGAGCATTGTTTTTTGGTGAGGATTTGAAGAAACAAAAGAATTGAAATGGAAATCGAAATGAAAAGACAAACCATTTCTTGGAGAGCTTTTAGGGAGATGATTGGAGATTGAGATGTGGTGGGATCGGATCTGGAATCGGAATTCAAAATGAAAATTGCTTTTAAACTTTTAAAGAACTAATAGTTTTATATATGGCAATCAAACTGCTAATATTTCTTTTTTTTTCAAATTATCTGATTTAAATCCATTGAATCTATTTTTAAAAAATCAAATATCGGTCAAAGCTAGTGTGAAATAACAGATGGTTACGGTATACGGTTCCAATACGGTTCCAATACGGTTCCAATACGGTTCCAATACGGTTCCAATACGGTTCCAATATGGTTCCAATAGATTTTTCAACTAACAAGGGCTAACTTTCGACTTCGACAGGCCAAATGCTATTCGGCCTATACCATTCGACGCAGAATTTTATGCTGCTTCCGAATATATATATTCCGTTTTTGCTAAATGAAAATTTGGCAGGAGTTGCGTCTAAAGTTTTGTTAGGAAAATGTGTTCATTTGGGTCTTACGAGCGGTCTTAGCGCCCCCCTTGCGGACCTTGGCCGAGTGGGGCATCGTTCGTTTCCAGAGCGAGACCTCACCAGTTCGATCCCCACTTTGACTTTTCTTTAGCTTTTTTCTCAAGAAGTGCTGACTAGTGTTTTTTGTGTGACACCGACAGGTATCCCATTGCCGATAGTAGGCCCTACCCTGGGGTAGGGTCTACTATTTTTCCATTGACTTACTGATTTTTCGTGGCCAAACTCGATCTTCGACTCTCTTGAGCACTAGGGGCATTCGATGTCGACGCTTCAACGTCTTGTGACGTCTGAAACTTTCAAATTCAATCCTTCTAAGTGATCTTAATCACGAAAAATACTCAGAATTGCAAACTTTAAAACCTTTGTGCTTTGCCGTTCCAATGCATTTTCTGTTTTCTCCTTTGAATCTCTCCGATTCTCTTTATCTTCTTTGGTGATAAACCCGTTGGCTGAGGTAGACTCCTGAAAATTACTTGTAAATCGTGCACAAATCCCTCGTCAAACCTTATTCTCATCATGTTCATTTTGTACAACATTTATCGTCTCATTTGTGTGCCTTCTTTCTCTCATTTCCTCTTCCAAAGTGCTCGGATTGAGAGCCGCTTTCGTTGACATTGTCCAGCAATCTAAACATTTCAAAATGTGAATGTTGTGAATGTGAATGTTCTGGAATGGTTTTTAGAAAAATTTATAGAAAAATCGTTAAGAACTAATCAAAATCCTCACCAACAACTTCCGTTTGAAGCGCAAAAGTCGGAATTAATACATGGGCACAAAAAAGGAATGCGGAGAGGTAAAGAGGCAAAAATAATACATCGAAAAGCTCTATTATCGATGAAAAAAGAGGAATGAGATGAAAAAAGGGGAAAAAAGAAGAGGTGAGTGAATAATTGACGGAGGGGGGAGGGGAGGGGAGAGGAGTGGAGTGGAGGGAAGGCTCTGACTCTTTAACCCCTTCATCCCATCTCTTTTGATACTAGATTCATTTATTGTGCTAAAGCTTATCTGCTAGCTTGATGTAAAAACAGTTTGCTATATTTGTGAGAGCTGTTTTGTCTCCAAAAAGCATCAGAAAAGAGTTCTATTCAGAAATTGTGCCTCCATTTGACCAAAGGGCAATAAGGCTAAATCCTTATCTTTATCTGCATAGCTAAATCTTAAAACGTGCTAAGGATTCACAAAATATAACCCTCAATTTCTATCATTTTTTCATTTTCTATTTCTTTTCCAATCCCCTCTTATTCTTTATTCCCCTCCACATCACATCGCCACTCATTTTCCGCCGCAATGAAATGAAATGACAAAATGATCCTTGAACGAGAATGGATAGAATGCAGAAAGGGTATGAATTTTGAAAATTTTATGCTTAGTTTATACGGGTATAGCTCTAGTTGATTAATAAAAGAAATTTGGAAAATGATGATGTTTAGCTAATGACGCTTTTTCTTCAAAACAAGAGTTGTATCTCTGAAAAAAACTCGATGTTGGTATGAGTCGATTGGAAGAGAAAAAAGGTAGAAAGAGAGGGAATTCAAAAAGAAATGGAGGGTTGGGATGGAATCAAATTCGAATTTGAAGAGAGGAGAATTGAACGAGTGGAGGAGGGGGAAGGGGGGGACGGTGAACGAGTGGAAGCAAGGGAAAAGAAGAACACACTTCACTAGCTTCAAGTGGAAAAAGGTTTAGCGTATTTTGATGTAATAAACATTGACTCAAGAATCGTTTTTGATTCCAAAAGTCTTCTAACCCACTAGCAGTATCGTCAGGTCGATCAGTGCCCACAATCGGTCGTCCAACAATCATCTCAACAATGTTTTCTTGTTGTCGGAGAATTGTCGCCACCTGAATTTCATTTTAAAAAAAAACTATTTGTCGTTATCGCATTATATTCTAGAATCATATTTTGTAGTTGAAACTTTTAGAAGGGAGGAATTAGGACCGATTCTCACTAAAGCCGAATTGTCGGCAAGTGGGTGTCTATAAAGGGACTAACAAGGGAATGCTCTTAGCTCAAAGTTCGGAATCGACCGGAAACACAGTGCATAACATAGAATCGGCAATGGCGAACCAAATGTCACAAAAATTGACCGCCAATAGCCACGGAAACCCGAGAAATCTGGCATGCAAAATCGGGATTCAAAAAATTGATTCCTTTATAAGGCTTCTCTCGCTGTCGAGGAGGAGATGGGTTCGTGGCCTCGTGGAGAAAGGTTTAGGTCTGGGAAACGGTGGTACTATTTTTGCCCTCGGGTTCAATTCTGCCCACATGCAAATTTTTCCTTTCTTTTCATTTTTCAAATCTTTCAAAACGAACGGAAGGGAGAAATCGCGGGTTCGCCTCCTCTTGCCACCAATTCTTTAGCTTTTTTCTCCAAAAATTTTTCTGGTAGTAATATAATTTTTTGATGCTTTCAGTCTTTAACATTTCAACTATTTTTAGTTTGGCCTGATGTAGAATTTGTGACAAAATACAGGCAAATTTAGGGCAAGAATTGATCCCAAGCATTTGGGCATAGTGAGCTGAGATACTCAAGGTTGAAACTGGCATGCAAAGCGGATTTGTTCTCTTAATACCTGGTATATAATTGATGAAATGATCATCTTTCATACTTGAAACCATTTAAGCACTGTTTTACCTGTTGACTCGTCATTCCCTGCGTATTCACACTGCCCACTTGAAGGATGTGATCTCCCGGGCGAAGTCGTTGATCCTAAAAGCCAAAAAAATAAATCAATCAAATGCAACTGAAAAAATTTCTTTTTCCCATACCTTATCGGCTGGACTGCCAGGTAGGATTGTCTTAACGACAACGCCCGTTGATGTCCCACCGACAATTCCAAATCCCAGCCCTCCCTGCAACACCTCCAACCGCACCACCTCCACTTGGGTCCATTCACCAGAGAGCTAGAAATTAAATGTGTAAGTTTTAACGCTACTTTTGACTATTTGTTAACCAGTTTTGCTAGAATTTACATACTAAAGCTGTACTTTCATTTATCTTTTCCAAAACTCGGATCGATTGATCGAATTTCAAAAATTTCCATTAAAAATATAAGAATTTATAAATTCTGACCACTTCTCGAACTTTCTCGCCTCAATTACCCCCTAGTTAGACGCTTTACTTTCTGCGAAACGCAACTGGTGAAGTGAAAACGTGGCTTTGAAAATGATTAATTCGATACACACAAACTGACAGACAATTTTTCAAAATTATAATATAGTAGATATAGATTGGTTCGTAAAACTTTCCCCCTCAAGCCTAATTTCACCTTTGGTTTAGATCTTGGCTGTCCGCCATCTTCAGCTCTCAAAACGAGTTGGATTTGTGAAGCGATCATCTTTCGTCATTCAACTCATTGAGAACTTGAAGGAATTCAAATTCAAATTCAAATGCAAATTCAAATTCAAATTCAATTCAAATTCAAATTCAAATATTCAAAGTTACAAATGAAAATGAGAAAATGAGAAGATGGTGGAGAAGTGGGAAGGACAATGGGAGGAAAAGAAGAAAAGGAGGGGAGTGGGCAGAGTGCTTCGACTCGTCTCGTGCAAATCAAATCACGTTGAAGTCTCTTTCTCAATTCATCTAGCGAAGAAAGTCCATCCACTTTCACATTCAATACCAATTTCTTTTCTATTGTCCCTGATAATTTGGGGGAAATTAATTGTAGTGCAAACAAGGGGAATTGAAGAATCTACGACTGAAGATACCTATCTTTTTTGCACACTTTGAACACCAAATTTGCTTAATTAAAAAATTTTTGGAAAATAGCAAATAGGTTAGACCTGACACTGACTGCTGGCTTAGGGAACAGGAATAGCAAGGGGAGCAAGACAAGACAAGACAAGACAACACAAGACAAGACAAGAGCTCTGCAAGACAAGACTAAAGTCTGGACAGAGTCCAGGCAAAAACGAGAACGGGTCAAGCACTTTTACAGGTCAAGCAAGACAAAAAATGAATCAAAATCTGTGCAAATCTTTCAATAAAGTCTCGAAATCAATCAAAATTTGGTTAATGAATCAAAAAGGCGAATGTAAGATGAATGGGACTCTCATTTCAATTCGATGACAGCCACAAAGAAGTGAGGAAAATGATCGAAAAGATGTCAAATATAATGAAATGCGAAAGAAAAATGAAAAGAGATCATTTGAGGGAAAAGAGAATGAAAAGAAATAAGAAACGAAAGAGAGGAAAGAAACGAAAGAAACCTTTCTTTAGAAGTAAATGAATGGTCAGCTGTTGCTTCGTTTCCTTTTATCTTTTCATTACTTGTTTAGAGGTTGGATAACTAAAGGAGAACGAAATTCGAGAACTAGAAATGACTTAAAGATGAAGATGAAATGAAAAGTTTCTTTATGAATAGTGAAGTGAGTTACTGTCTAGTTTAAAGTTCAATATTATCTAGAGATTCAACTTACAATGAGATCTCAATCAGATTCAGTATTTCAGTTTCTACAAAATATTGGGTTGGTAAATTGAAAACTGCGGGACTTTGAACTAGAATTTATTCAACATAAAACCATCAATTGATTCCAAATAATTTTCATTATTATTGACGACTTCTGCCCATTTTACAGGCAATTTGCAGATTCCTTTTTCTTGGTAGGATTTTGGTTTTAAATCGAGAAACTTTCATAGCCAATTTTTGACTGCTTCTTCCGAATCGAAGTGTTCACCCGCAAGCTCATTACTTATGAGCCGGAATAAATAGTAATCAAAAGGGGCGAGGTCCAGACTGTATGGGGAGTGCGGAAAACAATAAACATAATTTAAAAAAATAAGCAATAATTTAATGATTAATGATGTCATCCTTTAATATTGGGTTGGTGAATTGAAAACTGCGGGACTTTGAACTAAAATCTATTCAACATAAAACCATAAATTCATTCCAAATAATTTCCATTATTATTGACGACTTCTGCCCATTTTACAGGCAATTTGCGGATTCCTCTTTCGTGGTAGGATTTTGGTTTGTGTGTGAGACAAGTGTGAGACTCAAAAATGGAGGACTAGAGATGTCACAGTTTGAGCACTTTCTTCAAAAGGAACCCATTTTCGTGTCAATGGAAAAGTTGTAGAGAATCAAAAATTAGGCTTATAGCCAAATTTCCAAAAAGATACACTTAGTAGTTTCGCTTAAAATGCAAGTTTTGTGAAAATTCGTGAATTTGGCATTTCTTGAAAACCAATTTTTGAATCTTTCTGAAAATTTGGATATAAGCTTTATTTTTAATTCTCTACAACTTTTCCATTGACACCAAAATGGGTTTCTTTTGAAGAAAGCCACCTATGACAAAGTCAAATTGTCACATATGACAATAGCCCGCAGTTTTCAATTCACCAATCCAATATTCCCATAAAAAATCGACTTCTCTTACCATTAAGTTGAGCTCGAAAAATAGAAATGAAGATCGTACAAATGTACAAACGTACAAATGTAATAGTGAGTATTTTGTGGGTAAAATGTTTCGCTTTCCAAAATGTTCCTTAGCTTTTCTTTTCCCAATCTCAACTTTTCTTTTCTCAATATTTGTGTATGACAGAAAGGGGATCAATTACAAATTAAGTGGAGAAAACTCATTGCAATTCATTGCAATTCATTCAATCAAAAAATTCAATCAATTCATTGAATCAAAAAAAAAAGAAAGTACAAGGATTTGACTAAAATAATGCTGAATTAGTTGAGTTTTTCAAAATTCGATGACTGACTGAATTGTCTGACTTTACAGGCTACAAATGACTCGAAAAAGTTCACACGTTTATTGCCGGTGACCGAATTGAAATAAAAAGATGGGAAAAGTAAAAATACTATGAAAAATTGTGATGTATCTCATAGAAGAAAGGTTAAATTTAGTAAACTAAAAGTAAACTAAAAGAAACTAAAAGTAAACTAAAAGATTTAGTAAACTATGTTCGTTTGTTCGTTTGTTTAAGAACCCCTTTTTGCTTACAAATTACTTTGATGCTTTGTTTTTTTTTTTGTAATCGACATTGAACTATCAATCTATCTTCTTTTATCATAGCTTTTATTTAGCTAAATATTTTCATATAATTATCGATTAGAATATCCACTTTTCAGGACAAATAAAGAGAAATATTGAAAGAATTTTGCTGAGAAAACTGCTTAAGAATTTAAGAAATTTATTTAAGAGATTTAAGAAAAAGAAGTGGCAAGTTTTTCAAATTCAAATTCAATAATAAGTTTTTATGAATACTTAGTAAAGATATTTAGTAAAGTACCGTAAATACTGTAATAGTACCCCAGCCCCTCGTACAGTCGCGTAGTCGCAAAAGTTTTTTAGTATTTGATTTTTTTCAAAGCGCCCGTACTTTCAAAAAATGCATCTTTGGTATCAAAAAATAGCCCTGAATTTCAGCTATTTTTTGATACCTAAGCGCGCATTTTAGCATAAACCAGTGTCGAGAAAAACTCGTTCAAAGCTAGTCTACGCAACACTCCGCACCGTCATTATGGGGCTGGGGTACTATTACAGTATTTACGGTATGTTCGTTTGTTAGAATATTGTTTTCATTTTTTAAAGTATTTGTAAAGTTTCTCGTTTCTTTTGATTTATTTTTGCAACTCACCACCATGGGGGTGCTCTCGCGAAGTGCGGCAACAGCAACAGTGACCCCAGCACGAACACTTCGGGAGGCGATCCCGCTCCACTCCGCCTGAAAAGAAATAAGGATTTCAATTTGAATATTCGTCAAAGGTCTAAGTCTATGTACTGTTAAAATTGATTTACTGATTGATTACTGATAAAATTGATTTTATTGATTAAAATAAAAATGAACTTTAGTTAATTTGCAAGAATCTCTTTTACTTTAGAAAATTAAAAGCAGAAACCTTTGGAATTAATAAATACATCGTATAACGATGAGGATTTAAATATAAAAAAAAGAATAGCAAAGAAAAGAATATATTTGGATATATAAAGAAGAAGAAAAAGAAGACGAAAAGTGATGGAGAGGTGTCAAAATTGATTATGATCTTTTGAAACTGCTAAAAATGGGGAAAAGGGGAAGAAAAGTGTAGGAGAGAGAAAGGAATATCTGAGTAAAGTATATAATAGTATATAAATTATATAAAGTAAAGTAAAGTATATAATAGTATATAAAGTATATAATAGTATATAAAGTAAAGTAAAGTAAAGTATATAATAAGAAAGGTGATATTAAAGAAAAACGATAAACAATTGATATTTCTTTAAGTAAAATAAGAAGACTTGAAGATTTACTTTAGTTAATTGGTTTCTTTAGTTAAAATAAACTACTATAAAATTGAAACACTCAAAGTCAATGAAGCTGAATTCTCCGCTTAAAGCTTTCAAGCTGAGAATTCGGTCTGAAATCTGATTAAGCTTTCAGTAATTATTAAATTGGCAAGAAAGTCTTTTTTCGGCAAGGCTTTAAGCCAAAACGCTAAGAATAATCTATGACAAAAACGGAAAATAAAAACTTTCGTCTTCAACCTAATAGAAAGCAAAAACAAAATGTTAAAAGAGGAGCGTATTAGGACCGATTCTCAAAACCAAATTCTTCTCAAAACCAAATTATCTGCAGGTAGGTTTAATAGTATATTTCTTTTGAATAAATTTACAACTTAATATCTTCTTTTAAGGCCATCTAGAAAGCAAAAGAAATGCGACAGTGTAAAGTGAATGGCGAGGACAAAAAAATGATATGATTACAATTTGGTTTTAGTGAGAATTGGTCTTAGTTTGGATTCCTTTTTTAAAACCATAAACCTAAGCAAAAAAAAGAAAAGCTGACACCTTTTATTTCATTGAGATAGAAATGAGGAGGGGGGTTTTCCCTTCATAAGACCCTTTTCTGATGGTTGGATATGGAGTAGATGGGGGAAACGAAAAAGAAAGAGTGAAATCGAAAAGAAATGACATCGTATCGTTGTTCTTTCCCCCCTTCTTTTGTCTTTTTTTTTTCTTTCTTCATCATTCCCATTTTCATCACCCATTTTCTTTTTCTCATCTTCATTCATTCATCCCAACCAACACAACCAATTCGACTCCCCAGAAGGCGTCTACGAGAAGAGAAAAATGATCCCTTCTCATTTATACAAAAATCCTCGATGAGTTTAGTTTAATGGAAACGTTGTTATCTTTGCACATACCGTAAATACTGTAATAGTACCCCAGCCCCCTCGTACAGTCGCGTAGTCGCAAAAGTTTTTTAGTATTTCATTTTTTTCAAAGCACCCGTACTTTCAAAAAATGCGTCTTTGGTATCAAAAAATAGCCCTGAATTTCAGCTATCTTTTTGATACCTAAGCGCGCATTGTAGCATAAACCAGTGTCGAGAAAAACTCGTTCAAAGCTAGGCTACGCAACACTTCGCACCGTCATGATGGGGGTGGGGTGCTATTACAGTATTTACGGTAATTATATCTTCTAATAAGCAATAGTAATTGCTTGAAAAAACCTTCATTTCGACTTTGCAGCCATTATCAGATAAACTCAAAGATTTTTCAAATAAAAGCAAAGCAACAAGCAATTCTGGGATATTCATATAAACGACTATATTTTATAGATCCCTTGGGAAAGCCTTGCTTTTAGATTTTGACAATCAAAACAAAAGTTTATTGATGAAATTTCGGAAATTAAAAGTATCTAGATAAATCTAAAATTTCAAGCCAAAACTTTTTCTCTATTTTTTTTCTATTTTTTTTTTGATTAAACTGACAGGTGCCTTTCAAATTTTGTCGTCTTTCTTTTAATGATTCGAACATATTTTTGTCGGCTCTCTAGGGAAAAGAATGAAATGAATTCAACAATAGAAAGAAAGAAAGAAGTTTTAAAAACTAAATGAAACAAGAAAAGCAAATGATATTCAATCAAATAATTTGAATTTATACTTCAGTCTCTACAATTTTTCTCTTCTTGTGTCCAAGAAGTTTACCGTGTTTCATTTTATCAATTAGACATTTTCTGTTATCACTTTTTCATGCTTACATAAATAAAGTATTGATTATTATATATTAAACTATTATTACCGTAAATACTGTAATAGTACCCCACCTCCCTCGTACAGTCGCGTAGTCGCTAGTCGCAAAAGTTTTTTAGTATTTTTCAAAGCGCCCGTACTTTCAAAAAATGCGTCTTTGGTATCAAAAAATAGCTGAAATTCAGGGCTATTTTTTGATACCTAAGCGCACATTGTAGCATAAACCAGTGTCGAGAAAAACTCGTTCAAAGCTAGACTACCCAACACTCCGCACCGTCATTATGGGGGTGGGGTACTATTACAGTATTTACGGTATATATAAAATCTTCTTGAATACAAACCCTTAATTGTGTGAGGGTGCTGCAACAAGACTCGGCGGAACCACGCGAACATTCGGAGTCTATAAAAGAGAGTTTCAATGGATAAATTACCGAGGAAATTTGAATTTCAATCAGAAAACTTAAACACTTTTATTTATAATAATCAATATTTCTTTTTACGGTTCACCTTGGGGATGAAGAATGTGATGGGGTGCGGCAACAGCCAACCACCGATCTCCGATTCGAACTGCGCCACCACTTCTGAAAAAGATTAATGTTGATTGAAATTTAGTTATAGAATTTAGCATCTGAAAAAGATCAATCAATGAAAAAGATGAAAAGAAAAGAAAAAGATTCAATGAATCTGCTTGAATTTGGTTAATAATTTGGTTTTTTAAAGTTTTTAAATGAAATTTTGAATGAAAGCATAAAAGGTAAAGGGAATTTTTAAGCGAAATGCAAAAGCGAAATTTTTCCCCGGTCGGTCATGTCGCAGAAATGCTAATTAACTATAACGGGCGGATTGGGTTTCTTGTTTGTCGCCTTGTTTGTGAGGGGAAAGTAGATGAAGAAGAAAAAAAAGGATAGGGTATTTTTGAGAAAAAAATAAAAAAGAGGAAAAACACTCAAAAACATCGATTCCCGAGTGGAAGAAGTGGAAGGAGTGAGGGTGGAATAAGCTTTCCCAAGCAAGGGACACTCCCTTTACCACCCTTTACCGGGGACCTCTAACACAGCCTTTCCTCTCTTTTACCTCACCTCCTTTCTTTTTCTTCAAAACCCTCAAAAGAAGCAATTACATTTTGTTCGCTCTTTTATTGTTGTCCCCAACAAGAAAGTGACTAAATTTCTTGAATAATTCTCTAAAATAATGTCATTTTAAATCAATTGCTAGAGATTTTTGAAAACTCTTAACACTGCTTTCAGAAAAACGCCAATTCCCATAATCAAATGGGCATACCGTAAATACTGTAATAGTACCCCCACCCCCATAATGACGGTGCGAAGTGTTGCGTAGTCTAGCTTTGAACGAGTTTTTCTCGACACTGGTTTATGCTACAATGCGTGCTTAGGTATCAAAAGATAGCCCTGAATTTCAGCTATTTTTTGATACCAAAGACGAAAGCTTTTGAAAGTACGGGTGCTTTGAAAAAAATGAAACACTAAAAAACTTTTGCGACTACGCGACTGTACGAGGGGGGTGACGCGCCAAGTATTCGTAAGAGTCTCTAGAATAAAAGTTATCCCCTCGTTTTTGGTTCTAGATCCTCGTTGTCGAGTTACGAGCCCCAAACTGCAGGGTACCACAAAATTTCCCATACAAAATGACCAAAAAACCGCTAAAACTAAATTTTAAAAATTTCTGTCAGAGGGATTTGAAAAATTCCTTCAGATTCGGAATCAGCACAATTTTCCGTATCTAAAAAAGGTACTCCCAGAGAAATCCGATAGAAAACGCATTTTCGCGCCGATGTATGGCGTACTATTACAGTATTTATGGTAGTATAGAATTAAGTTCTGAGATTTTGAAATGAAAACAAAGCAAAATAAAAACAGGCGAAAACTACTAAAGAACAAGTATCAAGAGAAGTTCAAGTCTTTAGAAAAGAAAAGAAAAAACGAGGCTTGCATGTTTCTGAGTGAACTCTTTTGCGAAGCATTGGACAGAGACGGATAAAAATACTTGTCCACACGGAGAATCAAGTGGAGAAGAGTAATGGAGAGAAGGGGATGGAGAAAAGAAAAGAAAAGAAGGAAATGGAGAAAGGAAAAAGGATCTGAAGAAGTGAAAAGGGGGGGAAGGGACATGTATCGCCTGTTGGCACCCCTTCCACAAAGAGAGCCGCTTACAGCTGCTCCCTTTCCCCTCCCGTTTCACTCGTTTCACTCGATTTCATTTCCGTTCTAGAGAAAAGTTCTTATCTAACATCTTTGAATATTAAAATTCTATAGGAATCAATTTTAGTTAAGGAATACCGTCAAAACTCTAATAGAAACCCCCCCCATAGCGTAGTCTAAGTTTACCCTCAAACAAACGCTCAGATCTTGAGATCAGTATATTTATTTCTGCGCACTTGAGTATCAAATTAAAGTAGAGAGAATGGGTAATTTTTTGAGATATAACACATATTTTTAGCATTAATAAGCGCTTAGAACAAAATGATTGAAAATCGGCTCTTTTTTGTCACTACACGACGCTCCTATAGGGCTTCTATTAGAGTTTTTACGGTAATAAGCAGCACGATCATTTTGAAGATACAACAATTGTCAAAATGAGGCTTTGGAAAAAAGATCTGAATACTTCAAAAAGAAAATCTGGCAAAATTTCAAGTGAAAGATGAAAAAAGTTAATAGAACAGCCCCCATAACGTAGTCTAAGTTTACTCTCAAACAAATGCTCAGCTCTTGACATCAGTATGTTTATTTCTGCGCGCTTAAGTATCAAATTAAAGTAGAGAGAATGGGTAATGTAAAAATGTATGAATAGTAAAAGATATTGATTGAAATGAAGCTCTCTAGTCGAATCCTCCGTTCCCCTTTAAACCATCTCTTTTCTCTGAATCCTTTATCCATTCCTCCCACTCCTCTCATTCAATTTTGCACACAAATTTGATCAGTTATTAAATTTTGCGCGCCTCTTTTCCTCGGCTCTCAGTTTTGATCTGTTCATCCTCTCAAAAGATATACAAAATGCCATTTTCTGTGCCAAAGTTTCTTCGTTTTCAATGAAAGCACTTCACTAAAGCTTTAATGTAAAATTCTATTAGACAGTTTGTAAAAGGGGAAATTTTTTTTTAATTCTTTAGAATATTTTTCAATTTAAAGGTCAAGAGTAGTAAAAGTAGTAAAAGGAAAAAAAATCTCATCTGATTTTCAGAAAAAGGGGCAGCTATGTTGTTGTGTTGGCAAGTTTGACAAAGAATCCCATATAAGCCAGACTCTTCACCTTATCCTTTCCTTTTTTAAGGGTCAAGAGCAAAACCTTTAAAAGTAGTAAAGTTCGGTCCCCGGCTGTCCCACCGAACCTTGTTTTTTTAAAATAACACAACTACAATATATTCTAAGGCTTTCTAAAGAAGTTTTAGCTTTATTGGTCAAAACACGACCAAGAAAATGTCCGTACAGACAGACACTACTCTTTAAGCTCAATCAAGTTTGACAAAGAATCCCATATAAGCCAGACTCTTCACCTTATCCTTTCCTTTTTTTAAAGATCAAGAGCAAAACCTTTAAAAGTAGTAAAATCAAAAAAAAAATCTCATCTGATTTTCAGAAAAAGGGGCAGCTATGTTGTTGCCGGATAAATCCTCCTCACAGCAGGCGCAATTTTTTGACAGAAGCTATATGGAAATGGGAAAATCGAATTTCGGAGAGGTCGTTGTGATGTGTCTTTTCACTAGTCTGTGAAAAGGAAAAAAAGAAAAACGAAAAAAAAGGAGGGAGACTAACGATGGCCATTTGTTGGCAACCGACCTACATGAAAAGAAGAAAAAAAGAATGAGAAAGGGAAATGGACAAGAATGGGACAAGGACAAGAAAGAGGCAGGGACACACTCCCGTCCATGTCCCGTCCATGTCCCATCCATGCCCATAACCACCACTTCAGCTTCTTTTCTTCAAAAATGGGCTTTCTGATTTGGCACCCTCCCTAATGGTGCTGATTTTTGCGGGACATTCGGAGTGAAAAGTGACCATGAATAAGTCATACATAAGAGGCACATCAATCAGAGATTTGTCAGAGAATCAGAGAATCAATTAGAGATCAATCATCAATCAGATTTTTGAAAGGATAAGGTTAAGAGTCTGGCTTATATGGGAATTCTTTGTCAAACTTGATTGAGCTTAAAGAGTAGTGTCTGTCCGTACGAACATTTTCTCGGTCGTGTTTTGACCAATAAAGCTAAAACTTCTTTAGAAAGCCTTAGAATATATTGTAGTTGTGTTATTTAAAAAAAAAACAAGGTTCGGTGGGACAGCCCGGGAACCGAAGCCGGGCCGTAGACAAGGGTCGGCCGTAGTCTGGATCGCAGACGAGTGCGCTCCCGACTGCGCCACCGTAACACGACATTCCACTGTAATGAAAGTCGCGGTAAATAGGGGGATTATTGGGAACTATTTAAACCATAAGATCTCAATAATTGGTGTAGTTATCTACACCAATCCCAATAATCCCCCTATTTACCACGACTTTCATTGCAGTGGAATGTCGTGTTGCGGTGGCGCCCTTGTCTACGGCCCGGGTTCGGTCCCCGGGTGTCCCACCGAACCTTGTTTTTTTAAAATATTACAGTAAATTGATCCGTAATCAATAAAATTTTGGCATAATAACAAGAAAATATAAAAGACAAGGTGCAAAAATCAATTTCAAGAAAGTTTAAAGGCAAAATTATCCCCATAATTTTCACCAACTTTTGTTTGATATCCTGTGGCCCAACAACGATAAGTCTCGGTCTCGCTTCAGCTGTCTCGAGAAGGATTGCACCCAAAGATGGATCGATTTCAGCTATTATCAATCGCTGAAAATAAGTGTTCGAGATTGCGTTCGAGAATTGGACTTTTGATGAGATTTAGAGTAGATTTAGTCTCAAAAGGAAATGAAACTCTGGAAAGAGGGCTTTTCCTGTCTCAATCTACCTGATTCGATGCGAGTTGTGCCTTGAGTGTTGACTCGATTTCACTCCGAAGTCTTTCTGTATTCGGCGTTGGTGTTTGAGCTGAAATTGAAGCCATTAGCCTTAGAGTCTAATTGTATTTTTGGTTGTAGATTGGTTGTAGATTGGTTGTAGATCTATCAAATCAAAGTATTCAAAAAAATCCGTTTTTCTTACCTTTTCTTTTGAACAAAAATCTATGTCTAGCTTCTCTCATAGTACATGAAATTGATGAACATCATTGGGCAAACGGGAAGTCTTTTTAAGATAGAGTAGTTAGCTAGTTTTTAGATTGAGTTGAATGAATTCTCTTGCAATTTTCCGAGAGATATCCCTCCAATGGGTAGTCATCCAATTTGGGATGAAAAAAAAAGAGGATTTCAGCTCTGATTCGCCTCTTCCATCCAAGCTCTGTTGTGCTTTTTATGGACACAATTGGGGCTTCTCATTTTAGAAATCATTTGCCTAGTGGGTTTTCAAAATATTGATTATTTAGAAGCAAGATCAAATTTTCAAGTGCTCGAGTGACAGTTCACTTTTGACAGTTCCCGTTTTACATTCACAAACCAAGTTACAAACCAAGTTTTTTCGGCGCTAGTGCTGTGGCGGAGGGTTTTGTTGTTGGTGGCTCCTCTTCTGTGACTATCTGTGGAGTCTAAATAAATATTTTTCTGTTCGAATTTTTCAATTTTAATTGAATTGAGATATTTTTTTTTATTTGATTTACCGGTGATGTGAGATGCTTCCGAAAAGAGGGATCCTCGAGAACCCGTTCAAGTGTGCGGATGTCGTTCTCGATCTCCTATAGATAATCGTTAAATATTGGGAGAATTTGAATTCGAAGAAATAGTAAAGAAATGTGGTGGATTGCTTGATTAAAAATCAATTTAATTCGTCTTACCTGACTTCGTTCTCTTGTTCTCAATTCCCTCAAAACTCGGCGCACTTTCTCCTCCTCTGAAATCGAATTCATAGGAAGTGTTCGTTGAAAAGTTCTCGATTCTTTAATTTATCCCCATCAAATTTGTAAATGAGCTAGATTTGAGAAACGACAAGGAAAACTAGACTATTTGTAGTGTATTTTCCATTTAAACACCTGATTTAAATCTTCTTTTTTTCTGCTGTTTTGAATCGTTTTGCCCCAAAAGATCAGTGAACTCTTTTGAACAAAAATCCATGTCTAGCTTCTCTCATAGTACATGAAATCGATGATCATCATTATCATATGAGATTACCCTAAAGTCGCGAGTATAAGTTCTGTTTGGTTTTCGCATGCAAATTGACGGCTGTCTCCGGTGCGGTGTGTCGAGGGTTCGAACCCCGCTGCAGCATAACTTTTTTGCTTTTTAAGAGCAATAATAGAAGTAAATTTAGTGAGGGTTATAGCAATTTTATGCTGTTATTTGTTGCTCCGGGCGTGGCTCGGCGCGTCCGCCCTGCTCCTCTCCGGTGCTCAGTCTTATGGATCCCTCCCTGGCCTCTTCATCCGGCCAAAGTCCACGTCGACGGTCGAAAGAGATGCTTTCCAGCGTCTTCTTCGCCTTCAACACTATCGTCTGGATGTATCCATGCACATAACAAATAGCAATGGTGATAGGCTGTCAAGCCTGAAAGCCTGACAGGGCTGAAAGCATGTGTAATGACGGTGCGGAGTGTTGCGTAGTCTAGCTTTGAACGAGTTTTTCTCGACACTGGTTTATGCTACAATGCGCGCTTAGGTATCAAAAAATTGCCTTGAATTTCAGCTATTTTTTGATACCAAAGACGCATTTTTTGAAAGTACGGGCGCTTTGAAAAAAAATGAAATACTAAAAAACTTTTGCGACTACGCGACTGTACGAGGGTATCCCGCGCTCCAAGAACAATAATAAAAGTTTATATAACAATAAAAATGTATAAAAACCCAACAAAAAGAAATTCAAAGCAATTAAAGCGAATGTGAATTAAGGCAGAACTTATACTCGGATGCACTTATACTCGAGACTTTAGGGTAATCGATTTCAAATGAAGATAAAACCAAAAAAAACTCCACAAAATTCAACGATTCTTTTCAAAAGTTGACTCAAAACATATTGATATGATTGTGATTTTCTTAAATTCACTCACCTGGAAATGGATATTCCATCGATTTCGCATTAACGACAATACATTTTGGAGTGATGAGAGGAAAAAAATGGGGATAGAAAATTGAATCGGTGATAGATCAAGGGGAAATCTACAGCTACAGAATGATCTGAAATAAAATATAAAATTAGTTAAAAATAAAAAAAAAAGCTGACAAAGTGGAGAAAAAGGTTAGCTTTCATTCATTCACCTAAAGTTCATTTCAAAATCATCTCAAAAATCAACAATTATACAATAAGCAATTAAAGTTAATGGGATAAGTGTATAGAAAAAGGAAAAGTATATGATATGGGAAAAGGGGAAGAAAGAAAAGGAAAGAATTGCCTCACACACAAAATCCCGAGATGGGGAAGAAGAGGGAAAAAAGAGATTTGAGACCTGGACACGTTGTAAACCAAAAAGAGGAAAGGAAAAGAAAAGAAACGGAGAAATTTTTTTTTTTTTTTTTGGACAACCCATCATTCGAAAGAAAAACAACAACTTTTTATGGGGATACTATTGGGTTGGGGACTAGACCGGCGCCACAAATGTGGGTGCTCCCTCCGGCCTTTTACTGTTTTGGGTCTGCTTTAGATGGCCGGGGTTGGTTGTCAGTCTTGTCCCCAACCCAATAGTATTGGAAATAAATCTATTGATTGAACATCAGCTAGCGTGATTTTGGTGCTATTGCGTAAGGCTCCAGTTCAACTGGCTCAGGTACTGGACAGTGTACAAAGTTTGGGATTAAATTCACCTTTTATCCGTACCTTTTATCATTTCGAATACTCACTGGACAAAGTCTGATTTTGAGCTTATTGCTATGAGATTAACAGCTTTGGATTGATGGGTGTGTATAAAATTTTGTCAGAATTCAGTGAAGAATTGTAAACAAATGAAATGATGCGAGGGATAAGAGACTTTTAATTTAAGGGAGGGGAATTGGAATCTCACTCCTCACTAAAGCCAAAGTGTCTTGGTTCTATGGGATTTGTAAAGAAATGCAGTCGAATTTGGGCCGGGAATTGGTCTCGGGAGTTTGGGCATAGTGATGCTCGCGGCGCCAGGTCGGCTCAGTCACTCAGCGCTCTTTCCCCTTACGGATTCCAAAAGGGAACACCTATCTATCGGGAGGGTGTGCCAGGTTGCGAGCGATTAAGCGGCCGCACAAAGAACACCTCGTCATCTCGTCAGAACACCCCGCACAAAGAACACTGGCGCTTTTCTTTTGCTTTTTAGATGTCCTTAAAAGAAGATATTGAGCTGTAAATTTATAAAAAACGATTATATCACTACACCTTCACAAGATTAAGGTCTAGCATTTCAAAGAACCAACTTCAAAAGTTTCTTTTAAAAAATGAAGAAAACAAATGAAAACATTGCTTGTCGTAGTTGTAATTGCTGTTGTAATTTTCTTGAATTTATGATTCTCTTGAAGAGAAAGGGTTGTTCAAAAAAAAGGAAGTTTGAGGGCTAAAAAGAAACAGATTTCCCCACAAAACAAATCCTTGAAAATTTCGCACACAATACAAAAAAAAAGAGTTTCGAAAAAAACTCATTTTCAGACAAAAATCCTCTTTTATGAGAGATTATTGTTATGTTTTGAGAAAAGAGAAAACAAAAACGACAAATGCCAAAGGTCAACGAAACCCAAGCACTAATCCCACAAAATCTCCCACAAAAAAAATGACATAGCTCAAACTAATCACTAAAAGGGAATACGATTTGAATGTATATGAAATATATGAAATATACAATGTAATACAGCTTTTTTTTTTGCAATTATCTTTTTGAGGACCGGAAATTGATAGACTTTTGTTGAGTCTGGAAAAAAATGAAAGTAAAGATGCGAGGAGTAAAATGTTTTGTTGCCGTGAGGAAAAACACCAGAAAGTACCAGAAAAGTGTACCAGAAAGGCTAGGTTTTCAGCACAAAGTACATTCGTAAAAATGAGGAAGACCTTAAAATTTTCTCTTTTCCCCAAAACGGCTCAAGTCGATTGGGAGTAAATTAGAGAGGTTATTTAGTCGATTCTTTACGAGAAAAAGCCAAGAAATTGGGATGGTCCCTAAGGGGTAAATGAAGAGAAAAAAGAAAAGAAAATAGCTTCTCTCAACCACAAAATGGACAATTAGGAGGAAAATGGAAGAATGGGCGGATGGAGATGAGATGGGAGCTGAAGAAATGAGAAATGAACAGAGAAACGAACAAATGAGCTTATCGAAATAAATGAAAAAGAAGAAAAGAAAGATGAAAAGGGTATCGAATTTGAAAGAAAAGATGATGGTGGAGGAATGGGAGATGGATAGTTTGGAGAGGAAATATCTCATACTTTCCATCTATCAAAGCACGAATATATCAAAACTTTAGTTTCTATCATAGCTATTTAATTTGAAAAGACAAGGTTTATTGTTCGCTAAAATAATCGCGTACCGTCATGTTTTTATTAACTCAGTCAATTTTCAGACACTTATTCATATTAGTAGATTACGGTAATCTTCTAGATTTTGTATTAGTTTCTGGAAGTTTTTCTGGAATTTCTTAAAAACGAAACCATTAATTTATATTTGTACACTTTGTTTTATTATTTATTAGTTTTATTATTTAAAAATTAGTGCAACCTTGCGGTAAAATATTTGCGATTATGGCAAAAAAAATGTTATTTTTCATCTTAAATTTAGCTCCGTTTTTTCACAAAACCAATTTTGTTAATAATTACCGTTTATAATCTTTATTTTTAGCTAAAACCTTTTGCTAAAGATGCTGTGTATTGAAAAAGAATTTATTTGAAATCTCCACTGTTCACAAGAAGAATTGTAAACTTTATTTTATTATTTACAAATATTTTTTTGAAAAATTCTAGAAAAAGCATTACCTAAAATCGTGCTTTATTAAAAATTTTAATAGGTTTTTCATGGTATTCCATGGTATTTCAATTACTAAAAGATTGGTTGAAGTCAGCCATCAAAAAGTCACTGAATCACTTCAGATAAAGAATCTATTGGGTTGGGGAGAATGAGTCGGCGCCCAACTTTAAAGGGACTTTTTGCACACATAAAGCCTTCTTTAAACATACGTTTGGTTTCATCAAAAGGATCCACTATTTCTCTACAAAATCACTTTTGAGAGATTCCACAAAGCTTTTCTTTCGTGGAGTTTATGAACTTCCAAACGCAGCTGGTTAAAATGGCAAAGAGTCCGACTCATCATTTGAACAGTTTCTTTCACATAAACCTTCTTTGGTGTTTATATAAAAAAGATAGAGCACATTCAATTACTTAAGTTGCCAAATTTGCAGGAAGATCCCACCAATGGTTTTTTCTAGATCACAGTTTGTAGTTTTTGTGAAAAAATGGCTTTTTCTTGAGCGGAGGCGCTGTTTGAATTTTCTTTTAAATGTCATTTTGTAGAGAATTAGTTAACCATTCTACTCATATCAAACGCATATTATTTGACGAAGTCGAATAGAAGTTTTAGACATTTTTTTGATTTTCGGCGCCGACTCATTCTCCCCAACCTAATAGAATAATCAGATAAAGAATCTAGAATAATCAGATAAAGAATCTAGAAAAATCAGCTAAAGAAAAACTCACTTCTGATAGAGTCTAGTGGCTTACATAAAGCACTTTCTGTTAAACCTAATAGATAAAGGGAAAAGATTTATTCATAAAAATTAGATCAAAGTTCACAGCTACTATCAAATAAGGGTTGCTTAGTATTCAGTCGAATCGAAATAAGGTTTTGTCTCTTGTTGGTGAATAAATGACCTTTCCCCTCATTTGTTTCCCCCATTTTTTTCTTTTTCAAAGCTGACCACCCCACTCAGCATGCATTTCAAATCGAGTTAATGCCGAAACACCGATCTACCTAGAAAAGAAATGAAAACAATTCTACGGGGGAAAAGAAGGGATATTCTATTAAAACAAAAAAATAATTAACCTAAATAAAACCCAAACATAACTCTATTTTTTAAAAGTACACTACATTTTAAAGTACACTACATCTTTTTGGTTTGACAATTATTTGATTCTTATAAGTAAAGTGAACAACTAGAACTTGAAGATTGAATCGTTCAATTATTTGATGACTCAATGACTCAAAAGTATGACTTTAAAGGAATTTATACAGATTTCTTATTTGTGTACAAAGTAGATGACTTCCAAATTTCATAAAAATCTTTTGATATGTAATCAGATAGAAATGAAATTAGAAAGATAGCATTTAAAAATAATATTTCTCATCTTTATACTAATAGAAGACGATGGTTTTCTTTTTTTCAACCTCCCAAAATCGGCTGAAAAAGTAGATAAGGGTCTCCAACATGAATCAAAAATTTTTAAACTCTTAAAAACTATTTTAAATGATAGCCTAACGATAGTCTTCTATTAGAATAGAATACGGTAGGTGTTAAGAGTGATGATAACTTTGGAACTAGCACACAAAGGTGTGATCGTTGAAATGAAAGAAGAAATGGAAAAGGGACGGCTTTTTTTTGAGGGGCACTTTTGAGGGGCTAAAAGAAGAAAAGGTTGAAAAAGAAGATGTAGAAAATAAGAAAGGAAAAGAAAAAGAAGATGAAGAAGAAGAAGAAGAAGAAGAAGAAGAGAAGAAGAAGAAGAAGAAGTGAAAAAGAAAAGACCGATCGAATATCCCTCAAAAAGAAGAAGGGAATGGAGTCTCTTTGCCGCTCCATAAGGAAAGAGAAGGGCAGAAGGGCCAACCACGCCTTTGCTATGAATAAAATTAACACCAACGCATATTATCACTTGTAAATTAAGGAAAATTCGTCTTATGCAATGTAAATTGGATATAAGTGAGAAAATTTCAAGCTAATTGATACCAGTAATGATAAAGTGAAACCCAATAAATTGGGGACTGAGGCACATAACACTGACATTAGGGACTGAGGCCACATAAGTTTTTCGACTCTTTACCCAGCAAAGTACTGACTTTAAGTCAGAATTCATCTGGAATTCCAAATTTTAAAAGTTTATATAATGATCCTTATTCAGATGATAAAGTGAAACCCAATAAATCATAGAGAAATGCACAGCGGGGTCATAAATGTAGAGACAAAAGAAAGGTACGAAGATACAAGATAGAGTGAAAATGCAAATAATCAGATTACCTACGAGAGGGAGCCGTTAGATCTAGAGCCTCTATTTGTTTCTTGAAAATGGAAAGGATGTTTCTTGACTGAATTTGTCGTATGTAATTTGGGATCTATTTTTCTATGGCTTCTATGGGATCTATGGGTTCTATAACCTAGCGGCTCTAACGGGATAAAGATAAAGTTTGATAAAGAAGCGCTAAACGCAAAGGGAATCTGCAAAAGGAATGAACCACTTCTGGACTCTGAGCTCGGTTTTGTTTTGTTTGAGTTAAACAGTTTGAGTTAAATTTGAAAAAGTCCCCAAAAAAAGGGCTAATCTGTTTGAATGCAAGCATATTATGAAAAACTTTCAGAAAATAGACCAAAATTGAGATGAAGATTGGATTGCTTCAAAGATTTGTGAGTTCACTTTTTTTTATTCTTTTTTGATCCCAGTTTCCTTTTTAGCGTTTTATCTCATAAATAAATATTTATTTTTTTAAACAGATTATTTAACAAGTGTTTCAAGTGCTATATCAACTATATTATTCTTTTCTAAACCCTCTACCAACTAGCAACTACTTTCATTTCAAGTACAGTTTTCAAGTACTTTCATTTTTAATTTTAAAAATTACTTTCATTTTAAAAAGAATTTTTTTTAATTGTGACTGAGTGTCCATCCCCTCCAATATATTGGGATATATATAACACAATATATATGTTGTGTCCGATTTAGATTGAACTTATCGCGGACGTCCGATTTAGATTACAGTCTATATCGGACGTCCGATTTAGATTCAATCTAAATCTTATATGGGTTGAACAATAATATAAACATGCTTAATATATGTTCTTAAGCGTTTTCTGTAGTTTTCTGCATTTTTCAAAGGTCTTTTATTGATTACAGTCTATATCGGACGCCCGATACAGATCGAACAATAATAAACGTGCTTAACATATGTTCTTTGAAAATTTCTTTGAAAAGCGCAGAAAATTGCAAAAAAACGCTTAAGAACATATATTAAGCACGTTTATTATTGTTCGATCTGTATCGGACGTCCGATATAGACTGTAATCTAAATCGGACGTCCGCGATAAATCGGACGTCCGATTTAGATTGAATCTAAATCGGACGGAAATCTAAATCGGACACAATATATATAATACATCATATATTGGGTTGGTGGAAAAGTCCTTTCCGATTTTTTGGGAGAGTACCTTAAATTTGTCCAATTTTGACGTTTTATAGCTCATCCTAAAGCTGAATTCAAGACGGATCGATTGGTAAAAACCGTTTTGAGATATCTCTTTTCTAAAAGTTTTTACAGCTATTTTAGTAAAGGGCGGCAGAGCCCAATTTACCAATCGATCCGATTGGTCAAATGATCTTAAATTCAGCTTTAGGATGAGCTATAAAACGTCAAAATTGGACAAATTTAAGGTACTCTCCCAAAAAATCGGAAAGGACTTTTCCACCAACCCAATAGAACGCCGACCATGTGATCTTTAGGGATTTTTGATCACGATATAATTCTACTTTAGAAATATTAGATTGACAACTCGAAAGTTGGTACACTTATTCATTAGAGTTTTTAGAAATAACTACCAATGAATCTACAGTAGTCACCAATAAAAAGGTCTATTTATTCTCTAAGACAGGCTTTTGATAGATTTAGAAAAGAGGTTTTGTAGGTTTCTAGAGGGGCAAGAAGTTGGGGAACCAAAAATGATGAACAATAGTTGTATAGTTATGAACCATGAGATCTCTAATCTCTAACCATGCGATCTTTAGGGATTTTTGATTACGATATAATTTTACTTTAGAAATACTAGATTGGCAACTCGAAAGTTGGTACACTTATTCATTGGACTTTTTAGAAATAACTAGTGCACCAATTAATATACAGTTTTCACCAATAAAAAGACCCATTTATTCTCTTAAATAGGCTTTTGACAGATCCTAGAAAAGCTTCGATTTTGTAGATTTCTAGGAGGGCAAGTTGAGAAATCAAAAATGATGAACACTCGATGAAACGATTTGAGTCCTTTCTTCCACATAAACCTATTTTAGTGTTAATAAAGAAAAGAAAGAGCATAACAATTTAGATAAATAGCCAAATTTTCAGCTAGGTCTAATCAATCGTTTTTATTATAGTTCCATTCAAAGAATTTTCAGAGAAACTTGAATTTTTGCTCAAATTCGTTTCAAAAGTTGCTCAAATTTGGCTTAAGCATTTCTTAGATAATATACAACTTTTATTTAGAGAAGTCTAATTCAATTGGCTCATCAAATATGTTTTATAGAAAATACAAAAAAGTTTACCAACTTTCAATTTGCCAATGTTTTAACTTTAATTTTAAAAACAATCTAATAAAAGCTTATTTGATGAAATCTCATAGTAAACTTTGCTAAGATCTTTGCTAACTTTGCTATTTATAAGATCAAAATTTTAAATTTAATATCTGATTAAATTTTATCAAAACTCAAAAGCAATTCAGAAATTTAGCGTCTAATTGAAAAGCCAGGATAAGTAGGAAAAGAAAAACTAAATTGTAAACTTAAAAGAATACAAATTTCATTTAAAATTAGCAAAAAGTTACATCAAAATATATCTTAAAGATATAGATATTCATACTTGCTTTTCTGTTTTGCACTATGAGCATTCCTAATAGAGAAGACCATCTAGCACGAAAGAAAATGTTGTTGAAGGGAAAAAGAAAGAAAAGGAGCCGCGTACAATTGGCTACCAATTACAGAGTGTCGAAAAAGAAGGAGAGCATCCTGATGTGTGTATCGAGACGGAGATTCAAGTCGGAGGGGGGAGCAGAAGAAAGCGAAGGGTCCAAGGGGAGCCCATCTCTCCCATCCCTCCTCGATCTCCCCTTCTAGGTCTTTTTCTTTTCTTCTTCTTCTTCTTCTTCTTCTTCTTCTTCTTCTTCTTCTTCTTCTTCTTATCTCTTTCTTTCACAAATGCACATTTCCTTCTCCTTCTTCTCCACATGGTCCTCCCCTTCTTCTCATTCTCATTCTTCTTCTAGTGTCCCCTCCTCAAAGTACTCCCCCCGATCCCCCGATAAAGTTTGTATTTGGAAGAGTGTGCATGTGTGAGATTCTTTCCGCTGCTTGCTTTTTTTTCTTTCTTCATAGTGCCCACTCTAGTGAATCTCTCTACTCACCAAATATGAAAACTTTTTCCCGTTCATCAGACAAGGCAATTGAACACTTTAGGCCAGTTGATTCTTCATGATCATGGTTTAACTTTCTTCAAAACTTTGAATTTAGCTAAAACTAAATTCAAAGTTTGAGCGCTTTTATTAAGTTAATGAAAAATCTGGTTACTTATAAGAATTCCTTAAAAAAAACTTTCTTCCAATGAAGTGACACATATTTCACTTGTTCGTGTGCGGGAGAAGAAGGGGGAACACCACCCATTTGTGAGCATGGCCTGGATAGAAAAGAAAAACGGATGGAGATTCGAGAAGAGCTATAGAGGGGGAAGAAGAGGGGGAAAGAAGGGAAAGGGGTGTCGAGGAGCCGATTTTTTTTGTGCCCGGAAAAGACGAGCAAAATGCGGTGCTCCCTGGGGGATCTCATAGAGAAAAAGAAGAGGAAATGGATATAGAAAAGGAGAAAAGGGATTCACGATGAAAAGATGAAACGATGAAACCCCTCAGCGATATCTCTTTTTCTCTCGTGACAGACTTCTTGTGAGAAAGAGATCTCTCCAATCTGGGAAACTTCATCAAGTGTGAAACCGGCAACCCAATTTTTATGCCAACTTCTTGCTGTCAAAAGAAAGATTTCATTTTTCAAAACTTGTAAGATTTATGCAAGATTTTGATGTGGATTGTTAAAAATCAGAGAAAGAGATTTATTTGAGAACATTTTTGTGAGTTTGTGGAATGTTTTTTGTGGGGGTGAGATTCTTGTAAAGTTGAAGTTTGGCGCTTCTTTCAGCAAATCAATGTTTCATGTTGGCTGGTCGATATTGAAGCGGATTCACAGCTTCATCCTCGGCCGCAACCTCTTCTGGCATCTGAAAATAGTAAATAGAAATTTATTTTGATTTTAATTGAGCAAAAGATTCCTTACCTCATCAATGCTCTCAGCTGCTCCATGAGCTCCCAGTCTCTTCAAAAGATAATCTCTTCTCTTCTCAAAGTGCTTCTTTTGAACTCTAAAAGGTTAATACATTTATTAATACATTTACATTACATGGATAAGAAGTTATTGCAAAGTTTTTGCAGAGAAAAAAACCAACCAAAAAATCAAGAAAAAGAGTCAAATCTTCTGGCTGCTAGGATCGAACCCGTGACTCGTTCAGTTACGAACTGACTAGAATACCACTCAGCCATGACAACATGTTAAAGGTAACTGACTAGAATACCACTCGGCCATGACAACATGTTAAAAGTGTAAGTATTTTCCTAGCTTTCTTACTGTTCTTCTTGTTCTTCGTGTCCTTCATGTCCTTCATGTCCTTCATGTTCTTCATGTTCTTCATGCTCTTCTTGTGCTTGTTCTTCTTGTTCTTCCCCTGGTTGTGTCTCGACATCTTCTGCTCCAACTGGACACATTATACGGTAAACCCATACCCGTACACCACCTCTGGAATTTAAAATTACTAGTTAATAAGACGAAAACAATATCTAATCAGTGATAAAATGAAACTAACTGTTCAGTTCTGATATTCGCGATGAAATCGTATTCGGGACCGCCTTGACCGTACAAATCTTGTTGAGAGACTGGCCCACCAACATAGTAAGATCCTAGGTTATTATATATATATATGTTACGTCCGAATCTGAGGAGACGTCCATCTCCGATCCGGACGTCCGAATCTGAGGAGATTCATTCTCCTCTGAAACGGACGTCCGACTCAGAGATGGACGTCCATTTCAGAGGAGAATGAATCTCCTTAGATTCGGACGTCCGGATCGGAGATGGACGTCTCCTCAGATTCGGACGTAACATATATATTTTTTAAGTTTTTATCTAATTAAAATAGTTGATTGTTAAGCTATTTACCAGCAGAGACCAAATCCGTTCCCACATAGATCTTATTAGCGACTTTCAGAGTACAGCATCGAAGGAGAACACTGAAAAGATTATAGGATTATTGAATGATAATTTCTAGTTTAGTATCTAATATTTATTATATTTTATAATATATAACATAATATATAACATAATATCTTTTTTTTCTTATATAAAACCTTTGTCCATTCGCCGCCCATCTCATCCCTGAGAACACATCAGTGTCAGCTCGGCACGACGTTTGATCCTCAATACATCTGAAAATTAAATGAAATTAAATGAAAATTGAATTTTCAAACTCTATTCCTTAACTTTTCAACTAGTTTAGTATTGTTTAAATTTTAAAAAAGCTTAATTCATGGACTTGCACGACTTGGAAAACAACCTCATCGCACTCATTCCACACGGGATCGGTCCACACTCTGCCTCCAAAGCTCCATCTTCATAAACAGTCAATCTGTTGATCACCTAAAATTGTTGAATAATTGATTTCATCAATATTCATCTATTGATTATTATATCATAAAGTTTATATCAAATTTTCGAAAAACCAACTTGATTCTTTGCACATCGCGTGCCTCGAGTCGGCTCAGCTGTACAATAAACCGCAAACAATAGAAAAACGGCCTCTCGGAGCATTATCTAAAAAAAAAGATGAAATGAATATAAGTTTGAAATCTAAAATTAGAGGAAATCGAAGAATTCGATATGGGATTTTCTTTTTCGATTTCAGCCGGCTCTCCAATGAATGAAAAAGGGGAGGACTCGATATAGGTCACCGGGTGAAGGTCTCTCCACTCTTTTATAAAGAGGAAATCTCTTTTATGAAAAGAGAAAAGAGGGTTCAGTTTATCTGTTAGACAAAAGCACGATTTCACCCGTTTTTCCTTGATAAAAGTTGGTGACGATAAAAAAAAATGGAGTCTTAAAAATTGCAATCCAGTCGTTTGGCTGTAGAGGTCCGTAGCAATAAGAACTACACTACTGGACAATGAAATATCATATTTGAAAAACGATCGTCACGTTCGCACGTCTGTAACTCCCTTGTCTTTACCGTATTTCTAAATATTAATATTACCATTGTGTAGCCCTTGAAAAGAACTTTCAGAAAATGTATAACACTAATAGTTTAAACTCAAAGACAACGGATTTACAGGCGCGCGAAAGTGACGATCGTTTTTCCAATATCATATTTCATTGTCCAGTGCTGTATGTATCAGCTTCTTGACCGGAAAGTCTTTTCCGCTCTATTTAAAGGTTACCTTTTGAAATGAAAAATGAATCAATCGATTTATGCTTTGTTTTATCAGAAAGTTCTATTATTTATTTACAAATTGCTCTTTAAAAAATACTGAAAAGCTGAAAGGAAAAGCTACAAATCTGAAAAGCTCGCGGTAGTTAATTTTTAAAAAAAAAATCTAAAGTCGAGCAGTCAAAACTCAAACTCAAAGTTCCAATTTGAGTACTTTCTATCACAGAAATCAATTTTTGTGTTAAAAGACAAAAGATAGAGAATGAAAAGTGAAGCAGATAGACAAATTTTCATAACATTTCACTAAACCGTTTTTATTCTATGTTCATTGTAAGGGTTTTAGGAAAAAACAAGAATTCCCATTCCGATTTGCTTCAAAGCAGACTCAATTTTGCCTAAAAATGAGCTAAATTAAATAGTTAAACTTTTTTATTTAAAGCAAACCACTAGGCTAATTATTCATTTATAAAAGAAAATTTCAAAAAGACGGACAAGACTTTCTGGCCAAATAAATTATTATAAATTAAGCTGTTAAACATCAAGTTGTGAAAAAAACGGCTTTGGTGTAACTTTTTGAAAATATTTGACATTCGAATTTTTAACTGCTTAATCAGGGCACACTTCGAGTTGTGTCCGGTTCTCTTCTCGGTGATCATAACCGATGACAGACAGCCAGCCCATTGATATCTGAAAAAGAGAAATCTCTGTGATGATAATAAGTGAAAGATTTTTGATGGAAAAATCACAATTTAGGAGAAAATCCAGAAATGGAAACCAGAAATTGATGGGGGGAAAGGGTGAATGCCGACCCGAGAGTCAAATCCAGTCTCAGAGAAATCCTTTTTGCGATGAGGATTCGCAGCAAAAATCTCTCATTCACACCTTTTCATTAGCGACTGTGATCATTGTTGATTTTTTTGATTTTTAAAAAATCATACCGTAAATACTGTAATAGTACCCCACCCCCCTCGTACAGTCGCGTAGTCGCAAAAGTTTTTTAGTATTTTCATTTTTTTCAAAGCGCCCGCACTTTCAAAAAATGCGTCTTTGGTATCAAAAAAATAGCTGAAATTCAGGGCTATTTTTTGATACCTAAGCGCGCATTGTAGCATAAACCAGTGTCGAGAAAAACTCGTTCAAAGCTAGGCTACGCGATGCTCCGTCTGTTGATATCGAAAAATAGTCCTGAATTTCGGCTATTTTTTGATACCTAAGCGCGCATTGTAGCATAAACCAGTGTCGAGAAAAACTCGTTCAAAGCTAAACTACGCAACACTCCGCACCGCCATTATGGGGAAGGGGTACTATTACAGTATTTACGGTAATATATTACTTATAAATATAAATTTTAGTTTCAAATGATTTTCCTTTTGATAGCTTCATCACTTATCGGCACTTTAGCCGCTGGCACTTGTGGAGGCTCGGGAATACCGTTTCGCTTTGAGGTTTATCATTCAAATAAAAACTTCCACATTTATTTATAAAATATTATTTTTAAAAAACAAAAAGAAACGAAATCTTTGTTGAAATTTCTCTTTTTACTAAAGGTTCTTCCATCTGGTCAACCCGTTCTCGGTTGTGCATCACCACAATGTTTTGGATCGGAAAATGGCGGTCGTGATGTGTTACATGATTCTCATTTCAATGTGAATTCATTCATTTGACATTCTTTATCTAAAAATTTAATGCCAAATCTAGGCCGGACCAGATGGAGAAGATGGTTTCTTCAGAGATGGTGACTTGGAGAGAGTCAGAGCGAGATACAGGGTAATCTTTGGATTCACTTCTGAATAAAGACAAGATAATATACAACCTTTTTTTTCTAAGAGTTGAATACGGAAAAGATTCTAGGATGCTTCATCTCAACAAGCCGAATGTCCATCAGGCTTTGGCTCTTCCTCATGTACTGGATCACTCTCGTGGGTGGGAGGATTCATGGCAAATGATGATGGACAGTTCGTTTTACACAGCTCAAAGCTATAAATCTATTGGCTCTGTTCAATTACAGAGCCAATAGCTTAACTTTAAAACTATCGGATGACCTAACTTCAAATCTTTTATCTATATCTATATCAGTTTTTTTGATCAAAAAATACGAAGATTTTTGTAAAGCAATCTATTAGATCTATTAGACATATGAATCTATTAGACAATCTATTAGACAATCTATTAGACAATCTATTAGACAATCTATTAGACAATCTATTAGACAATCTATTAGACAATCTATTAGACAATCTATTAGACAATCTATTAGACATATGAAATGTCGCTATTTACCATGGTTTTGTTTAAAAATTCACTGATTGACTTACGGTTTGCTTTATTAGAAATGTTTATCGTTTACATGTTGTTCATTTTTAAGCATATTTAAGCGTTTTTCAAAGTAATATTGAGGAAAAATTGCCATTTTTTTGAAAATTCGTAAAATTGGCGTACAAGAAAATAGACTGGACAGATTGATCTGAAAATTTGGCTATATGCCTATCGTTTTTCGGAGAGCGGTGAGCAACTGAGCTTTCCCGCTTTCAGGGCGTCACTATGGCCAAATTCCTTGAGATCAATTTCGGCCTTAAATTTGGCTGTATTTTCCACAAATTTTAGCCAAATCCAGCCGGTCAAAAGTTTCCCATTTGCCCCTGAACCGTTCTTTTTTCACAGCAATTTTCCAGTTGCTTCTTGTTTTAGATTGCTCTTCAAAAATCTCTCCATTCTCTGAACAAAAAAGCGGAAAACAGATAGATATAGATAAAAGATTTGAAGTTAGATCATCCTTTTCTTTTTGAATTATCCGATAATGTTTTAAGTTATCCTGTAATTGAACAAAGCCAATCTTTTTTTGCTTTCAATCTTGACACCAATATTTAGACTCTCATTGCAATGTTGCCATTATGAGGGACTCCGTTTCGGGAATGAAGTCGGAAGACCCGTTGTGAGAGCCGGAGAGGTTTATTCGGGAGGTAAGAAAGCATGAAAAGGATAAAAAAAAAACAACTAGCACATAATAGCTTTAAGGAAATGAATTCAATCAAAGCTGTGTTTACTTGTCACCTGCTGTTTGTACTGAAGTTTTCGTATAGGAAATCCTATTTGAACTCATCCCAACTGTAAAATTTCGAGCTTACTTTTTTCAGGAGAAGTTTTGCGGGATGGCCGTCAAACCGGTTTTGATCTCATCACAAACATCAAGAAAATCGATATTGAAGATGAAGGGTGATTGTAAGTAAAAATTCTTTCATAAAGATTTTCCAGAGTTGCTTACGAATTAACGGTGACTCGGATGAATTGTCTTCCCGATCCACCAGAAATCGATAACGAAGGTAAATGAGAAGAATAGATGAAAAGATTATACAAATTCTATGAAGATTATGGAGATTATGCAAATTTTCTAGTCAATTTCAACCCCGAACAAGACATTGGTCGCATTTTGGAGAAAGAAGCCGAAGATTCGATGGCCGGTGTTCCGATCGAAGATCTCTCTCCATTGAAGGAAGAGTCGCAGGTAAGGAAAGTGAGTTCATTTCGATTGTTTATACATTTTGAAAGGATTCTCTTCAGTAGAGAAAATCAAATTTTAGTCACCAGCCGGATATTCAGCGCCAAATACATATCAACAACCGCCTCCACCCCAACAGCAACCACAAACAGTGGAACGAGAGCAATATGTGCAGGTTTATAAAAAGCATGGGAATCGAAAGCTAACCCTAATTATTGCAGGTCGGTGAACAAGTAGTACCAATTCAATCACCCGGCTATTACTATCCCGTTTCATCAGGAATTCCCGCGTGTTTCTCAGGCGATACAATGGTTTTTCGAGCACTTTTCCCATATAAACCTCAAAAATTTCCCAGGTTGAAACCCCATCCGGTTTTAAGCGAATGGACGAGTTGAAAGTCGGCGATTTCGTCTTAACAACCGAACAAAATACGGTAAAATGAAAAGATTTTTAAAAAAGCAAAAAAAAAAATTCAGGCAACATTCACAAAAGTGGAGACATGGTTACACCGTCTTCCATCAACAACGGCCTCATTCATAAAAATTCAAACAGAAAATGCGCACACTTTAAAGTTAACTCCACAACATTTCATATATAAAGTTAGTAGTGCTTTTAGTCCGAAAAGTAATGATGCTTTAGGTCGACTGTTCTCGTTTATCATTCAACACAGAAATGATTTTTGCAGAAGATATTCGAGTTGGAGATTGCTTGTACACACTTGGAGCTGATAGAAGTAATTTCAAAATAAACCTTGGATAAAAATGATGAGTTGAAATGAATTTTAGATCTTTTATCCACCAAAGTTCAATCGGTATCAGTTGTACGAGAAAGGGGTGTTTATGCCCCAATGACCAATTCTGGAGATCTTTTTGTTAACGATATATATGCCTCTTGCCATAATGTGGTTAAGGTAAAAAAAGAAATTTTTTAAAATACCTGTCATCAAAATTTTTAGGCAAATACACTCTCTCACACTTTTTTGCATTTAGCCGACAATGTGAATCAAGTGATTAGGTGAGTTATAATTGAGGATTCAGCAAGCCACCAATTATCAATCCATCTTCAAAATTTCAGAAGTCTATTCCAAAAACATCACGATATCCAGGATGAAACGTCTGGTCATTTACCACCATCCACAGAGTTTTTCCTCAAAATGATCGAATACATTATTCCGCATAAAATATAATAACAAAAATAAGGCATAGCTTAATAATAATAATAATAAATCTTTATTCATTAACTTCACAAACTAGAACATCACATTTTATCGTTCAGCACCAGTACCCGTCGCTGATCCATAATCCCATTTTGACATCTAAAACGGCGAAACATTTTCAAGTCATAAAATTAAAACTCACGAAACGAGTCAAATCCATGATGAAAGGGGAGTGTAATTCACGTTGATGCAATTGGCCGCAAATTTTCCATGAGCACCAATCTAAAGGTATGACACAATATTGTTTCATAGCGTTACTCACATCTCTCGGTGGCAAAATAGCTCCTTCGTTACCCCAATACGTGAATGGCAAGCGGAGAATATAATATCTAAATATTTTTTGTTTAAATGGTATCAGCATACTTACTTTGCCCAAGTCAATTCTAAAGGACCCTCTCCCGTCTGAAAATGGCCTTGATCCATAGAACTTGTCTAAAGCAAAACGTTATACACTTATTATCAAATAATACCTGAATCTTCGGATCTATTGTGACTACAACTGGAGCTTTTGGTGTCACAATATGCACTCTCATCAATTGAGCGTTGACATGAGGTGCTTTCCTAAAAGCTGATTGATATGCAATTATATTTATCAATTAACTTATTAGACGCTGATTGATTTGCAATTTTTTACGACAAGCTTTAGCGGTTTTAAAATAGGTTCACCTGCAAGTACATTGCCTCCACAAAGGCAGATCTTGCGCAAGTACTTTAGAAGCGGCTTCTTTTGAAACAAGTTCTTTCGCTGATCCCTAAAATTTTAATTATTGCTTTCAACAAAAATAAGCAACTTTTGCCGTCATCAATGGCTCAAGATCTGGACCAAGGAACATTCGGTGTCCGCGTGGACATTCGTATTCAAATCCAATGAACAATTTAACCTAAACAGTGATACAAAAATTTCTAAAAGGATTTTACTTTTTCCATGTTCATTCCATATCGTTGTCGTCTAAACTTTAACCGCCCAAGATCGCTTGTACTGACCAATTCTTGCACATAATTCATATCTCGACTCCAAGTTGAACTATCAACCTAAAGTGTGATGCTTGTTTTGTTATTTTAAAAATTTGTTAAAAATTTTGTTTTTTTTGTTAAAAATTGTTTTGCTTTTGTTTTGTTAAAATTTAGCTTAATCACAAACTCGCTGAAACAAACCTCAAGGGAAACATCGAGTGGCAGTAAATAATCCGTGCCAGCACGAAAACCGGGCATTTCACGGAGTCCGTATTGATGGCTAAATAAAATAACAAGATTATAAGCAAAAAGACCAGACCTGTATAGATTGCTTCTTCCCAAGCAAGTAAGTTGAAACGATGGAAATATCGGAAGACCCGAAAGATGCGAATGTGGCACTCCATCACAGAAATTGATCTAAGAATGAAATATGTAGTAAAATTTTAAAAGACTCAACATTTTTTCTTTTCAACGAGATCCTCTTTTCTTCGTAATCGATCACCATTTCCCCATGTTTTTTGTTGACAACAACTAAAGCCAAAAGAAATACAAAGCTATGTTAAACCCTTACTTGCATCATCCGAATCATCAAGATTTACGTGCTTCATAGTGAGGTCCTCCTCATCTTCAGAAGATGGGTGCTCTATTGGTGAAATTGTAGAATTACGCGGGATCGTAATTTCCTAGAAAAATTTGTGGGCAACCAGAAACAAATAATCACTTGTTCAGAAGAAGCCTTGCTGTCATTGTCATTCACTTCCTCATCTTCATCACTTCCTGATTCGTCCTCTATGGGCGTTCGTGTTTCTCGTCGACCCAATAATAACCTGACATTTTTGAAAGTTTTAAATTGAAGAAGTAGTATGATCAAAAACCTAGGTTCGGGTTGAGCAGCAGTCCATTGTCCATCTTCTCCGTCGACTTCCATTTCATCACCCTTCATTTCGTTAAGCAACTTGAATTGATGAGTGTCCAATACCGCACAACAAGCGAATGTCGGGTTTAGATAATAAAAGTCGTAGTTTGCTTCCTGTAAATTAAATTTCAATTGTTAGCTTGAATTTTGACTTAATTGTTAAGAGCTTTCATAAATTGATCTGTTTGTTTACATCCTTTACACTATAACTTCGTCCAGAAGTTGTACTTTAAAATCAATATGCACTGATAATGCAGAACCTTTAAAGAAAATGGATCTTCTCGTAATGCTTGTCGATGTCCACAACCACACGCAGAAACATATCGAGCAGCCGAGGAATGTAACTGCCATTGAGAAGAATCCGTTGTCGTGTCTCCAGGTGAAGAATGAACCTTAAAAACCAAAAATTCAAACTTATTAACAAATCAGAAATTTATTTTTGTAACTTAAATTTAATATTAAATTTAAATCACAAGTAACACACCGTAAGTTGACAAAGTACTCCAGTTAATGAAGCTGCCTCACATCCTTTCTCCCATCTTCCCCCACAGTGCTCTGACACTTTCGTGATTATCTCATCCGGATTTTTAACAGCGATACTTTCCAAGTAGGCAACAGCTGACGAAAACTGAATAAAGTTTGGAAAGATTAAAACAACAAAACTAACCCGCGTATCGTGCTCGCTTTTGGTTAACAAACGTCGACTCTTGTCTTTTCCCGAATAAAGAATAATTGCTTCGTTAAGATGCTTCTTTGAAAGACTAAAACTAGATTTTTTAATAGTATTTTAAAGCCCAAACCTTTCTATAAAATCTGTTTCAACCGTTACACATTTGTCTAAAGTTTCTTCTAAGAGAGACTCTTCGGCAAAAATGATTTCGTGAAGTGCTTGAGCCATCTTTGTAAATTCAATGAGCGCCGGTTTCTGGAATGAAACGTCATATAAACAACGCACACAAAATATACCACGTAAACATTTGTTTTATCAGCTCGGGCATCATCTATCAACGAAGAAACATACGAACACATGACAGTTTGTTTGTGCGAATCTGAAAATTGCACTGTATCGTAAAATTGAACAACAATCTTCCCGTTACTTTAATTTATTTAGATAAATATTTGTATTCACCTGAATGCAGATCTTCCTCGTCCCCATTTTCTCCAATTAGGATGAAAAAAGCTTTGGTGACAGGATCCAAATTCTTATTTGGTATCAATTGTGCATATTGATCCTTCTCCGGGAGATATCCCAATGATAAGTTCAAGCTATTTATTTAGTTAGACTTTGCAAATTCGTTTTCTTACTCTTTCGTGTCAATCAAGCGCATTATTTTCAAGAGATTGAATATTTGTTGCTCGAGATTTTGCTCCAAATGATTAAAAATCTCCCTCTGAAAAGAAAACATCGATTAAAACATATAACTGAAATATTACCCTCTTTACATTTCCAATATCTTGGCGAATTGTGTTCCGGTGAAAAGCAAACGCAAATCTGCACAATAAACTTATCCAAATAGAAAATGTACAAAAACCTTGGCAACGCCAATCGTTCTTCTTTCTCGAACTTTGGTAACAAGTCGAGTAAATCATCTGGCAAAAGTTTGAGAATCTCATTCGAATGCTCAAGCCTAAGATTTCAAGAAATAAAATAATGAATTAAAAGTAAAACCTCAATTTGTTCACTAATTTCAATGTTCTCGTCAATCCAACATCGACTCGACAACCCTGCTCAACGAAGAGAACAACATGTGACATTAGAGACACAAACAGCAAAAGTTGAAGTTGAGTTTTCTCGGCCTCTTGAATTTTCTCAAAGAAAGGCTAAAATTTAAGCTTTAAAATAAAATTAAAACTTCAAAAAGAACCTTTGAAGATGTTTCACTAAAAACATTCATGATTTGCGTGACGTCCGAGAATCCATTTACAACAAGGAAGACAGTTTTGTGTTCGATCGAGAAGAAGGCTTCAATCTACAAACAAAAGCATTTATTTCTTTAACCTTTGCTTCAAATGTTGCACCTTCCTTCAAAGGTAGTCTTAGCAAATCCACAAATTTCATACATTCAATCCATTGCTCGAGTCAAATGATGATTGAAAGATAGTATCTCCAAAAAATTCGTTTAAATCTTCCGCCTTTCGTCTTTCTAGCGTGTCGCGCCCAATCAACGTGAAGATCGTCACCTGTAAAAAGAAAATATTCTCGACTTAATTGCGAAACTAAAAAATAAGTTGACGATTCTTTAAAAGCAAGTGCTTTTCATTCTTCTCAAATTTCTGTGGATATTGGTGTGATTTAGATTAAACCAAACTAAACTAATTGTACTAACATTTTACAAGCGGATATGTAGGATGTAAAACACTTTCTTATCACCTAAAACACTGTAAGATGTAAGATGTAAGATGTAAAACACCAATCCTTACCTCAGTGTTGTGAAAATTCTCGAGTCGGTCGAAAACAAAATCAAACCATTCTTCGAGACGCCTAGCTTCTCGCATGCCTAAACAAAAACAACTTCTATAACGTTTCTTCTCAGAAATGAAAAAAGCTAATGTTCTATTAGGCTGCCCAGAAAGTCTTTTCGTTTCTTTTCGTACTTCCGTTGAAAAACAACAAATATTCACCAACTCACCTATGGTTTGCTCTAAATAAAAAGTGTTTATTGCTCAATTTCTGATCTTTTTAAGTTAATTTAGGTTCACTTTCAAGCAAATTCGAGAGTGAAAACACGTGGTTTTCGTCAAAAAAAACCTATAAACACCTCTACACAGAAATTGGCTGAATAAATTTCTCTAAAAATTTCGCTATATATCCAACTTTTTGTGCTCTATCTTTTATCTATTGACACAAAGATAGGTTTCCTTAGGTAAAGTGTCTAAACCGTATCATCGATCAACCGTCACCCTTTTCGACTACCCGACTTCAGGCTCCCAAAAAAAATCCAGACATAAGTCATTTTAAGCGCCATTTTAATGTTATTTTGCAGAAAAATAATTGGCCTTTCTAATGAAACAAAAACGTAGTTCAATTGTTGTTTGTTTGTTGGTGTTAAAAGGAAATACGAAAAGGAATGAAAAGACTTTCTGGACAGCCTAATACTTTAAAAATAGCGTTTCAACAGTGTTCGACTTCAAAAACTTGAGAAAATTATGGGGGTGGCTACTTTGCGCCAAATTTTTTGCGCAATTGGGTCATTTGCGCAACTAGGTCTTTTGCGCAACTTGCCATAACTTTCTTCTAAGTCGGCCAATCTTTATGATTTTGGTGTCATTTTGTTACACTTGTTGAGATCTACAAAATGACAACAAAATCATAAAGATTGGCCCACTTAGAAGAAAGTTATGCGCAAAAAATTTGGCGCAAAGTAGCCACCCTCGAAAATTATTTTAGAAACAACATTTTATAGGTGCTAAAGAAATAGAGAGTTATTCAACTAGACAACTGAATACTTTCACTTTAGTTTTGAAACGTTAAAACTATTTATAAATACAAATTTGATATACCGCTTGAGAATGCGTACCAAAAAACGTTCATTTCTCTTTTGATAACACAGTTTGCATTAATGGATTGTGGCGAGCCTTTACTATTCAAGCGTACAATGGATTGACGTGGACACGCTTTTTACCTACAGTAGCCTGGAAGCTCGTAAATACGTGAGTTTCTAATATTGAAAATAGGCCTTTCATTATCTGAAAAACCATCTCGCACGTCACACTCAAAAATTTGATTCGATGACTCTTACCCGGTGCCTCTTTGACGTATCCCTTTGCCCCCATTCCCTGTCACAATATAACACTATACACTATTTTGTGGATGTGTATCTCCTCGTCTTTTTCTTCTCTTCTCAAATCACCCAACGCTCAAATGAATTCACCGATTGCCCACTTGACCAAAGAACTTGTAGTGCCTATGCTTTGGTCGGCTATATAAAGTGAGGCAATGCTGTCACTCCGAAAATCACAACTCGTGGAGTACCTTTGCACCTCCTTGCTATTAATCTCCTTGGTCTTCAAATGATTTTTCAATGGGGCTTGAAGGACTAAATTCTTTTTAAAATCTTTAAACTATTTTAGCATAGATAGATTCTGGAAAATATTTCCAAATATGTACATGAGCAGGTGCTATAGTGTTGGTGGGGTCAGTGTACATTCATCTCTATTGAGCCAAAGCACGCTAATTTTTGCTTCTAGGATTTTTAATGGCGTAGTTTCATGATTTAGTATTTATTTAAGCTTTAGTGACTGTTTTCTAACTATTTCAAGCAGTTACTGAAGTTTTAAACCTCTTAATTCGATCCCGCACCTCTAAACCCAGTGGAAATAGAGCCACTCTTGAAGGCTCGGAATTGTTGCTCGAACTTGCATAAAAGTTGTTCAGAATGGTTTGTAAATGCTTTCAATGGATTCAGTGCAATTAATTACCCTAGAAAAAGTTTTTAAAACTAGTGACAAGTTCGAAAAAGCTGATGTTTACAAACTGCCAAACTACTATAGTATTCATGAGCAATGGCTGTTTGCCTACCTGGAACATCAGTTTAGAAGCTATCCTGCTTAAACAGTCATAAACGGAGTTATGTTCTCGGTCAATAATCAGCAGAGGTTCTCGATTCACATCGTTGCAACCATCAAATCCCTGTCAATAAATCTCAGCGATAGTCATTACCTTATGACAAATTCATTCACTCTTTCTCTCGTATTAGGTCAAAAATCAAGAGATACCAATCGGCGAACATGTTCTATGTTAGGAGATTTTCTAATTGTTTAGCTTTTCCACATTGCAGCTTTGGGGGAGTGCTGGGCGAAGAGGGGCTTCCCGTTCGCTGAACGCTCCCCCCTCAAGCAGTGTGAGTGAAGGGGGACTGTTTCTTCTTCGAAGGTCATCCCTCTTTTCTTTGCTTTTAAACACAGACTTTTTCTTTTCTTTTCATTTAGTCTTCACCCTCTTCTGCCAATCTTTCCCCTTTATTTTGCACTATCATTTCTACGATCAACACCTCCTCTCCCATTTCCCCAAATCGCTCACATGCTCGCTCGCGTGGCTCCCCCCCCCATTGAAAAGTATTTTCCCATCTATCCACTCAGTCTTCTCCGCATTTCACTTATCTTTACCCTCCAAAATCATTTTTTACTTCCCGATCTCATTTTTATCGTGTAAACACATCAAATTAGTATCAAAAATTGATTGGTTCAGAAAATGATTGGTATTATGAATTGCGGAGATGACAGTGTCGAGTTCTACGCCTCGGCTCGACAATCGTCTCTCTATCGGCATCCACCAATTAAACAAAAAAGAACGTAAGAAACAAAAAAGCTTGAGACAAATCAAAATGAATTGCTTTAGTTATACAGCTGATGGTCGTGTGTTCATTGATGGAATTCCATTGACAACCGAGCCTCCAGCTGAGCAAAAATGGCACGATTTGATCTCGAAAATTATGGCGATGAGATTGATGAAGATCGATTCAATGGAACAGCAAGGTTTGAAACGAGAATTGAGGAAATGATTTCAAGTTAGGAACAGGTCCAATGGCTGCTATTCGTCGTCTCTCGACAAAGCTCAAATTGACGAAAACTCTCTCGAACAGTTCTACAGGTGAATTTTAAGAATCACCCGTCATTGTAAGAATTTAAAGAAAAAAAAAAGCAAAAACCCAATAGTCTAGTAGATCTTTTTGTAACATTTTCTTTTCTACAGATGAAGCTATTCTAATGACAGATCTCCACGATCAAGTCAGAGATCGAAAAGGACATGGAGCACGACGCAACTACACAGATGTGAGGGGGAAATTAAAAACAAATAAAATAACATAAACAAAGCATAACATAAACAAAAATAACTCAATCACAGTTCTAAAAACATCAAAATTTCTCAATTTTTCACGAAAACTCAAAATATTTTTATTTTTAGATGAAATCGCACAGCCGTCACCCAGTCAACCGTAATCGTGCAATCTCAGCTCCACCAAGGCGAAAATCGGGTAAACAACTATAGACCAAAAATACCGAAATTCATCTTAAGCCAAATCCTCAAAAAAATAACCTCACATTTCTGAGCCTGGGTTCAAAAATGAAGAGAGCAAATCTTTTGCACAAGTTGTTTTCAAGTAAAACTCTCTTACGTCACCAAGAGAAACTGTAGTATTTTTAGTTCAAAATCAAACTAAGAAAGAAAAAACATAAACACGTGTTTTTCTCTTTACTCATTTTATCTTCAATCTATTCAGAGTCGTCAGCGGATGATGGGAATCACTTTGTCACTCGAATCGACATCGAGCCTGGCGTCTCTCGTCCACACATCCAGGTTTGTTTTCGTGGAAAAAATTTCCTTTGATCTAGATCCAAGGCAAAAGATTTTATCGTGATTTTTTTGTAAAATCTCACTATTTTTCCAAGTTTTTGCGTGCTTTCGTCACGGCGAGTGCGCCGAAGCAAAAAAAATTGGGGGTAAAGTGAGGGGAGAGAAGTCGAGAGGATCGCCCGAGATCTCGTAATTCGATTAGAACTGAGGACCAGCAGATTCGAGGGAATTGAGGCACAAAAACACATGGTCATTTAGGAAATGGGATTTGTAGGAGGAGAAAATTTGAGCTATTTACGAGAATTCTCTCGGCGAGCCGGTACTTGCAATTTAGTCGACCCAAGTCGACCCGAGCACTCAAGTTACGGATTTTGGGGGGATGAGTCATGGAGAAAAATAACATTTTATATTGTTGATATAAAGTTATAAATAGAAATATTGTTGTAGATGTTCGGAAAACAGTTTAAACTTTCTTTTCTTTTATCGGTACTCAAGAATGAAAACGGGTTTTCCGATGAGTCAACCATGCAACGGTTTCCTGAAAATAAATATCCCAACCTTTATCCCTTTTTTTTCCTTTTTCGACTTCATTTCCTGAGCACAAGATAAAAGTAAACGTTTCCAGTTGTGAGGTCATAATGATTCGGAAATTGATCTCATTACCTGTTATTTCGAACGAGTCGATCTAATTACAAGAGAAATTCTGGGAAAACCAATTTTAAACTTGAGATCACAAATATCTCTAACTCATTTGGACTTGATATCATCAAATTATGAAATTTTGTAATAAATAGTGTTAAAAGATTAGATAAAAGATAAAAGATTGCATTTGTTTTGATTGAGTCGGGGTTTAAATTGATCGAGCCAAGATCAAGGGATATCTTGATACAAATCGATTAATCCTTCCTAATCCGCGAAATCGAATCCGATCACCCAACAAACCTCTTTGTCAATCTTTCTTTTTATATCTAAAAATCCGGAAATCTCTTTCCTTTTCACGGATTTCCCAATTCCCAACACATATCCAAGAGTTTGACCATCTTTTCATGACGTCATGATTCGATTAGATCCACTTCTCAAACTCCTCTAAGTCTCATTTTTGGTGAGGAGAGGGGCTGATTTCAATCTTCGGCCCTTTCCCATGTCTATCTCTAATTTGAGACGTCAAACTCTTTGCATCTGTCTAAAAAATCTTTGAGATTCAGCTGTTTACTTCAGTCTAGTGTCAATACTTTGATTGTTCGTGAAACAGTTACCCTTTGGTGAACAGCCTTGTACTTGTACCAGAAAGTGCACATCAAAATAGAGATGGACAATGGACATTTTATTGAACCACAACATGCCAAATAGTCTAATTTTGGAAAATAAATGAAATTGGCACTCGATTAAATTCATAGTGATCTTGAAAAAGCTAACAAGGTAAAGGTAACAATAGGATGTGACCAAATGAGATAAACCGTAGAATATTCGACGCAAAATTTCACGCTGATCCCGAATCTGCTTTCCGTTTTTGCAAAATGACTTTGTATAAAAAGTTATACGTGTTTTAAGTTGTAGGGTGAAAATTTGAATTTGGAGTCGAATAGGGATGCTTTTATCAACGGTTTTACCTTTATAACCACAAAACCGTCTTGATGGTATAGTGGATAGAACGCCTGTAAACAAAACGAGCGCTGGCTTTTCTTGCTCGAGTTCGTTTCCTTTTTGATAAAACTTTTATTTAGCGTTTTCCACTGTTCTCTGTGTACACACACACACCATCTGGTACACTATCTATACAAATATATGGAGTCCTGAGAGATTTTCACATTTTCATCCTACAACTTAAAACACGTATAACTTTTTATAGAAAGTTATTTTGCAAAAACGGAAAGCAGATTCGGAATCAGCTTGAAATTTTGCTTCGAATGGTTTATGATGTTTATAATTTATTTCATTTGGTCACATTCTACTGTCGCTTGTAAACAATGAAGTGCTAATAATAGAAACTTGTGACTTTCATAATTTTTGACAGGTCGAAATCAAACAAAATATTGTTTTCAAAGTTATAGATCAAAGTTTCACCTTATACTTTTTAGTAAAAAGATAAAAGTAATTCGAATTTCAGCACGACGTTCACGTTGGCACTTGGCAGCACAGTCTTCTCAATGCCGTTTTTGCAGAGGGTGATGAAAGAGAAGAAAGAGATAGCGGAAGGGATAGTATGAGAAGTGATTCACCACCAATTACACAAGCACATTTGAGAACACTCAAGAAACCCCTTGGACAGAGTTACAGTCTTGTTGATCGTTGCTAAACGATCAATCCATTTACGAAATCCCCCATTTTGATGCTTTAAGTGTATTTTGAGTGGAGTTGCTTATTGATAAAGTTAAAGATAAAGTGTCGTTTGTATTGCGCTATCAATTTTATGTTCTTCTTTTGCCTAGTTTTGTGCTTTGTCTTTTTAAAGTTGTGAACTTGTTTATCGTAATCCTGAAATTCTGACCTTTCATTCTGGTCAGAATGAAAGATCTTATTGAGTCTATATTGTACCCACAAAATCACTTACATATTAGGATCTCAAATCCTGGGGATTTTCCTGATAACTTTTCATCTTCTTTTTCTACTTTTTGATATAAAATTGATGCTTTTTATCCTTTTGTTTGCTTTTTTTTCTCAATAATAAATCTTTTCATGCATCTTCTATACAAAATAAACAAGAGAAAAACCTCGTATTTGTACACGGATATTCTCAGAAATGAAAAACGAGCACAGATTCGATGAATTGATGATCGTTGGCTAAGTTGATGTGACTGTTGTGGCTGTGACTGTTGAATTGGCATCAAGACAAGCAAATGAACCACTGAACGGTCGAGGCTAAAATTGAGATTTAATGCAGTGCATGCTAAAATTGAGATTTAATGAATGAATGCTAAAATGAATTGGTCAATGGTCATCTTACGATACGCGGTCTTATGGTCAATGGTCGTATCGTAAGATCGTAAGATGACCATTGACCATAAGACCATTGACCATAAGGTCAATGGTCTTATGGTCAATGGTCTTATGGTCAATGGTCTTATGGTCCTATGTCGCTTTGCATTCTATGGTCAATGGTCTTTGGTCAATGCTAGTCAGGTGGTCAATGGTCTTATGGTCAATGGTCTTATGGTCAATGGTCTTATGGTCAATGGTCTTATGGTCAATGGTCTTATGGTCAATGGTCTTATGGTCAATGGTCTTATGGTCAATGGTCTTATGGTCAATGGTCTTATGGTCAATGGTCTTATGGTCAATGGTCATCTTACGATCTTACGATACGAGGTCAATGAATGAATTTAATGAATGCTAAAATTGAGATTTAATGCAATGCAATAAAGATTGGATTAAATTTAATTTTGAACTTTTTTGTTTGTATTTTTTAACGAACCGTAAAGTTGAAACAGCACGAATCTCTTGGGTATTTGCACACAAACAAGTTACAATACTCGATCATTGTTGATTCTCTGGAAATCAAAAATATGAAAATCCGATGAGTGTTAAGAGGACGGTAAAACTGCGAGTTGAATGCTGAATGTTGAACTAACCCGGGACAAGTACACAAAACAGATGAAGTTAGACAAGTTCTCGTTCTTGTGTGAATCCCACACGAGCCACACGTATCAGAGCAAGATGACCATTCTGACCAGGCTAACCATTCTGTTGTCTAGAAATGAAATATTAGATTCTCAGTCTAGTAGTCAACAGATTTGACCCTTTAATCTTTAATAAATCTTTAAATCCCAAACTTTTCATGTTCATCTCTGTTCTTCTTTCTTTAACTCACCCCAGCACAATTTGGCGATGTTGTCACTGCATTTGCATCAACTCCAAGAGCACCGCTTAGTGTTGACTAAAATTTTTATTGATTTTTGAAAAAGGTTTTCTATTTCTAAAGCTAACCTGTGCTTCACCAGATCCCAGCCAACAAACAACCATCGAAAGAACGATTAGTGAGTGCATTTTGCAAGAAATCAACACTGATGGTGATGGAAAACACCAAAAAAAAGAGTCAACCACTGACGGGTTTACTCTCGATTTTAGACCCTGAAAGTTAAAAAAAAAAACTTTAAATTTAATTGTAAACTAGCACTGAAACAAGATTCTAGTTTACAAAAATATTTGAGATTTTTAGAAAAAAGGAAACGATAGTCGAATAACCAGATCAATGACCGAATGAAGGGAAAAAAGATTGTTGTATTGTATGGACGGGACATAGGCAACCAGCTTCAACTGTCAAAACGACGTGGTTTCGGACCCGCTCTACGCCGGAAATCCCTCACTAATTGCAACGGTACTTCGGCACGGAAAAGGGGAGAAGTTGGAAGAGCAAGGGAAAGAAAAAAAAGAATGGATATTCAAGAGGATCAATGGACGATCGATCCCGCACATAAAATAACTCTTACAAATTTGAAAGTATGCCTAATGGCTCGTAAAATGAGTATACCATTCATTTGCTCAGCCTCAGCTCAACCACGTGTCTTTGATTGTTTTTTGATTTACAGTTAGCCTTTTTATTATTATATTATTAGCTATAAAACATGAAGAACAGTAAAAATTAATTTGAAAAATCACATTTAAAGTTTAAAATTCGATGCGAAAAAACATTAGAAACAAGCATGAACTCAATGAAACAAACATGCACTTCTCAATAGAGTTCATTGGATTGTTGGATTGTTCGATGGAACGATTGGAACGATTTGTTGGAATGATTGGAACGATTCGTTGGAACGATTAGAACGTTTCTTTGGAACGATTGGAACGATTTGTTAGAATGATTGGAACGATTCGTTGGAATGATTGGAACGATTCGTTGGAATGATTGGAACGATTCGTTGGAATGATTGGAACGATTCGTTGGAATGATTGGAACGATTCGTTGGAATGATTGGAACGATTCGTTGGAATGATTGGAACGATTCGTTGGAATGATTGGAACGATTCGTTGGAATGATTGGAACGATTCGTTGGAACGATTTGTTGGAATGATTGGAACGATTCGTTGGAATGATTAGAACGTTTCTTTGGAACGATTGGAACGATTTGTTAGAATGATTGGAACGATTCGTTGGAATGATTGGAACGATTTGTTAGAATGATTGGAACGATTCGTTGGAATGATTGGAACGATTCGTTGGAACGATTCGTTGGAATGATTGGAACGATTTGTTAGAATGATTGGAACGATTCGTTGGAATGATTGGAACGATTCGTTGGAATGATTGGAACGATTCGTTGGAACGATTTGTTGGAACGATTCGTTGGAACGATTGGAACGTTCTCAATCGTTGGATTGTTTGCATGCATCAAAAATTGCTAATATTCTGTACCAAAGTTTTGGAAATTTCGTGAAATTTTGTTACAGAATATTAGCAATGTTTAACGCATGCAAGCAATCGTTGCTCTACTGAGAAGTGCATGTTTGTTTCATTGAGTTCCGAAAAAAAAAGATGAACCCAATCAAAAAAAACGATTCCCCGAATCTACCGTAATCCGGTGGATTGAGGCCTTGGCCTTTTTTAAGCTGAAAAAAACCGCAATGTTTCAATGAGGAATTCTCTGAATGCCTCGAATCTTTTGGCCTTTTAATACCCGATCTTTTTTTTTTCTGATTGTGTACAAGTGGTTGTCAGGGTGTCCCCAAATAATCACCTTTTTTACCTATCCTCACCCCACTTATAGCCAAAAGGGACAAAAGGGACAAAACTCTGATTTCTGTGTGAGATACGAAGAATTCATTTGAAATTCCCCCACCACAAACGAGGTCCCACGGCTACCAATTATGATCTCTTTTCTTTTTCTTTTCCCCAATGATGTTGACGCCTTTCGCCAATTTTCGGTTCGTTTTCTCGTTTTGCGTGTTTCTGGCGTTGATCCATTGATCACAGTTCGACTCCATACTAGAAAAAGTCGGCGAAATGTACTTCAGACATAATTTGAAGATTTCGAAAGTGAACTATTTTGAGGAATGAGAAAAAAAATCAAATTCTGTTTGATCACGGTAGAATTGTTGTACGAAAATGGGTTTTATATGGGGCACAGAAGAAAAACGAGTTTCGCAATTTGTTTAGATTAAACATCACTTGTACTTGATCGGTAAAAAGAATGTAATTGGAAAAGATAGTCCTTTAAACTTTGACAGGGGTACACTTTGATTGTGGAATGTACAAAGATGAAAGACCAAAAGTACAAATGTATTTTTAGCTAAAGCATTCAGAATGAGCTCATTTTCTGGCTTTGTCCACGCAAATCTTTTGCCCGTTTGCAGTTTGTTGTTTATGCATTTTAAAAGAAATAAAGTTGGATATGAATTTTATTAGGATTTCATAATAATCTGACAAAAGTATATTAAGATTAGTCTTTTGAACTCTGCGTTTCAGTCGATTCGTCGTTCTTTTCCTCTTCATTCTCGACTATTTCCGCAGTGTGATTCAGGACACCTCCCATCAAAGTCTGGAAAAGAAACATGATACCTTTGCAATTGATAGATACCGTAAATACTGTAATAGTACCCCACCCCTCTCGTACAGTCGCGTAGTCGCAAAAGTTTTTTAGTATTTTGCTAAGAGTTCTGTTAAAAATACAGTAGGTTTTAAATTTACTGAAGTTTACAACTTGCATTTAAATCCCTAAAGCTGTTTTACCAAGTAAACGACTTTAAAACACGTGTTTTAAAGGGATGAAGATCAAATTACCGTAAATACTGTAATAGTACCCCCTCGTACAGTTGCGTAGTCGCAAAGGTTTTTTAGTATTTCATTTTTTTCAAAGCACCCGTACTTTCAAAAAATGCGTCTTTGGTATCAAAAAATAGCCCTGAATTTCAGCTATTTTTTGATACCTAAGCGCGCATTGTAGCATAAACCAGTGTCGAGAAACACTCGTTCAAAGCTAGACTACGCAACACTCCGCACCGTCATTATGGGGGTGGGGTACTATTACAGTATTTACAGTAGATATTAATTCTTGATATTAAACAATACCCGAGTCCAAAGAGTGGTTGCCGATTGTTCCTCAACTTTTCCGTCGACGACTTTTCGACCATCTAAAAAGAAATCTCTTATTAGCTTTACTGTAATGTAGACCTGCTGATTCTTTGGTTCTTTGGTTTTTAGTCAAAAAAAATGATTTCATTGAAGAGTTTGCACATTGTAATTTGCTATACTTGTTGTCATCTATTTCCAGAATTTTTGGTCATAAGTCAAAAGTTGAAAATTACAAAGGAAAACTACAAAAACTCCACAACATTTAGGCTACAAAATAACAATTTCCAAAAAAATTATCAAAAATTCGTTTTTGATTACAGAGTTTTGAATAAAATTAGATTAGATTAAAGAAAAAGAAAAAGCGAATTTTCCTTTCTCATCCACCTTTCTTATATTCGATCTCGATTTTATGATGTCCTTCACTAAATTTTTTGTCTTCTTCTCTCCTTTCATTCTCTCCATTTTGTTGATGCCCTCGATAGAATTCCACTTGTGAATTTGTTGGATTATTCATCATTCCGATCATTTTATCAACTTCTTTTCACCCAAGAAAGATCACCAAAAATTCCTTCTGAAATGTTTCTATTTTCAGCGAACAAAGTTCATTTATAAATTCAGAGATTAAAAATAAGAAAAAGAACGAGAACAAGAAGAAAAGGAAGAAAATGGTTAAAAGTCTCATGAGGATTTAAAAAAATTTCTCTAGAACTCTGAAATGTCGAGATCAAAAAAAAAGAGAATGAAAGGACGTTTTTACGTCTTTCGCTTCGTTTTTCGTTTTATTGCTTTAGCAAACCATCCGACTGACGGGAACAAGAAATTTTCTTTCAAAAAAATGAAAAACGGAGAATTTATGTCGAATAAAAATAAAGAGCTTCTAAATGGATAAAGATTAAACAAGCATAACCTCAAATTTCTTTCAAATTTCAGCGAACAAAGTTCATTTATAAATTCAGAGATTAAAGAAAAAGAACGAGAACAAGAAGAAAAGGAAGAAAATGGTTAAAAGTCTCATGAGGATTTAAAAAAATTTCTCTAAAACTATGAAACGTCGGGATCAAAAAAAAAGAGAATGAAAGCACGGTTTTACGTCTTTCTCTTCGTTTTTCGTTTTATTGCTTTAGCAAACCATCCGATTGACGGGAACAAGAAATTTTCTTTCAAAAAAATGAAAAAAGGAGAATTTATATTGAATAAAAGTAAAATAGCTTCTAAATGGATAAAGATTAAACAAGCATAACCTCAAATTTCTTTTCGTTTTTGGCCATAATTTATCTCATTGTCAGTTTTGTAGAAAATGATAAAAATAATTGTTCAACGATTGGATCAGTCGTTGATCATTGATCGGTCATCAATCGACCATCATTATGTGCTTTTAAAGTTCACTATTTTAGATTAAATGTCATTGTGGAGTACGGTAGCGTCACAGTTTACTTTATTGCCATTAATGTTGCCATAATGTTGAGGACAAGAGAGAAACGGAGGGTAAATTAAATGCCGTTTTAAAAACCTCAAGATCCGATGTGGCAAAAGGTGATTTAAGAGTCAAGAATATCTTTAAATAATATCATCTTTCAAGAGAGAAACGGAGGGTAAATTAAATGCTATTAAAACTCTATTAAGAGCTAAAAAAATGAGAAATGAAAGCCTCGTCTTGTCGCTTATATTCCTAGACAAATACCCTCCTCCCAAAATGAGCCCATCAAATAAAATCTTCGAAAGTTTGCCGAATAAAATCACTCTTTCGCTCAAATCTCAAATGAACCACAATTAGTCCCTAAATGATCTCTCTTTCCTTTTTCTTTCACTTGCCAATAATGCGTGGGTGTTTTGAGATAAAAGAGAAGGAAAATAGGAAAAATCAGATCGAATTAAACTCCCGAGAAAACGATAAAGGACAAGAAAAAACACGGAATCTTCCACCAATTACCCCATCGTTCGCTCTCCTCGTCCTCGTCTCGTTTTTTTCACAAATTGCAGCATTTTTTTTTTTTGCTCCTTGTGTACATGAGAGAAAAATGTTCACACCATCACGAGACTTTGAATAAAACTAACTAATTTTATTTCATGAAGTGCAATGCTACAAGAATAAGGCAACAAAAAGAAAATGAGAAGACAATCGTTGACTGAGATCAAAATCAACTTTTTCTGGAAACTTTGTTATGTATTTTTTTTAAATTCTAACTTCTAGGCATCGCCAAGATTTATTTATACTTCTAATATTTAGGCTTATCTTATTTATTCTAATAGAATGCGCTTTTACTTTCAATCACTCTACAAAAATGCTTCTATTGAAGGCTGCACTTCTATTGAAGGCTGCACTTCTATTGAAGGCTGCACTTCTATTTTCAATAACTAAAACAAATTGATTAAATAGTTTGTAGAAAAGAAAACCTTTAGATAACAACAAACAATTTAATCGTCACAGAAAACATTATTCTTGATTTCATTACCGTTAGAGTTGCCGACTTCAATCGAGATGTCACTATGAATGCAAGAAAATGAAAGAAAAGCTACTGATTAAACAATAACGAAATTTAGCAATGATTTTTAAGCTTTTCATGCAAGAAACTAAGAAAGAACTAACAATAAAGAAGAAAGATTCTTTGCTAAACGATTGAATACTAAAATTTAAAACATCAAAATGTTTAAAGTTGTGAGAATTTTATGGCATCAATTGTCTTAAGCTTGATTTAAATACCTAGTCTAAGTTATCAATTCAATCCAAATAAGTTGACTACCTAATTGTAAGTAAAACTTATGAAAATTCCCCACTGCTTATGCAAAATAAATGATAAAGAATACAATGTTGCTCAAGGAAATGCCTATATACCGTTAGATATATCTTTAAATGCTCAAAACTCAAGATATTCGCTCTACTAAGCTGAATATCCATAATCATTGCTTCTATTAGAATAAATTCGATACTTCCGTGCATAAATTTGATTCCCTTTCTTTGTTTTGAAAGAAGACTTTATCACCAAAAGATCCGAGGTCCGGTTTTTTTCGATTTTCTATCGGTTGATAAAGTTTGCCGTGCTGGAGAGAACGAATGGCAACAAAAAGGAGAATTTGATCAAGGATTTGATCAAGGATTGGATCTAGATAAGAGTTGATTGATCGCATTCCATTGTCAAAAGCTTTAGCCAATAGAAAGCTTGATAAGGATGTGTATTCTTTAAACTTTTTGCACTATATTTGAAGAATTGAATTCGAATTCTAGATTTAAAACCTAAAACAGGATTGAAGGTTTTAAACGATTCACGGTTTTAAACGATTGATTTAAACGATTCACGGTTTTACTGTAAGTCCAGATTTTTGAGTTTTTTTTTGTTTAGAAATTCTAAGTTCTGGTTTTTTCACTCCATTAACTTTTGCTCTATGCTAATTCCGATTAAAACCGCCAATCCTTTTGCTCTATGCCACTCATTTTTTGCAAAGAAAAAGTCTAGATTTCACACAAAAATTGAATCCGTTAGAGGAAAATCGAGTCAATGACCGAATACATAATGAGTCGATGGTAAAGGAAAAGTGAAGAAAAGGGAAAAGAAAAAGGGATCTAGGTCGGATCTCGACGGATTTCCTCTTTTGAATTCCTTTCTACTTCTACCCCATTCGAAAGTTCTTCTATTCATCGACCCTCGTTCGTGGTGGAAACCCACCATTGAACCCTTCACTTTCACTCTACCGCACCGGCTTTCCATTTTCTTTTCATATCAATCCAACTGACCACATTTTTACTGGTATTTCACCGGAAATGATCTTTTATTGAATGTACAGGCTTTTTGCTGGCTATCATCAAATCAGAGAAACATTTTTTCGAGTTAAAAAGCATAATTTAGAAGCAAAACTAGTCCAGTTTTAAGCTGCAATGCTTATAAATAATTTCCCATTCTAGGTGCATTTGTTTCTTTGTGATTTGTTTTAAATTTTCACAAAACCTTCACAAAACCTTCACAAAACCTTCACAAATTTATCCTAAAAAGTAAGGGAGCGCAAAAAATGATTGGGCTTTGTTGTGTTCTGTATGAATGAATCGGTGACACTCACCACCTCGATAAAAACAACAAAAACGAGGGAGCTTATGGGGAAAAGAGGATCCCTTTCCTCTTTCAGAATGGAGTGAAATCCCCTCACTGATCCTTCATTCCTTTTCTATACCAGTCATCGATGTTCAATAGAGATTTTGTACAGCATGCGAAGGAGCGGATGTTTCTCTTTTTCTTTTTTTTTGCACTGATTCTATAAAATAGAAATTTAGAATGCATCCACAAATCTGTTTCCATTTCGCTTTACATTTACCCTTTGCATCTCCTCTTTGACTAAATACTTCTGTTTTTGTTTTTTGTTTTTTGTTTTTGTTTTTTGTTTTTGTTAAACTCTTTCCATGAACGTATTGTCAGTGTTTTGTTTTTTTGTCCACTTCGCTCATAACGGAATGTACACAGAGAGATTCACGTTTAAGATAAGTCTCACTCACCAAAAAGACAATGAAAAGTGAGAAGTTTGAATGGTTGTTTTTGAGCATTTTGAAAAAAAAACACTATCCAATACATACTGTAAACATTTAAATAGAAGAGTCGGATAATTTTTATGTTTTAATTTGTTATTTATTGATTAAATGTTTGATCAAGTGAAATGTGGATTGTTTTTCAAAAAAATGCTTTAAAGTTTTAACATTTTTTAAATGCGAATTAGTATTTGCATTTGACACATTTTCTTCTTTGGAAGTTTTTCTAAAAACCCTTTAAAGCAGAGTTATCGTAAAATCAGAGATAAACTTACACGGGTGTGCCATAATTAGACACACTCTAATTGTGTGTTCTCTCCAAGTAAAGGATTACTCGAGTAAAATTTGCATGAGTAATTTTTACTCGATTAATCGACGTTTTTCGCCGAGTAACTACGAGTAATCCTCTTTACACGCCGAGTAAATTGAATATCTTTACATTTGAAGAGAATTTGCCACCAAATCACTTAAACAGTTGAATATCTTTAAAAGAAAACGTAAGAAAACGTAAGAAAACGAGCGCTCGTGATTTTTTCGCCCTCATTTTTTGCAATAATTTTCGCCAAAAGTACGGTAGTTTTTCCCAAGTGTGCTTTTTAAAAAAAACGTATTACTTGCCAGGAACACACTCTAACCATAATTGTCGCAACAAGGTAAAGTTCTAAGGTAAACAAGAGTAAAAAAGACAAATTTTTAACTGAATAACATCTATTGTACATCAACAATTATAAATGAACTATCAAATTCGAATCGGCCATCATTAGCATTTGAGTAGGCTCGCAGGCGTCGACGGTGGCGACTAGATAGGCTGGATCGAGCTCTTCCCACGCTTTCAGCAGTGATTTCTTTAAGCTTTCGATTTTTTTGTGGCGCTTTGAACAAGCTTTGGCTTCTAGAACCAACCACACTGAAAACTTCATTGGATTGAGGTCTGGTGGGCACTCAGTAAAAGAAATGAAGTCTGGGAAGTTGTTTTGGCAGAACTCTTGGACTTCCTTGGATTTGTGGGCCAGTGTGCCATCTTGCTGATAAGTCCAAATGCGATTTCCAAAATGTTTACGAGCCCAGTGCAAGTGTTCATCCTTGAGAAGAGTCAGGTATTGATCAGAATTGACTTTCCGACATCTTGTTGCAATAATTATGACTCATTCTGTAGATTTATGTGAAGCAGTCTAGTTTAGATCTTTACTTAAATCTTTACCCCACGTAAATAAACAAGTCCGACCATGATTTTTGATTTCCTAAAATTTCCCGCTTAGAACTGGCTTCACTTTCCTCGAAAAATGATTCGAAGCTAGATCTAGGCCGATGACTTTATCTGATTTTCCGTTCGTTCACCGTAAAAGCCGCTTCTTAAAGGGAAGTTCACTGTAGTGCAAATCGTAAACATCTGTTCTCTGGTTTGACTGCTTAATAAAATTAGCTTCCTTTTGTTTCTAAATTCAATAAACTTTTCTCTTATCATTCTCATCAATTTCACAGCGTTTTTATCAACTAGAGAGTTCTCTAAAAATCTATATTTTTGGATTAGCAAGCAAGTAAACAAGTCCAAAATTTTCCCTCAAAAAGTTCTTCATTCTCTCAAACTACTCACCACCTTTTTCCCCCCATTTTTCTCACTTTTTATCCATTATGAGCAAAGTAGCACTCATCTATCCGTTTAACGTATCGAAAAGAAAAATCTTCTGCCCTGTTGTTTGTTGAAAAACCCTGTTGTTTACGAAATCAGCTCACAATCTGACTCTTGTTTTCAAGAGTTAGATTCTCTTGTTACTCTTAAATTCTTCGAATAGCTTTTACTTATTAAATATAGAATAGAGAATTCTCTTTTACTTATTAAATATTAAATATAGAATAGAGAATTCTCTTTCATTTCTAGATATTTCAAGCAAAATGCAAATCTGGCATATGGAACCATTCGCTTGTGGGGATCGTCGATTGCCTCATCATGTTTTTCCGCCAAAGAAAATCTCGCCCGATCAACTTTGTGCCATTACTGGAGTACAAAGTTATAAGGTAAACAAATACAAAAACAAATCAAGATCAAAAAAAAATTTTGAGATTGATGTTGATGATACATTGTCGATGAAGAAACGATTGACTCTTGTAAAAACCGAGAGAAATGTGAATGCATCCGATTTTCTCACGATCAACGACTCAATCACTGATCTTAATGACAAGGTTATAAGATTTTTGTGATTGTTCTTCAGAACCTTTTAGCTTGATGAATTATATGAGCCAATGGTGAAAGATGAGGATTTGGTTCTTTTGATTGTTGAAGGGATATGCTATTATGATGTGGAGCCAGAAGTTTGTACAAGGAAAACACATTGCAATTGCACAAGTCTCATTGAAATGATCTAACAAATAACAGAAAGATATATATAGGGCAAATGCACATGAAATGCCAGAATTCTTTCAAGAGGCGCTTTTCAAGCCAATTTAATACAGTGCGGTGCAAAACCATACGCCATCCCTAAATTTCAATTTTCTGCGGCTCCCGTACCAGTGACAAAAAAACTGAAAACGTAGTTAGATTCAGGACCAAAAATAACCCTTAAACCCCAAAAATCGTCGACATAGCATGAATAGGGAAATGTAACAGCCAAAAAACGAAAATTCACCCGGCATTCGACTCGCGGGGAATGGCCCTTTGAGCGCTTGAACATTTGCGTACCGTGGGGAATTGGCATAAACTCGACGTGCAAGCATTCCCCACAGATTCTCAATGGGGTTGAGATCGGGGGAGCACGCAGGCCAATCCAGAAAAGGCACTTGTTTTGACTGAAGCCATGACTTGGTTGCTTGACTTTAGGGGGTGGCGTATGGCTTTGCACCGCACTGTAGTAAACCGTATGGGCTTCAAAGATAAGAAAGCTCGATCTTTTCTCTACAAAGTACCTTTTTGAGCCAGATGGGAAAGCTTTTGTTTTCTCACTTTTTCAAATGATCAAACTTAGTCAGTCAAAAAATGGGTTGATGGAGAGTTGATTATTTAAAGATTTCCATCCAACAAACCTACTTTGGTGTTCAAATAAAAAAACGTAGAGAATGTTTAATTGCATTTACACTCAAATTTTCAAATCAATCTGTCGATTCCTTTTCTCTGAATGACGTTTTGTCGGTTTTTAACAGAATATGGGTTATCTCGCGTAATATCCCACTTTTCATTAAATTTCCAGGATTCCAGAGGAATCTTTAGAAGATTTATAAGGCTTTGTGATACACAAACTTTGAGCGACAAACCATATTCTGTAAAAAACCGACAAACTTTGAGCTCAAAACAAGGATAAGAAACAACCGACTATTTTAAAAATGTCTGCCATAGCATGTGCATTCACCCGATAAATACAAAGAAACTTTTGAGGAAGATGAATGGATTCGTGTCCAATGTGAGAAAGGGGATCTCATTGTTATCCCAAAAGGGCTCAATCATCGATTCACCGTTACACCAAAGGTAAATGGGAAAAATCGATAGGTGATTAGGGGATTCGTTACCGTATTCTTATAGCTTCTCATCACTTTTTTTATTCTTATAGCTTCTTATCACTTTTTCTTTTTCCAGTCTTTCATAAAACTTTTCAGAATTTCGTCAAAGTTCAGCGATTCTTCAACAAACTCTCCGATACAATTCAAGGATAAAAATTCGCATTGCAAATGTCGTAGACTCTTTTTACTCTTCTTTTCTCTTTTCATGATCTTTTAATTTTCATTTCGAAATCGACAACACTACATTTCTTTTCTTTTCTTTTTGTACATAGTTTCCTGAAAACATTCATTGGTCAGTTTTTTCAATAAATTGTTTCAAAAGTGTATTGAAAATTAATTTTTAAAAAAAAACTGAGATCTCTCAGAAGCCATAAAAAAAAAATGAAAAAAAAGAAAAGACTCGCATCCTGAAAAGAAATAGGTGAAATCGGGGTCATCCTAACGGGATATGAAAAAAAAGACGGAAAAACAAGGACAGCTCTTTTTAATCATTTCACTTCATTGCACTCATTCTTCATCACATTTCTGTAGGATGAAAAAATATTCTGTAATTTTATTGCTTTTCACTGGTTAGTGCCAACCAATCTCATTTCACCAATTATTTACAGCTTATTGTATTGATTCAGTTATGTAAAGGGGCTTTAGTTCAAAATAAAAGCTAGCTAAAAGACTCAATTCAGCAGTTTGATTTAAGGACCAAATTTGCATTTAAATAGCATTTGAATAGCATTTAAATAGAATTTAGGGGATGGGACAAAGGTGCACCTTTTTTTGCGCACCCGACCAAAAGCGCACCTTTTTTTTCGCTGGAAAAGGCCGTAGAGCTTTAAAAATGTTTCCACAGAGGGGAATCATATGCGTAGATTCCGAATTTCGACAAATTAGAACTCGCTGACACGTCAAATTTGGGCTAAGAGGCAAAAACTACGCAACTTAACGCTTTTCCGCAGTTTTTGCCTCTTAGCCCAAATTTGACGTGTCAGCGAGTTCTAATTTGTCGAAATTCGGAATCTACGCATATGATTCCCTTATGTGGAAACATTTTTAAAGCTCTACGGCCTTTTCTAAGGCCTTTTCCAGCGAAAAAAAAGGTGCGCTTTTGGTCGGGTGCGCAAAAAAAGGTGCACCTTTGTCCCATCCCCAGAATTTAAATATCATTTAAATAGCATTTAAATATCATTTAAATATCATTTAAATAGCATTTAAATATCATTTAAATAGCATGTAAATTAATTAATTAAAGGAAACAATTTGCATTTAAACAAATTCAGGTATCGTTTCTTGTGATGATCTTTTTGAAGAAATCCGTGATGCCGAATTCCTTTCACAAGCCGATCTTCTCATTGCTCAATTAGCTCAAAAACTTTCCATTCTTCCACCGGGTAGACTTATTAAATTTGTTGATAAAGTTTTAACAATTAACAAATCGAATTTAAGAGTTGAGAACCCCATTTCATTCGTGTATGAAGACAAATGTTGTCGTTGAAAGAGTGGGTGAATGTCTACAACAAGCCAATCAAGCAGCCACAACAGCATCAACTTCAATAATTGCATCACCATCTACAGAAATCCCGAAGAAAATCGGCAAAAAACAGGATCAACAAAATAAAGTTTGTTTTATTTTTTTCAGTACTTTAGACAAAAGTCCATTTAAGATTTCTCCTGTCGAAAAAGCGAGAATCGAGTTTAAAAAAAAATTGGCGACACTGAGATCAGAGATGAAAAAAGCAGGAAGACAATCGGCTAGGTAAGCAAAAAAAAAAATGACGTACAGTAGCGGACATAATTTTGGAGACTTTCGGAGACTGTTTTTTTAAAAATTTTCTTAGTAAAATCTGATTCGGTATGTTTACTAGCGAAAATATGTAGACCTAAAAAGCACGTAATAATCGACAACTTGGTCGCTTCGATGAGCGCTCGGTGCCAGACTATTATTGATTCTAAAGGATCTTCCACAAAGTATTGAATTGATTTATTTGTTTTTGTTTTAATTTAGAAGTTTAATGATTTGTTACGTCATTATTTAGAGTTGTTTTTAATGTATGTAGAACCTAAAAAGCACGTATGATGGCTCTTGTTGATTTCATTGATTTTAATTTTTTTTATAAACAGTTGTTTAAATATGCTATAATTATGTCGTCCAGCTTTACACTAAAATTCTTGAAAAATCTTATAGACAGAATTTGAGGATTTTTTAGATGGTAAAATCCTAATTTTAGAAGATTTTCTACGTTCAGGGCAAATTTTGGCCCGATAGCTTAAATTACAAAAAAGTTTTGGTAAAAACAAAAAATATGCTAAAATTATGTCCGCTACTGTATGTAGACCTAAAAAGCACGTAATAATCCATAGAAAGAACTGCTGAATTTTTTTAAAAACTATTATATTTTTAATGCATTTATCTATAAACCCAGAGGACATAAATTTGAAAACTTTTAAAAACAACTCTAAATAATGACGTAACAAACCATTAAACTTCTAAATTAAAAAAAAAAAAAACAAATAAATCAATTCAATACTTTGTGGAAGATCCTTTAGAATCAATAATAGTCTGGCACCGAGCGCTCATCGAAGCGACCAAGTTGTCGATTATTACGTGCTTTTTAGGTCTACATATTTTCGCTAGTAAACATACCGAATCAGATTTTACCAAGAAAATTTTTTTAGAAAAAACAAAAGTTTCCAAAATTATGTCCGCTACTGTACACAGCCAGAGCTAAATGTTCGAACTTAGTTTGTCCTAACTACACTATGGGTAGATTTAAACGTATAGGTAGATGACTAAAAACATACAGGCCTATGTCCGCTATTGTATGATGAAAGGAATTAAATCTTCAGAAACAGAAATACTTTACAGTTCCCATAAACAAAAAAAAATAGTTTATGCACTCAAAGTCTATTAGTAATGTTCAAAACTTTAGCTTCCAAGAAGCGATGGCTGAAATGTCATCAGTTGAGACGGAATTTCATATGGATCAATCAAAAGAAAGAGAAGCAGTTGATGATGAGATGGATGAGGAAATGACACCAATCAGTACTACGACATCTACAACAACAATGACAACAACATCGACAACAACAACCACAACAACAACAACCACAACAACAACAACAACAACAACAACCACAACAACAACAACAACAAAATCTAGAGCTCGATTCATGGTTTGAAATCAATCGTGTTTGAAAAACACAAAAATTTAGGTGAAATCAGCAAAATCGTTGAAATCGTTGAGTCTCGCCGATGTTGGGACTCCATCTCCAGTGGCAAGTATGAGTAAGGTAGTGAACAGGCAAAAATTCTCGCTTAAAAGTTCTGATTAGGTCGAAAGCTAGAAAAAATTGGTCAAATTTCTGTTTTCATTTCATTGCTTATTCATTCATTTCAGCTTCTCCTCTCCTTTTTACATCCAAATACAACCTCATCTGAAGAAGATGGACTATTGGAAAGACATGAAAATTTGATGAAAAAAGCGAGAGAAGAGAAATCCCTCGAATCGTCGCCCATTCAAAGAAATTCTCCTGTACAATTCTTTGATGTTGATTTGGGGAGATCCCAGCGAACTCCTCAGCTTAAAGGGGTAATATATCCTTTAACTATCTTTCATATATATAATTTCGAAATGTCAATCCGTCCGTCTGTCCGTTGAAGCTCTAATGGGCGCAGGAGGAAGCGCCGAAAGGAATTCGGCGTGCAATAGTCGAGTGGTTAGCGCGCTCGCACTGCTGCTGGAGGTCAACGGTTCGAATCCGCCTCCGGCCAAAGCTTTTGCTTTTTTTTAACCAAAAGCTCACCTATAATAGAAATAACCTTTTTAAGCAAAAAAGAAGCGAGCGAGGAAAACCGTAAACAGATTTCCCGCTTGTACATCAGTTTTTTAAAATTTTAGGACATTTTAGAATATTAACCATTAACCAAATTTTAGGACAATCTCCCATTAACCAAAGAAACATACGAATTGATCAACGGACTATCAAAGACGAAAACAACAAAAGAACAACGGGAATTCGCATTGTTAAGCCCAAAAATTGCCTCATTGATACCGGAAAGTCATCAGGTAAAGGGAATAACTTTAACTTTAGAACTTGAAACTTTAGAAATTTGATTATTTAGAAGAAAGGCCTTCTCTCACCATCAATTTTTGCTCTTTATGAAAATAGCAACGAAGAACAGATTTTACCGATTCCAAAGGTCACAAAATCTCTTTAAGCTTTTAAAAATAAATTTAGGTTTTAAAAGATTTGGGATTGGATAAGAAAGAACAAAAGAAAGTGATGGAGGTGAGGGAAATAAATGTAAATTGTAAAAGCTTTGATGTTATAGGTGGCACTTGAGCTGGCTGGGGCACGAAAAATCGTCTCGAAGAAGAGTCCGGCTGAGAAAAAGAAAGGAGAAGGTTATCGAGTCTGAGAAATTCTAACAATCAGCAAAATCTAATAAATACAGCTTTATAAATCTATTAAAAAAACTATATTTTATTGCAAAAACAAACCGAATCATGCATTTTATTGATTTGCATTTAAATGCTTAATTTCTGAATGGATTTGATCCGGATCAGAAGATTGTAACTTTTTTCGGAAGATTTAAATCCAAATTGTTGCTACAAGTACTCTTTTTTAACAAAAACATTATATGGAAGGGTTGCAGAATAATCGAACTTTCCTTTTGTTAGAATACCGTATTCTCTCTAATAGTAGTGCACTCTCTAATAGTATTGCGGTCCGAGAGAGGGTTGAAAAAATAGTAGTGCACCAACGAAAATTTGAATTTCTGGTGCTTCTTTTCTCTAACCTTTGCTTTATGTTTATGTGACATTCTAAAGCTATTCAAGCAAGCAAAGTGAGGCTTTTTTTTTCTTTATTCATTTTTCTTTTTAACTTTCTTCACATGAAAAGTTAGCAAAAATCTCAAATTGTTGTGCAAAGTGCAAAAAAATCTTTTTGTTGTTTGTGTTTGTCAAGACACAAATTGTCAACTCGTCGGCCCACAACTGTATGTCAAAAGGAACCAAAGGAGTACGTGAAAGAATTGCAAGAATTTTGCAAGCCAACTTAAAGGGGGGTATTAATCGCGGCGGGGTGACAAAAATTTTTTTACGGCAACCACCTGTTTTTTTTTATATCGCTGATTTTATTATAAAAAGAATAAAAATCACCCGGCTAGAGTGATTTGATGGGTTTACAAATTTTTGGAGACACTTGGAGAAAAACAAGATCGTCAGAAAAACTTGGAGAAACTTGGCTTGGAGAAAAACAAGATCGTCACTCATCAGACACCTCAGCACAGTCTAGATCGATTGAGTTTTAATTGCAGATAAATTTAAAAACAAAATAAAAGCACAAAAACAATAAAAATGATTTGGTAATCTATATTCTTCCTCTTGCTCACTTTCATCTTCGCTCGAGTACAGCAGTTCCTCAAATCGGCCTCCTATCTTATCAATTTCCCGCGCATCTTCACCAGAAGTGACTGGATCTCCTCCATCGTAGGACGTCCTCAGCGCTTTGCTTGACACAATTAGATCTTTTTCCATTTGTGGTCGCTTGTGGTTTTGTTTTCTCAAATAGGTGCCTTTTAGCTGGGTGTCTGATGGTGACGATCTTGCTTTTCTCCAAGCCTTGCAGTGTCTCCTAAAATTTGTAAACCCATCAAATCACTCTAGCCGGGTGTTTTTTTCTTTTTATAATAAAATCAGCGATATTAAAATAAAACAGGTGGTTGCCGTAAAAATTTTTATCGTCACCCGGCCGCGTTTACCCCCTTTAACTAAGCCAAACACATGCGGGTTGCAGTGGAAACGAGGTGAGTGGAAAAATGGGAGATTTTAATGAAATTTTAGTGGTTTCGATTTACATGTTTCAAATTAAACCTTTCTGGAAATGTTCTTTAATCACTAATCAAGACCTGGGTCTTTACTTTCCTTCCACCAAAGAAAAAAGCCATTTGATTGTGATCTAATCTAAAACCAGTAAAGTATCTCCCCAATAAGTAAAGTAAAGTAAAGTAGGTAGCTTTTCACCCCAACTATCCAAAGTACATAAATCTCGTAAGATATCGTAAGTCTTCTAATACGTGAAAGAATTGCAAGAATTGCAAGAACAAATCTTATATCTGTCTTACTTTGGTAAATGATAAAACTCTTTAATAGTAGTCCACTCTCCAATAGTATTGCGGTCCAGGAGGGGGTTGAAAAAATAGTAGTGCGCACTACTATTAGAGAGAATACGGTAATTAGTCCATCTCGTCGATTTCTATAAATAACTCAATCATATGCTTGCATAGGAATCAAATTCAAATTCAAACAAACAAGTGTTCGGGGGAAAAGAAAGAAGATGCTGAAAAGAACAAAAAGAAATGAGATGAGCCGATCGGGCGTGTCCTCTTCAATCTGTTGGAAAAGATTGGGGGAAAGGAGTGGTGAATCTCGGTGTGAGAATACCCATCGGGGAAAGCACCCATAGCAAAAGAGAAAGCAAAAGAGAGATGCAAGCACTTTGAAAGTCTTTTCACAGTGAATCCATTCAATTCCATTCCATCCGTTCCATACAATGCTCATTCTCACAATCATTGTCTTTTCCCTCCCATACGTTCTCTCTTTTTGTAAAACAAAGACAAACAACACGATTCTGGAGGAAGAACGAGGGTCTTCTCCTTTTCAAAAAATCCTTTCAACTTTTCCCCTTCTTTCGATTTGTGCACCAGTTCATTTCCGTTGAGAATTCAAATGTTTCATTGACAGCTCTGCAAACATTTTTTTGAATTTTAAAGTTCCTTTTCTATTTTTCTACCAAAATCCATCAAAAACGCGGTCGATAAACTTGCACTTTTTTAGATCTCAACTTCAAATTGGGCAATGAAGAGTTCGGATGCGATTTTTCTTCTTATTATCTCATTTGTCTCCAGTTTCAATCTCGATGAAGTCGTCACAAATCTTGGTGTTCCACAACTCTTTGAAGAGGTTTTCACAAAGATTATTTTCTTTAAAAGAGCTACTAAAAAGTTTAGACCAATTAAATCTTAGCTTTAATTGATAGACTCAATAAGATGAATAGATCCAATCGATTCCCAGAGCCCGAAAGTCCAAGGGTACAAATTTACAGCTGAATATCTTTTTATACCATCTTCGATGCAACCGAAGTAAATCCTTATAGAAAGAGAAGTTCTTTGTGCGCGAGCACAATCGCTCTCCATCTGGCATAGAGCTCTGATATATATATATTTATTTGACACGAATAATGAATTACAACACAACGGAGGAGATTTTTACCCCTAATTACCCCTATTGCCCAAATGTTGTTAAGAAAAAACCGATAATAAAACTGATAATAATGGGAAAAAAAACCAATCTTTCTAGCCGCCGGAATCGAACCCTTAACCCCCCGACTAGGAGACAAGACTCCTATCCGGTTGGCTACAACGGCCAACCGGATAGGAGTATGAGGTGCTTTCTTCCAATCCGTAAAGAGGAAGGAGCGGTGAGCGACTAAGGCCTCCCGCTCCTTGGGCCTATGTCCCAATTTGGCTGTATTTTTGTCACAAATTCTGCAACCCTCCAAACCAAAACTAGGCTGAAACAACCTTCGAAGCCGATTTCATTCTTTAATATCTGATAAATTATTGATAAACCGATTTACTTTCATCATTTCTACATAAAACTTTATCAAAAATTGTATTACTCGCTGACAATTTGGTTTTACTGCGAATCGTCTTAATTCGGTCAACATATAATTATTGCTGAGTTCTAAATCTCGAGTTTTCAATGTTTTACAGGCAATGTTGAATCGAGATCCCGAGTGCGGTCTTCCTTTCTACACGAATTCCCTTCCATTGCTATATCGACGAAATCTTCGTAAAATCTGGGCCAATTTTCCATTGGGATCAAAATCGTGCAGTGTGTAAGGCTTAGGATTAAATTTGGGAATTTATATTATTTAGTGAACTTCGCCAAACACAGTCCATTCTTGACTCTTTACCCAGCGATCTTCGACAAAAAGCTTTGCGGAGTAAGGTTAGGTTTTGATCAGGGTTTTCTAAAATATATCCCAAAATTTTATCTTTCATTGGACGATGACATATAATAATCTAAAAGGATTGTACTAGGTTGGTGCAAATGAAATTTCGTTTTTTTACAAACATTAAAGTCATCCAAAATTTTTTTAGATAACAATTTATTTAAAACAATAAGCACCATTATTATCTATGACATCCCTCCAACGTTGCTACAGATTGCGGTCCCCTTCACAAAGAACGCTTGATTCTGTGATGCAAAGTAGTTGGTCACCCAATTTTCGACTTCTTTTGCATTCTTAAACTGGCAATTCTCAAGGGAATGTTGCATCGATCGGAAAAGGTGAAAATCGGAGGGTGCTAAGTCTGGACTATACGGCGCATGTGGTAAGACCTTCCATCCTAGCTTCTCTAGTTCCTTACAAGAGGTTTTTGCCGTGTGAGCTGGAGCATTATCACGGAGAAAGTTGATAGTTGAGGGATTTGGCCTTTTTCACGCAAAATTTCGTCAACCTTCTTGGTTGTTGAATAAAATAAGATGTGACTGTTTTTCCGGCTCTAATAATTCAAAATGAACAAGTCCATTGATATTCCACCAGCAAGACAACATCACTTTGCGCCCATGATAATCCCGCTTTGGAGTTGGAATTGGCGCTTGACCTTTGCTCAGCCATGCCTTTTTCGAGAAGTATTATCAAAGTGAATCCACTTCTCTCCATCGTCAAGATATTCTCAAAAATGGCTTCTTTTCGACTTTGGAGCAAGATATGGCTGATCGAAACGCGTGCTCCCAAATTCTCAACACTCAATTGATGTGGAACCCATTGTCCATTACGATTTGTCTTTCCATTATTTCCAAATCGCGTACAATTGTTGATTGGAGATGTTTGGCAGTTCTCGTGTTGTTTGCATTGATCAGCTTCAATTAATTGTTCCAATTCATTGTTGTCGTGGCTGTGGCACGATGTCCATGCGATTCGTCTTCAAGGGATTCATTACCATCTCGGAATTGGGCAAACCAGAGCTGGCATGATCTTTCGGTGATAACCTGTTCTCCAAAGGCGGAACAGAGATCACGATGTGAATCAGCAGCGTTTTTGCCCATTTTGAAGTCATAGAGAAGACACGTGCGCAGAACATACTTTTGATCCACCATGATCTAAAGCAAAATCAATTAAAAGTGAAAGCTCTGACTTTGAAAAATGCGAAAATAAAGTAAATATCCAAGAGTACAAATGCACAAAGAACATCAAATGCTCTTCAGATTAAAAAAATAAGAACATTTTATATGGACCGAAATTTCTTTTGCACCAACCTAATATATGTCGTAGCCGATTATGAATGAGTGGGTCTAGGAGCGTCCAAAACCATCAAGTATTTAGTATCATTCAACGCAGAATCATTAATAGTTATGTTAAATTTTTTAAATTAGAAAGATTGGATAAAAAGAAAAAAAATTATGGGGCTTCAAAGTTTTCTCTTGAACAAACAGTTTTTTTGCTCTAATTTTTTTCTTTTTATTCAATCTTTCTAATTTAAAAAATTTAACATAATTATTAATGATTCTGCGTTGAATAATACTAAATACTTGATGGTTGAACGCTCCTAGACCCACTCATTCATAATCGGCTACGGGGGTCCCGCCGATTTTGAATGAAACGTTGTAGCGCCGGGAATTTTTAACCTAAACTCAAAAATTTGATACCAATCGACGCAGAATTTAATTCGCTACAAGATGATATAATATTGTCCTCATACATTAAAGGGTTGCTCTACTAGAAAGATTTGCCAAAAAATTTCATTCATAATCGGCTACGACATATATTTAAAATAAGAATTCAGAGCTGGTCTCCAGCGACAGCCACACTTCTTCCCGGCACTCCATTTCTCGCGTCGCTCTCAAATTCCCAACAAAAAGAACTCAGCAAGGTGACTTGGGTATTTTGTTTTGATTGATTAGTTATTTCAAAGTACACTTAAACAATCATCATTTTCTAATTTCAGATAGCATCTGATGGATCGTTGAGTGAAACAGAGAGAGTTGTCATGTTAAAGGCATGGGCGGTGGAACATCTTGAACCAAATGCACAAGCAAGATTTGAACAAACATTGAGATTCCTTTCCGCTAAAGCCAATCGTTTTCAAGAAAAGGTTTAGATGAGAATTTGAGCTTTTCATATCTTTTTCATTCGCTATATCTCTTATTATGAAAAGAAAAAGTTCGTAGCAAAAAGTTTGCCTGAAATTTCTTGAAAAACGAATCCACCAATTCAAGAACATTTTGTTCTATTATTTACTCGTCAATTCCAAGAAATTACTCGTAAAAAATGAGTGTGCAGCTTTGCTTTAAAATTAGTGACTTTTGAGAAAGTATTATTTTTTTATCTGTCTTCGCACTTAGGTGTTCCTATTTGGGCAGATCACAACCTGCTTCCACATTTCTCTATCCCTTGCTATTATCATCCAGTGCTTCCTATCTTGGTTGTTCCTGGTTCAAAGTCTTCGACTTGCTTGTGCTGGTGGTGGTTGCACTCTAACCATCCTTTCTCTGACCGTTTCTGCCACTCTCGTGCTCCACCTCGTTGCTGGTCTTCCGATGGGCCTCTTCTGGTCTCGTGGTAGCCACTCTGTGATCCGTATCGTCCATCTGTCATCTGTTCTTCTAACCACGTGGTCGGCCCATCTGAGTTTTTTTCTCTCGATCACTTCCACTGGATCTCTGAGCCCCGAGAGCTGGCGCATATCCGTACTTCTTAGGTCTTGGTCGAGTTGCATCTTCCTATTGTGCCCGAGGGAAAGTATTATTTTCCAGCTTAATTTCAAGCTCGGCTTTTTTTTTGCACCACAAAAACTATTTCTTATGGGGTAAACCTAATATAAATGTGCAATACGCTCTATAATCTCGATTTTTAGTCTCTATTTTCTTTTTTTGTAAAAACTTGTCTAAAGGCTGGTCACTCAAAAAGTGTCACTTCAGCAAGTTCACTTCACAACAAGTCACTTCAGCTGAACAAAACGCTCTTATTTTTACCCAAAAACCCACTCTGATTTTGTTTATCAAAAATTTTTTGAAATATAGTCAAAATTTATCAAAAAAAAAAATTTGGGAAGAATTGATGGCTTGGTTTTTAAGAAATCATCGTGTAAACTTTTTCTAAAAACTTTCTTGCAAATCTAATAAATTATCTCAGGTAGCTGCGATGTCAGCCGAAGCACGAATGGCCCTAAATCGCCTCGATGATCTGCGACGACAAAAAATATCGATTCTCAATCGACTCTCATTTACTGCAAAACGGTAATTAAAACTTGTAAAAGGTAAATTTCAAGAAAAATTACAGTGAATTAGCAATTTTGTGGAAACCGAAATGTAATTCATCGGAAGGAGTCGATCCTGACGTTTTTCTGATCGCTTGTTCAAATAAGGGCACAATGGGTGCGGTTTAAAAATGGATAAGTAAAGGCTTACGGTTTATTTTAAGCCTTATTACATAAAATCAACATCTTAAATTCTAGCTGTTACCGAAAAACCGACAACCCCTTTGATCAGCGAGCATTCAACGTTGATGCCCAGTTCACCAATGAATAACATTTCTTCAACGGTAACTTGAAAAAAAAAATGGGTACTTTCCTGTTATACTACTTTAAGGAAATTCGTCTGGGCCCTTTTTCCTTTTAAATCGCCCCATGCGCATGAATTCACCCCAAAAAAATTGCAAAATTTGCAAGTTGATAGCCGTTGATTGGTGGGGAAAGTCCAAACCGTTTAGGAATACGAACAAGTTTCCCTTTTACTTGTCTTTAAAACGAAAAAAACAACTTTAAACTGATAACTTGTGTGTCTTGAATGTGATCAAAACAACGAGATTTTATCGATACAAACAACAATCCTTTGTGGAAATGAATATGGGGGGCAAAACAGCGCCAACGTTTCGAAAATCCTGCGTCTTGGCTACATGATGGGGAAACAGTTTTGAAACAGCACCAAATGGGTCCTAAAGATATTCAGTTAACCAACTAAGTATCACTCGACACACATTTTGAGTGCTCTTTTTATCTATGAAATATTAACTTTTTTAAAAAAACTGTTTCACCCATCATGTAGCCAAGAACACAAGGAATTTTTTGGTATAAAACTTGAACCGGCTTGGTTTTTTGGATTTTGAGAAATTTGACGGCGCTGTTTTGAACGTTTTCTATTATGGCGCTGTTTTGACTACCCCCCGAATAAAAAGGTCGCCTTATATAGCCGAGAACTACAGTAGGATAAGACAGAAAAGGACATTCTCTAGCAAAAATGACTTGTAAATAGGTGTTAAGTAGAGTCAACACAAACAGAAATGGATGAAGAATTTCGGTTTATTGAGGCCTTCTTTTTATGATTTGTTTTTTGTTACGGGTTTCTTTTTTCTTTTGCTTTTGTGTGCTGGTGGTATATCAGAATTTTTCTGTTTCTTTGCATACGGTGGTATATCAGGTAGTATAGTACCAATAAATGTAAGGATTTCAATAAAATTTAGTCAACGATACCAACAACATACGAAAATAAAGTCACAATCAAAATCGGTACTGAAAAGGAGCCGATTGAGAAAGAAGAAACGAGCACAAGGAAAGTGAGTACAATTGGAGGGGAAACTGGAGAGGAAACTGATGAGACAACGCAAATGGTTTCACCCGAAATTGAGGTTTGATTTCATTTTAGATCTTTTATCATTTTAGATCATTTTAGATTTTAGATACAGTCGACTCTCTCTATAACGGAATGGAAGGGACCAAAAATGTTTCCGTTATATAGAGTTTCGTTTTATAGAGCTTTCCGTTATATAGAGCTTTCCGTTATATAGAGCTTTCCGTTATATAGAGCTTTCCGTTATATAGAGCTTTCCGATATATAGAGCTTTCCGTTATATAGAGCTTTTCGTTATATAGAGTGTCGTTTTATATAGCTTAGCGTCGACCTGGACCAAAATTCTATTCCGTTATATAGAGTTTTCCTCTATATAGAGTTCCGTTAGAGAGAGTTATAGAGAGAGTCGACTGTAGATATTTCCGAGATCAACTTTTAAATGTTCAGATTTTCCGCCGTCATCGTCCAGATCAAATCTCATCTCTTTACAATATTGTCTCAAAAGAAGCGGCGATTGATGAAAGACGTGTGAGTTGAACTCAAATTTAGAGCATTTTAGGCATTTCGGCACCTTGGAATCGGTTTTGAATGCGTCGGCTACCGTAATCCGATAGGAAACGTTACAGTAACAAAAGTTGTTTTCACTATAGTCCAAAAGATTGCGATAATATCAACTAGGTTGAAGATAGAAAACTCAAATAGCCAGAGGTTATATTACAGTAGCTAAGGGAAATTTTAAAGTACTCAGTTCGGTTTGAAACTCGCCTTCCATTTGCAGATCCCCTCCCCTGCCCCAGTCGTCCTTTCCGCTTCTCTTCCTCCATCCGTTTTTTCTTCAATGAATTCAAATCAATTATCAGCTATTCTTCGTCGAATTTTTCCCAATTCTCACTTTAAATATTAGCTTTAATTTCTTTTCTTTCTTTCTTTCTTTCTTTTCTTTCTTTCTTTCTTTCTACTGCCATTTTTTTTGCATTTTCAATGTCGATCTCAATCATTGTACCAATAAATCTTTATTTATCACAGAATTTTATGGGTTTTTTTTGTTGCTTAATCTAAGCTAATCACTAACCATTTTTTGAAGAGTTCCCCATTTTTATGTAAGTAAATGTCTAACAGTGGCTGTCGATGATGCAATTTCAGTGATTCTCGTTTTTCTTTCCAATCTTTTTCTCTCACGATCAGCCTCATCTCTTAACATTGTTAAAAATGTATCATCGACACCTGGAAATTGTTTTTGAAAAGAAAAAAAAAGCTAGGAGATAAAATTAAAAATGAAAACAAAACTTACCGTCAAAAAGATCATTGCAATTTGTGCAATTTTTCTGTTCGCTTTCTTTTTTCCACCTTTCCACAATATCCGAGAATTTGAAACTAAAATTTGCATTATATTTCGATTTTTTAAGTTCAATCGAAAATATTTCAATTTTATTTCAATTTTATTTCAATTTTAAGTTCAATTTTTGAACCTTTTCTTACATAATAGCTCGAACATTTCTTTCTCGATTCAATCGACATTGCTGAGTGGCAAGGTTTTGTCTCAATTTTCGGATGTGAGGCGTCGTTTCCACGTAGCCATGCTGATAAGAAAGGGAAATTTGATGAAAAGGGGAAAAAAAGAAATGGCTGGCTTTATTTTAAAGCATTGCCCGAAACACTTTAATGGAGAAATATTACTATTGCAATGGAAATTTAGGCTAAAAATGGGGGGAAATTTAGCGTAAGCCGGTGGCGAAAAAAGGCTTTAAAAGTGATGTTGCTGATAGAGTTTTGAAGCTGCTAAAATTTAAGTTCCACTCAAAATCTATGCTTAAAATTTGATAAATGAAAGTTAGGTAATTGACTCAAAGAAAATTGATGAGAAATTTATAACATAGAGAGGCTTAAAATGTTTTAAAAGCCGAAAATTACCGGTGAATCATCAAGAATATCGACAACAACATTAGCATCGGCTAAATATTTTGGTGGCCGTCCACTCGGGCGAATCCGTCCCCCATTTCGTTCTCTCAATTTTCCACTCACTACACCCGCTTCTTCGCTACTTGGCGACTCGAGCGATTTCTCATTTGTGGATTCCCCTGAAAACATCAACTTGGTCTCACTAAATTTTTCCCAATCAATCTCGTCCAACTCAGAGATAAACCTTTCTTCAATTCTCCAATTCTTACCTTTATCCCTTGATTTTCTCCTTTGTTTTATCGGCGATACTTGTATTTCTTGTGTCATCTCTTCATTAATCGGTATCCCCAAATGCGCCAAAAGATTCAAATCCAAAATGCTTGAGCTCGGGATATCTGTGGTTTCTTGTTGTTGGGTCAAGTTGAACGAGAAAGGTTTTGCTCCGAAATTATCCGGAATTTTGATCGGTAATGGTTTCATCTCTTGGTCCATTTGCTGAAATACTTGATGTTTGTTAATCTTTAGATTTTAAGTCACTTTACAAAGTTGTTATCAAGTTTTCAAATAGTTAAATAAAAATAGATCAAGCCGCACTGTGTCATACTTTCAAAAAAAACACACAAAAATCAATAAACATAACCAATAAAGAAAATCAATAAAAATAAAAATCAACCTTTTTTTCTGGCTGCTGCTGGAAGATGGACTGTTTGAAAGGGAAAGACTGAATTATCTCGTTTCACTGAGTAATGAAAACTTTGATAAGACTTTCACGGGATGGGGGGAAGGGAGAGGGAGGGGGATCAAGAGGACAGTCTGTCTCTTTTTTCCCCTTTCCCCCATTTTCTCTTCATTCATCTTTTTTACCTATAGATTTTATCATTCTTTCACTTTTCATTCAAAATCTTTTTCTCCAAAAACAACTAGACAATTTATTGAGCAAAAACGAGAGAAACATGTTTTTTCGACAATTTGTCCATTGATAAATTTTGAAGTTGAATCTGTAAATGTTTACTTGAATTTAAATAACCAAACAAAGACAACCGTAAAAGCTGTAATAGTAGCCCTGGGGTCATTATTTTTCCGATCCTCCTTTTTGCAATTCATATGATCAAAACTAGAAAATATAAGATAATTATCACTCATTAAAGGAACAGCTTCTAATTAATTAATTAATTAATTAAACGATACGAACAAGTAAAATACAACAAAACAACAAAAAACCCAGAAATTTTAAAATCTAGATCAACTGATATATCAGATCAAAATTCCTTCTCACATATTTCTGTTTCTTCACGAAAATCGAGAAGATTCGCTGAAGTAAGCGGATCCAGGAGCTCATCGACTTCTTTTTCGACACGTGCATCCCTGAGTAACTGTAGTCCTGTAGGAATCGGGCCATTGGGCTTAAAACAGTGAATCACCTGGTCGTCGGCACCACTTGGGTCGATTCGAACACCACAGCTTTTGAAGGATCGAATGACTTCTTCCGAAATTGAATCCCAAGCATCAGCAACGCATTTTAAGTAGATGTCCATTCCAGGGGCCTTGTGATTTCCACCTTTTGTGCGTTCGGGTGCTTGAAGCAAAATCCAATCCTCCAGTCAGTGCCTTAAAAGGACCATTCCAAGCCACATCTGCACATTGAACAAACTTCGTAATGCTTCCAGGAACAAAGAAACAATCCAATTGAAGCTGATTGAGTTTTTCCCTTGTCGATTCGCTTTGATGAGACGCAAAACGATCCCAAATAATCAAAGAACGATCAGTTTTTGAATTTTGAAAAACTCAAGCCTTTTGAACGATTTCTCCAAGTATTTGCTTATTATCTCATCATTGAGCCATTTGTCTTTTTTCCAGCAAAGTATCAAACTATTTTGATATTTCATCTCGATTTTTTTATCAACCCTGATTCTTTGCATCAAAACGAACGGTTTCAGTTTTTCTTCAGCATAATCCGTGTTCAACATAATTGTTATTGACAACTTTTCATGACCGGTTGTCAAAAATTCAACTTCTTTGGATCCAGCTGCATCGATACATTTGCTTGAAGAGAAGTCAAGTTGAACAGCAGTTTGATCGCAAGCAAAGACGTGTTTATAATTTCCTTCTTTGATCTTGTCATTCAGCTCGATGAAATACTTTACGAATGCTTTTTGCGAAATCTTCGGGGTCTTTTGCCATGTAGCTGTAGGAATCCGAAGAGAAAAAACCATGTCGGGGTAGAAATGATTGCATCCAACCGTTGCTTCTTTTGAAAGGGAGATCAGCCACAGAAAAACGGTTCATCGCTTCGGTATAGATGATTCGTCGAGTGACTCTTTTCTTCTCAGCTTTTCTCTCTCGGATCCAATCCGAAAGTGCAGCATCAATATCCGATGAGTTCAAATGCCAACCTCCTCCCTGAAGTCGTTTTCGTTTTTCTCTCGTTGTTTTTAACTCTTCTTCCTGCTTCAGGTATCGTTTCACGTAAGGTTGGTCGATGTTATAGAATTTGGCATCCTATAGATGTTATAGAAATCCTTTTATTCCTTTTGCTTGCGAATCCACGTTGTTGCTTGCATCTTCTAGCTCTTTTCCTTCCAAATTGCATCCCTCTCGACGATCACGAAATTCCGCGAGGTCGTCTGGCTCAAACAATCGGTTCGGTCATCATCGGTTCCTAAAAGAAAACAATTAAAGTTGTACATACTTTACAAAGCACAAAGCATTGTAAAGTAAATTTCCACAGGAAATGATAAAAATACAGCAAGCAGTGTTAATGATTTTAAAATGTGAAAATCTAGGTAGAGAAGTATGAAAATAGGGTGCAATGAGTTGCGAAAATGGCTACTAGTCAATTAATTTAGCACTAGTCAATTAATTTTAGCAATTTTTGATTGCATACTTTTAAATTGTAAATAAAAGATGGGAAAGGTGGAGTGATTTTGAGCAAGCGGCTTCAAGAGCGCAAGTACAAGACGTTTTTCTAGTAAAAGCAAACGTAGTAAAAGAGTTTCTTAGCGCTACATTTTAAACTGCGTAAAGTGAATGAATCACTCCTTTTGATTGAATATTTCGCTCTTTCAAGGAGAGGTACAAAATATTCAGCCTAAAGCAGAAGCAAATTTGTGGGGGAGAGGCTAATATAATATTTTTCGGCACTATTTTTTCGTTGGCCCTCTAGAGGGGCTACTATTATAGGGCTCTACCATTACAGCTTTTACGGTAATCAAATAGTTTTATTAAAATAATAAATTTTCGTAAAATAACGTCATGACAATGGCAATAATAAAACTGACTACTAGAAAATGATCGATTAGAAGACAGAAAGCCATTAATATTATCATTTCGAAAGAAATTAAATTCAAAACTAATCGGTTTATTACTTTAAAAGTCATTAGAAATGACTCACACAAAAAGAAAGTAAAGAAATGAAAAAAAGCAGAAAAAAATATCCTTATCACCAATTTTCATTCAGAGTCACAAAACTGGAGGGGAAAAACTCATTTCTGAAGTCACTGTCAGCCTCTTTACTTTCAAATTCTTTCATTCAATCATGTCAATCAGTATTCACGGAATTGAGGATATTCAGCAGGTATTGGAAGAAATTTTGTGACCGCTGCTTATCAGCAGCCTTAGTTTAATTTTATTTGTGTACATATTTAGAGTGCTCTTCGTCTCTCGAATCAAACCGAAAAATTACTCGATAGACTTGGGGGTACCGTAGAACAAGTAATTTAATAATATCTTTATTTTTTCTACAAGCACTAATTTTGATACTTTTTAAGTATTAGGTTGATGCAAAAGTCTTTTTCATTTTTTTCGTACTTCTTTTGAAAAATAACAAAGTCATCAATTAACCTATGGTTTGCTCTAAATGAAAAGTGTTTATTGTTGAATTTCCCATCTTTTTAAGTCAATTTGGGTTCACTTTCAAGCAAATTCGAGAGTGAAAACGGGTTTTTCATAAAAATCTATAAAAACCTCTATAAAGAAATTGGCTGAATCAATTTCTCTGAAAATCTGAAAAAATATCTAACTTTTTGTGCTCTATCTTTTATTTATTAACATCAAGATTGGTTTCCTTAGCTAAAGCGTCTAAAATGCATCATCGAGCCGTCGCCTTTTTTGACTACCCGACTTCAGGCTCTCAAAAAAATCTAGACATAAGACATTTTAAACTCGTTTTAATGTCATTTTGCAGAAAAATAATTGGCCTTTCGAATGCAATAAACCGTTGTTCAATTGGTGCATTTGTTACTTTTTAACGGAAGTACGAAAAAAATGAAAAAGACTTTTGCATCAACCTAATAGTTTCAAAAAACATAACTACCCAAAATTGAAGGCGAATCAAGTACTCGGAAATGTGAGTCAAGGTGTGAGTGATGTGATTGAATCGATGAATGGAACACTTGTTGAAGTGACTGGATTGGTATGGAAAGGATATTAAAGTAAACGAAATAGATATAGTTTCAGTTGAAATCATTGACGAATTCTTCGGAAAAGTTATTGATTCGCGTTGATCGGGCCCTCGAATTGAGTACTCTTGTGCTTGTTCCCCTTTTGGCTCTCGTTTTTTTCGCTCTCTCCATTTGCCTCATCTTGTATGGAGTTGCGAAATTGAGGAAAACGAGGAGAAGCGGTGAATTTTGAATATATTTGAAATTTTAGAAAGATTTCTTTGCACAAGTTCAATAATTAACACATAGACTACCGCGTGACTCAATGCTGAGTCACGCTTGGCTATCCGTTTGGACCATGTGACTCAATGCTGAGTCACGGCTGTTTCTCGTGAATGGCTTGACGAAATGAGCTCAAAAATTTGCAAGAGCATGTAATTTTGGGTCCCCTTTCCGATTACGACGTTAGTTTTATTAGGAAGTTATGTGAATTTTCGTAAAAAGCGGAAAAACCGGATCTTACCTCGGATTCCATGGCCAAGTGGTCTGAGCGCACAAAGTCAATCTGAGACTCCAATGGGTGGTCATTGGTTCGACTCCTCCAGAGCGAGAACGCTTTGCAAAAAATATTTTCTAATAGTTTTAGATACTTTAATGAAGTAGCTCCAAAAATCAAGTGTTAGAACTCACAGAAGTTTTCAAAAATGAGTGTTTTTGAATTTTTGAAAAAATCATTTTGTAAAGGAATATTTGTGCGTTCTTTTTGCATCGCTCGTAGGAAAAGGCGGCGTCTGGCACACTGCACACACCGGATATGGGTTCGGGACATGGGTAATTCAACCGGCTTCAAAAAAATCGCGTTTTTCTAAGGTAGCCAATAATTTTTGAAGGCTCAAAACAATCTAAAGAAAGAAAATTCTGATCCGGGAACATATACCGTAAATACTGTAATAGTACCCCACCCCCATAATGACGGTGCGGAGTGTTGCGTAGTCTAGCTTTGAACGAGTTTTTCTCGACACTGGTTTATGCTAGAATGTGCGCTTAGGTATCAAAAAATAGCCCTGAATTTCAGCTATTTTTTTGATACCAAAGACGCATTTTTTGAAAGTACGGGTGCTTTGCAAAAAATGAAATACTAAAAAACTTTTGCGACTACGCGACTGTACGAGGGGGCTGGGGTACTATTACAGTATTTACGGTAGCATACATTTATCGAGAAGAAGTTAACTTCTAGAAATTAGCGTATAAAATAAAAAAAATTAAAACTGGCAAAATAAATCATATAGAGTTTGTCGGTCTAAATTTGAAGGCCGGATTCGGATTCTAGAGTCTTTTAAGGCTTCATGTGCTAATTTCTAGATTTTTTTTATTCATTTTGATCTCTGCTCCAAGATCGACCTTTTCGCAAAAGATGCGCGATCGTCAATGTGTTAGGATTGACCTTAGAACTATTTATAGTTAATTCGTTTTTCGACATTTGAGTTAATTCTTTAAGTTCGCTTCAAATTTTGATATCATTTTTAGATTCAAACGGTTCTTCATATCGTCAAATGTATCGTGTCGAGACCCAACTTTCGGATAGAACTCTTCATTACGATGAAAAACAACCCGATAAATTCGGGAGTGTTTCTGAAAAGTGAACTTTTCTTTACCTTTACTCTATGAATTTGGATCTCATTCTGTGTCTTTATAACCCTTCAAAATCTTCAAAAAAAAAATGTTGAATGAAAAATCTACTATTCAAGTAGAGCTAAGCATAAACATTATTTCAATCGAATTTCCCCTTTTGTTTTCTAGCATATGCACCCGTGTGATTGAGTCAGTCATTTTGTGAGATTTTTTTTTGCTTTGCAAAATAGCTCTCTTGCTTCTATCACCCCTAAAAGAACAAAGAAATTATTGAAATTTCTCTCCTCTCGTAATTTTTTCGAATTCACCAGCACTGTGTACAGCTTTTGTGACAATAAATACAGCCAAATTTGGGCATAGTGACGTCCAGGGCTCACCAAGCACAGTCGATCACCGCAAACGGGGGCGGTTTGCCAGATGGAGAGCGATTGTGTGCGCGCACAAAGAACACCAACTGCCTGATTGTGAGCAATCTGATTTGAGATTTTTCTTTCTTGATTTTCTTAGGATTGTGTGGTTCTATTAAATTCTATTTTATCCTATTTGAAAGCCGAAAGTGTTCTCTTTCAAACTTTACAAAAAGTTAACAAAAAGAAAGCAATTATCTGTAGACAGATCTTCTGCACCAATTGCCCCTTCACATTGAGACGTTCATTCGCACATCGAGAACGAAATTCCCATTGTAATTGCTCAGCTGTTTCAAAATCATTTTATCTTCACAACTTTATTTGTGATTTTTCTCACAACAATTTCATTATCATTGAATCGATCTCACTTTTTTGTGGTCTCTTTCGCAAAAGCGTTTTTGTCCTTTTCTAGCAGCATTTTCTCTTAGTTTCAATAATAATCTAAAGTGAAATTTCTTCTTTAATCCGTTTTAAAAGTGGCAACTTCCAAAATCTACCGCAAGCTTGGCTCTAGTTTCATCCAATCTATTCCTATTTGTTTATCCTTAACGAATCCACACAAATTTAGACCAGAAAGCGAATAGATAGGGTAAAAATATCAGCAAGATTATGATAGTTTCGCAAAAGTTGACTTATAATCCCTTTTAGCAAATCTTTTGCTTCAAACATTTTGTGATGGCGGGAAAATCTCAACGTGGTGATGGGTTTCGAGAATTCGAGAATATAGATTTTTAAGCCTTAGGTGCTCTAGAAATGAGCGATATAAAGCATAAAAATTTTCAAATTCAATTTGAGTTTTTTAGGAATTCTCGATTGGGAAGAAGTTGAAGGTGGCAGAAGAGGCGAAGAAAGAAGGAAGAGAACGAATGGAAAGAGAAAAATGGGAAGAAGATTATGATGGTGAAGAAGAACGGGAATGGGGAATGATCGAAGTGAATGGGGAAACGAGAAATTGTAAATTATAAAAATAAAGTGAAAGTTGAAATATTTTGCATCAAAAACTTTGTTTAATACATAAGATTTAGGCTCGCGTACCGGTGTTGTCCGCTTCGTTGCAGAAGCAATCAAAGAGAATCATTCGATTCACGAGACTCGACAACTCAAATTTCAGGGAAAGTTAAGAAAGGAATCTACCTTATTAACCTATTGCATAATAGTAAATCATTATTAAACAATAGATTATTATAAAATAATTTGTTGAGTATTGAATCACCACAACCCAATGAGACTCAGTCAATAAAGGAATCAGCATCAAAATGAGTTGAATCGTCCATTATCGAAATTCGTGAAACGAGGTCGTAAACTTAAAATTATTAGAGTTTAACTCAAGATTTTACCAAGTTAGTGCCAAATAGAAACCCCTCACATTTGGAATTCGGAGAAAAAGAGACGAATCGAAACATTCCATACCATTGTGTGAAGCTTTTCTACCGTAGGCTTTGCTTATTTCGCATAAAACTTTAATGAAAACAAATTTAAATTGATACTCGTTAAGCAATAGTAAATAAATTTAGTTTGGCATCAAGATTCGGCTATATCACCCACTGAAGAAAATCATTTCAAAAGTGAAATTGATCGTGTTGGCCGTTGATCGCTTTTGATTCTTGATATAGATTAAACGGTTTGTTGATCACTGGGTTTGTGAATTGTTCTTTCTTCTTTAGTTTACCATAATGATTATCTTTTCTTCATTTTGATCGATTTTTCTTTTCTTTTGTCATTTATAAATGTCTTCGTTGTCCCAAATGAAAATAAAATTAAGTACAATTTTCCCCAAAAAAATCGCAAAAAGAGTCTTTCGTCATTTGAAAAGATTTGATTATGAAAAGATGGATGGAATTTCGATTGAGAATATGAAAATGAAAAAAAAATCACTAGACTAACTAGAGATTTCTTTGAACACTTCCTTGTTTTTATGCGCTCCGATGGGTCAATAAAATCTAGAACTATTCAACAAAACCATTTCAGTCAAATACCCCAGCTAAACTTGGTGGTTGTTCATAAAAAGAGACTATAAATAATTGCCACAAAGTTTACCTTAATCTTTTTTTTCCCATTCACTTTCTTGTTTATATTACTGAAAGACGTTTAAGTGGAAAATGATTATGAAAAAGATTCGTAAGTTTAAAACATTTTTTTGTTGAATATCTTAAAAATTCCTTACATGAGCACATTGAATGAAATATTTCAAACAAATGCTAATCTAGTAGGATTTGGAATAAGCTCCCGTCTGGTATCTTCTCGTCTGTAGGAAAATTCAAAGTATCTGTGAACGAATTAGATCTTATTGCCATGTCGAATCTGCCCTATATTTAATCTTTTTGTATCTGTGTTTCCTAACTGTACTCTTACTGTACTATCTTTAGTTTTCTCTCTTTTTTTCGGTGAGAGTATTGTAGCAATATGTTATATGCAGTTATGATTATCTGATTCGCTTCTATTCGCTTCATTAATAAAGCATATATATTAGGTTGTCCAATAAGTAATGCGTGTTTTGACACGATTTTCAAAATATCACAAAATTAACAAAAGAGAACTTTATTAATCGATATATTCTCCACAACAATCAACAACATTTCTCCATCGTCCGAGCAAAGAGTGAAGTCCGTCATAATAGAATGAAGCTGGTTTCGATGAGAAGAAATTCCAGCCTTCCAGCGTGTTCCTCGTCCTCTAACGACTCGTTTCCGTCCGCAAATCGTTTAAACCAGCGCTGGCACTGACTGATTGAAATTGAATCCTCTCCAAATGCGGCCCAGATAGTTTGATGGCAATCCGCTGCAGTTTTACCTCGTTTGAAATCATACAGCATTGATGCGCGGACAACAAACTTTTTGTCTTTCATCTGCAAAACAACATATCTATTATAAAACAAAGGCAAATGAATAAAATAATATATAAAAATAAACACAAGATGCTGATGATTAAAAAGGGCATATATTTGCTCGAAGCGATTTCGCAATAGTTTCGAAATAAGTAACACGCATTACTTATTGGACAACCTAATATATATGTCGTAGCCGATTATGAATGAAATTTTTTGGCAAATCTTTCTAGTAGAGCAACCCTTTAATGTATGAGGACAATATTATATCATCTTGTAGCGAATTGAATTCTGCGTCGATTGGTACCAAATTTGTGAGGTTAGGTTAAAAATTGCCGGCGCTACAACGTTTCAAATAGGGGCGGGACCCCCGTAGCCGATTATGAATGAGTGGGTTTAGGAGCGTCCAACCATCAAGTATTTAGTATTATTCAACGCAGAATCATTAATAATTATGTTAAATTTTTTAAATTAGAAAGATTTGATAAAAAGGAAAAAATTAGAGCAAAAAAACTGTTTGTTCAAGAGGAAACTTTGAGGCCCCATAATTTTTTTTCTTTTTATCAAATCTTTCTAATTTTAAAAATTTAACATAATTATTAATGATTCTGCGTTGAATGATACTAAATACTTGATGGTTGGACGCTCCTACACCCACTCATTCATAATCAGCTGAAATTCATAATCGGCTACGACATATATAATCTAAAAATCTTTCTGTACATTGAAAAGTATTAGCAAAAAAAGAAATAAAGCAAAATTTCATAATTGCTCTCAATTTTCGATGAATCATAGGAATATTTTAAATCTCGAATTTTTCCATTTCAAAACATTATTTCGATCTTCGTTCTCGGGACAAATTTGAACAAGTTTCCGCATAATTTCTTTCAATTTTTGAGGTGGAAATTCTCTTCTTTTTTTTTCCTTCAAAATATTTCCTTTCCTTTTTTCGTTTATAGACCGGAAACGCTTTACAGATTCCCCTTTACCTCTCTTATTTTTCTCACATTCCATTTCACACCATCAAAAAGTTACCTCTTGAATGAAAATTGAATTTTTTATTCACTGGATATCTGCAAATTTTTCAAATCAAATATAGATATTCAGTTAAAGCTTCAACTATTTTTGATAATAGCCGTTTTTCTCATCTTTGACACTTTCCATTTTGATCGTTTCTTTAATTTTTCTCTTTTTTTTGTATCTTTTCATGAATATGGCTACAAATTGTGCAGTTTGTAAATTTCTCGAAAATAAAAAATAGCTTAAATTCATCGATTTCACGAAAATGTTGTCTCATTTTCGAAAGTAAAAGTAATTTTTTTTTGAAACGCGTAAAAATGCATGAAAATTCGTGGAAAGTTGAATGGGTAAATGGTTTCGAGAAACAGAAAACAGAAACAACTTCACAATGAGTCTATTTTTGATTGTGAAACAAAAAAGTTGAAACCCTTTTTTTTTACCTGAAATTAACTTAAATTTTTCAAATTTAAAGTCTAGAAGTAAGATTTTAAATATTTGATCCTTGACGTTATCTGTGCTACCCACATTTTACATATATTATATCGTGTTTCTTTTTATCGGCCCTTTTCTTGTTATGTGTATGAATTCATGTGTTTTAATCTTAAATCTAGCGCACTTTATCTCAGGTCCTGAATAAAGTATCTATATTTGACAAAAAAAAAGTGGTATTAATTGTAAGAAAGTAAAGAGGAATCGTGATGGAATCCTTGAGATTGAAATTTTCATTCAAATTCGCTAAATTTCAGTGTTCTTTAATCGAAACATTTCAAAGATTCGCATTTCTTTTCTCCCTTTCTCCTTTTTTTTCGATTTCCCAATCATCCCCCACTCTGAAATGGGTACTTTTTATTGTCGAATGTTCTACTTTCACCACTTTTTTCACACAAATTTTGCGAGTTTTTTTTGTCTGTTTGAAAATGAGGCAAAATTGATTCCACAAGGACTGCCTTTTAAAAACTCTAGACCTTTACATTATTCAAGGTAAATCTTTTTTAAAATCCTTTTCATGACACCTGTTTTAGCTTTCCCCCTTTTTAATTCAACAGGTGAAATGGTTCTTTCCGACAACCTCCCAACTAACCACAAAAGCTTTACCAAAAATCATATTCTCAAAAAATAGCATCAAAAGTTTGCAAAAAACTTTTTGCCCAATTGAATGTTTATTTTTTGAGAGCTTTTTTCAGAAGCAATCCCTTTTCTTTTGACTTAATTCGTTCTAATGTTCGAAAGAGTCGTTGTATCGACGATTTTGCACATATTTTTTTTTCGCTGATTTAATATTTATTATCCCTTTTCGGACTTGATCTATCTCTTTTACATTTTCAAAGTTTTTTTTTTCAGAATGGCATTTGCTGGCCTATTCGATCGTGTGCTTGATGATGGACCGAGTGGCTTAAAAAGAAGACAAACACTTCATGGATCACGGCTACATCATGCACACAATTCGGCGAAAGATGCTATTTCGGTAGGAATCAGATGTTTACTATATTTCTTTATTATATAGCATGTTTACTATATTTCAACTTGATATATATGTTACGTCCAATCTAGAACTAAAGCAATAAGTTTCAAATGTCTTTTTTGGGCCAGCATCTTATGAATTTAATAAGGCTAAATTGGGTGTACGATATAAAGTTATAAAGTTGCATTTCACTGAATTTCCTGTGACTTTTCATCCTATTTACCTAGGCTATGGCTCAGCACACTCGGATACCTGACCGGGTACAGGCTATAGCCAGATTCTCCCAGCTCCAGCCTTCTTTAACACTCGGAAATTCTTTATTCTTCTGTGCCCGATCAGTTTTCCGAGTGTTAAAGAAGGCTGGAGCTGAGAGAATCGGGCTATAGCCTGTGCCCGATCAGGTCTTCGAGCCATAGCCTGAGTAAATATAATTTTAATTCACTAAAATTATATTCATATTATAAATGATAATTCACTGTTAAAGAACTAGCCTTATAGCGATATATTATTTTTAGCGATTATTTTTAAATAGGACGTCCGTTTCCAAAATGAACCTAGTTCTAAATCGGGCGTAACATATATATTCAACAAAACACTATCTCGCAGAGTTGATCCCCATTTTCTTAACCAAATTGCCTTTGGTTACACCTATATTAGGCTTCTGTAAAACAGTTACCACATACAAACTTCAATCTTTACACTTTTTGCAATCACAAATCCATCAGACATTCTCATTCTTTTTTTTTCATTTCAGAATGCCGACAAAGAAGTTCTCAAAAAGATGTCGACCACTTCATACGGAATGCAACAATTGAGAAATCACGCTTTTTCCTCATCTTTTCATTTCAGCCAACTTTCCAGTCCTCCACTACGTGAGTCATTTGTATCATAAAATGAAACGAAAACAAGTTCACTTGCAAAATGGGTTTAACTTTGATCCTGAAGGAAATATTAAGAAAGATTGTCTTTGTTGTTGTTGTACATTTGATGTTCATAAAAATTTGATGTTTTTTGTTTGTTCTTTGAATTTGATAAGATTTTAATGCTTAATTCGTTATTTTAAAGTTCTTATTTTATGTCCCAATTATCAAGAACAACTCTTTATGAAAGATATCAAGTGGTCAATCGGGTCATACAGTTCGCCCGGATAACCCATATTCGTTTTAAAGTAGCACAAGTCCGAGTAAAAGTTATAGAAAAGCATAAAAGCACCAATTCTTCAAACGAGATTCGTTTGTTCTTTGACTTGTCTTGAGATCAATCTGTGTGTGAATCGGAAGTGGTCTCACAGAGTGCAGGGGAGGCTCGTCTCCTTCCTCTTCCACTCCCCCGTTCTCCTCATCCAAGCATTGCGTGTCCCCTTCCCCATCTCCTTCCCCAATTCTTTCATCGTTCAATTGTCTTCAAGAGTTTCTCCTCTTTTCTCTCCTCTTCCTTCCATCCGTTCTTCCCCTTTCCTCTTCTGTTATTGCTTTTCATTTTCAACATTCCGCATTTCCCTTGAATGCGTAAGCAGAGCTCCTCTTTCTTTTTCCCTTTCTTCTCATTTTGCAGATCCATAAACTTCCAAGCCGGGCGGTTTTTTGTTTGCCAGAAACTCATGACTTTTGCAAATTTGCTCCCCAAACGACGTCTGCTTTTGTTGAAACCTGGCCGTTAACTATTTTTGTTAAAAGTCAGCCTAGCGTAAGCTTTGAGAAACAAATTTGTTATCCTTGTTTTTCAAACCAACAGTTAAAGGAAATGCTTTTCAAATAGGTTTCACCACTTTTTTGGTTGTTCAATTTTATGCAAATGAGCTTTCCCCCAACTGTCACCACTTCTCAATATTGGTGTCAAAGACAGTGATTTATGAAGTACTTGAAGAACAAAAGACACTCAAAAAGAGAAGCAACATCGATATGAAAGAAAAGAAAAAAAGGAGAGAGAGGTGGGAGATGGAGGAATGACTCCCTTGAGAGTTAGCCAATATCAGCCTCCCCACCCCTCTAGGTATCCAACACTAGATCCAGTACCCAACAAAAACAAACCCCTAAAATGTTCTCATCTGGCCGGGCCTTGGTCTGACCAACCTTTGCTTGAATCTTTACAATTGGATCAAGCATTAACTTGCACAAAATTCACCTTTCTTAATCTTTTTGAATACTTTTTTGAATGAGCTTCCTTTTTGCAACTAAACTTTATTCAATAAAGTCATTTCTTGTATTCCTTGATATCCATTCTTACCTCTCACCTCTCCTTTCTAGAAGGGCATGTAATTTATTTATCAGCTGTGGTTGACCTCACCTTCCTCATTTCTTTTCGCCATTCTATTCGACACTTCCCCATTCCCACATTTCTTTGCAATTTTCTTTAATTTCATCTCTTTTTTGACCATCTTTCACTCCTAAGTGGCTTGGGGGTGACGTGGGAAATTTTTTTCCTGAAGACGTTCACCCGACCTTTAAACTCTAGTGTTCTTATTTTAGATTCATTTTAGTTGTACAAGTTTTGGATTTAAAAATATCATGATTAAGCTAATCCAGTTGTCAAATAACTTCTCATCTAGAGAGTTTATTTTAACGTCAACCCATAAAACCAAAAATAACCTCGATCATTGTAAAGTGAACACGTTGAATCATCGAGAACACATTTGTAGTGCAAAAGGCAAAAAAAAAGGGAGTGTGATTCAATGATCATCGAGCAGAGAATCAAATCGGTGAATCCATCGTCAATGAAAGGAATGCCGAGGGGGAGGGGACTCTTCTTTTTGATTGAAACGGGAGCGATGGGTACATCACTTCATCATCACCTCTCCACTCTTTTCTTCTTTCTCTCGTTTCACTCTCAACACCTGTTCCTTTTAAATTGTTTTTTTTCTAAAGTATACTCTTCAAATCAACAAAAATTCAAGCTGTTTCCTAAGCTTTTTGTGAAAGATAGTACTATTTTCTTTATTTAATTTTGGTTGTCGAGATCTTTAATCAGTTTTAGTCTACGTACAAAAGCAAATCAGTTCCTTTTGGAGCTTTGTTGTACTTTTTTAAAGCAGAATTCTTTTAAAAGTTGTAGTTGAAGTTGAAGTTGAAGTTGAATTAAAAGTTAAAACAATTGACTTCAAAGGGCAGCTTTCCTTGAGTTCAAAGCAGAATGCTTGTAAAGTTGAACCAAGGTAAAGTCTAAAAAACTAGGACACAATCCCCGATAAATCCCCTTAACTTCAGCTGCATTGTGTTCTTTTTTATCTACCGCTATCTCTTCTTTCCCCTCTTTAACTTGAACCGCACGTGGAGAGAGTCTCCCCTCCCTATACTCACCCCATCACCCTCCCCAATCCTAATGTTTCACCCCATTTCCCCTCCTTTACCCCCATTCCCTTCAATGCATCTACTTCTCCTCCCATTTGGCTATTCGGCCGTTCCAAAGTAAACACAATCTTCAACTCGGATTTCTTCGATTCCTTTCCACTCCTTTCTATTCCCACATCATCTTTCTCATCTCTTTTTCTCAGTGCTCCCAATCCACTCTAGGGTTGAATATTCAGAGATCAAACTTTTTCCCCTTTCTTGAGCTTTATGACTATGCATTTGTCTTATTTTAGCTTTAGAACACCACTTCAATCTATTCCATGAAAACATGTTTATTTCCTTTCTTTTCATTCGGTATCATTCCAATTTAGCGTCTTTTCAAAGAAATAAAATGGGGTTTAATGAAAAGGAGAAATGAAGAGAAAAAGGAGGATCTCTTTTGGGCCTTTCATTCAGATATTTGAAGTCTGTTTCATCATTCGTATAAAATGCTAGCTAAGTTTCATTTCTACCTACACAATCGGAGCTTTATTCACTCAATGACTTGCTGACTTGCTATACCTTTTGTTCTAAATAGAATAAACCCATCTTTTCGTCAAAATTTTTCTTTATTGATGTGGCCCGTCGCCCATTTTCCCAATATTTTTCTCGAGTTCTCTATCGGGTGTCGCCTTTCGTTTGGTGCCAATTTCGCCGTGAGAAAAATCGGAGCTTGGCCTCTGGAGTCTTTTTGGGACAATCCCTTCTCCCTCATCGATCCAAACACTCGAACACAAATTGACACAACTTTTTGATGTCCTTAAATCAATATTTTTTGCATGTTTGACTTTTACCAGTGATCTTTCAATCGTGCTTTCATCATATGACCATTTATTCATCGTTGAATTTTTCTTGAAATCGCTTTTTGGTTGTCCATGGATTCTCGTCTTATAGAAATCTTTTTCCTCCATATTTTCTGCACACTAAAATCTCCAAAGCTAAAAAAGAAAGGAAAAATGGAAAAATGGTTGCGGGAGGATAAAAAATGGCTGCCGAATCTCATTATGAGGGGGTCTGATATGAGGGATAGGGGCAGAGACAAGGAATGGACAAGGATAAGGGAATGGACAGACAACAGATCAACCACCACCAACCACCATCATTCACCCCAATTTGTTATCAATTTTTATTTTCTTTCGAAATCTTTTTCTTTTTCTATTTCCCCAATTTTACCTTTAAAAACGCCGTTCCAAAGCAAGTCGAGCAAGTTTTTTTTTTTTGGATAGAGCCCAAATTCTTACACGTTTGTTGAATATTCAATGAAGTGAAGGGGAAAATAGATAAATCAGAGTGGACAACGGGACATCGAATCAAATGAATTAACATGAATAAACAAAAACATTTGAAGAGACTCAAACATTTGATCACTTATCTGGTCATTAATCTTTTGAAAAAAAATCCTGTGACTTCAATTGTTATAAGAAAAAATTTGAGTAAAAGTGACAATCCGCAAAATCCGTACATTGAACTCGACTTTAAAGAATTTGAAGTTTTTTTTACAGTTTGCCTGTCATTTGATCTAATGGTCACGTTTCTTGTAAGGTCAAACTTTACTTTTGCGATCACATCTAAAGGTTTTTCTCTTTCTCCGTTCCAGCCAAAAGAAGAAACATGAGCTGACACGTGTTAAATGATATATTGTTAAAGATAAAAGATTGCTATATGTTGGACATTTCCTTGGGGAAAAAGGAAAAGGAAAAAAAAGATGGGATTGCCTCTGAACCCGGAAACATAAGGAAAGGCTGGGAGCAAGGGGAATTCTCTTAGGCCCCCGTTCTCCCAATCGTTTTGCCTTTTGCCCTTCTTCGGGAGATTTGGGGCTTTTCTTCTTCGTTTTTCGTGTTTCTCTCACATCTTTTCCCGATGAAGCTTCCCTTTCTTGTTTAGGTTTATCTCGTCAACAATCTTCATGTTATTTAACACATCTAAACTCTTTCTGAACCTAGCCTGTACTTTGCTCTCAAAAACGTGCGTCATCTAGCGACTTTTGGTACCAATTCTGATTTCTCAGTTTTCCCATGCTCCAAAGTCATCTATTCACTTGACTCAGACATGGAATTCGATAGCATTTGCTTTCTTTTTCTGGCAAAAAGAGTTGTCCTTTTCAAAATTTGTTGCTTTATTGAACTTTATTTTATCTTGACGAACTCGTAAATAACAGGTGCTCCAGGGTGGGACTTACCTTAAATAAGATTCTTATGTGTATTTGCTTTCATTTTGCTGATTGATTGATTGAACTAAACTTAGTAGATTTCAGTTTTTCTTAAGAGTGCAAAAAAACTTGTCTTTTATTGGAGCTTTTCTTTAAAAAAGGGGTAAATTAAATTAGGAACGATTCTCAATAAAAACAACTTGTCGGCAAATTCCTTGGGAAATTTTTTGCCTCAAATTTGGTTGTATTTTTCTATAAATTTATACATCCCTTGAAAGAAAGACAACTTGGTTTCAGTGAGAATCGGTTTCAGTGAGAATCCCAATTCGGAACTCTCCTTTAGACGTTCATGACAAAATTTCCGTTGAACAAGCTGTTATTTGATCTCTGTTTAAGAATTCGTACTTCAAA